AAACATGTAATTATCAAGTCATAGGGGTTGATTAGTGGCGAACCAAACACATCCATAAAGTACACACAATACCAAATATACAATAGGAGGACCCCGGCCGCTTAGCTTAATAATTCCTTGTTTCACATGGAACCAATCAGCTAACACCAGTTGGAGATCGTGGCGGGCTTTTATTTTACATGCATGCACTGCTCTTCTTTTCCCCCCTTTCTTTTTCAGGGGAATGCGTTGAACTATGAACACAGATTGAAAGATTTAGAACGCGTAACAGCTTTGTATGAGTGGAAAATGGTTAACTGCATGTGTTTACTTGAATTTGTTGTATAGTTTACTTTGCTATTGTGCTATTCAGCTGTAATCCAATTTTAGATCGAGTCCTTGATTGGCGGATTGTGTTTTCGGATTGTATATTTTGAACTTTATGTTCATGCTAAACACTATCGATATCTATAACTAAGTAACAATAAACTTATTCAACCGTAAATTTAACAATTTGGATATTTATGATATTTAAAAATTTTGAATTTATTTTATTGGAATAAATAGGTTTGGATATTAATTGTTTTTAGTCCAAAAATAAAATACAATCCATATGTTTTTTTTTTCATATTATGATTGAAAAGTTGTAAAACTTTATGTTGAAAACCAACAATTTAAATCGAGTCCTTACATGCTTTTTTTTTTTTTTTTTTGCCGATGTAATCTTACACAAATAATAACACAGCTAAAATATATAAATAAGTAAAATATTGAAGGAGTTACATATTCTATACGCATCCGTGAAGAAAGTTTCCCTTCAAATTTATGCTCTTGCCGTCTCATAGCTTTTCCCCCAAATCCAATGGCCAATTCCCCTCCTCCTTCTTGTCTCTTGTAAATGACACAACACACGTATTCAAAGTTAAGGTTTCTCTCCTTCCTTTTAATGGCGGGGTGTAATATTTAGGGCTCGTTTGCTAGTTGGATTTGAAAATGAAAGTTTTGAGTTTTAAAAATCTTTGGATTTATGATGAATTTGTTGCATCATGGATTTGGGAGAGTACATTATTTGTTTAGTTGATTTTTTATCATGGATTTGTGATGGATTTGTCTCACCTTTTTTTCCTTCTATTGTCAAATCCCAAATGAAATGTGAGATTTACAAATCCGTGGGGTCCACGGATTTGGATCTAAAAAAGGGGTCCAAATCCGTGGACCTCACGGATTTGTGTCCCTCAACAAACAAAGGATTTGTATCAACCTCATAATGCTTGGGATTTGGATTCCAAATCCATCACTCAAATCCCACAAGCAAACGACCCCTTAGTTTCCATTTTTTCCTTGACAACCTTTTTGGGTGTTTTCACAATCTCACTTTCCCTCTACATGCAAAATCCAACCTTCACAACACCCTAACACAAACAAACAAAAATCCCATCCTCCATCTCTCTCTCTCTATCTCTTTCCCAATCACATAGACCCGAAAATCTCTGCTCCTTAATTCTTCCTCCATTTCACCTTCCTTTTCAATGTTTTGGTTGTAAGGGAAGAATGAAATCAACCCCATTTCCTTTTTCATCATCATCGTCGAATAACAACAATGGTTCAACCGGCACTCCTGGTTCTCATTTACACGGGAAAAGGGACAAACAAACTTTAAACATAATCATGGGGAAGGCTATGCCTTGCTTGTTGTCCACATTTGCCATAACCACCATTTTCACCTTCTTCCTCTACTCCCCTGACCCTTTCAATCTCACTCCACCTCCCAAACAAACCCAAACACAACGACAACAACAGGGTGGAGATGATCATCATCTTCTTGATCAAACCATCTCGTTAAAACCGCCAACATCGCCACCCAATCTAAAGGGTACCCTTCATACAATCTCTCCTTCCCTTCAAAACCCATTTCTCAATTTCGCTACTTTCCCATGCATTGATGATCCTTTGGTGCAATTGTCTTGATACTCTGTTTTTTTCCTTCTTGATTTTGCAGTGGAGGAGAACTGTGAGCTGTTCAAGGGACGGTGGGTGCCCGATCATGAAGGTGCGAGGTACAATAATTGGAGCTGCCCGACGATTCCAGACTCGAAGAACTGTTTCAGGCATGGGAGGAAGGACAAAGATTTCCTCAACTGGAGATGGAAACCTGATGGTTGTGTTCTTCAGAAGTTTGATCCCAAGGAATTCTTTGGGATTGTGAGAGGGAAGACGATGGCCTTTGTTGGGGACTCTGTTGCCAGGAACCATTTTGAATCACTACTCTGCCTCTTGTCCCAGGTTCTTGCTCTTGTTACTACATTGTTCCTTATCAGAAAGTTGGGGATTGTTTGGTTGATCTGGAATTGGTCCATTTTTGGTTACTAAATGATCACTCTTTCAGCCTTCAAGATCTCTGTTACACTGCATCTGTTTGCTTTCTTTATTTAGCTTTTTTATAATAATAAGAAAGGTTTCCGTTGCCTACAATGGTGGCTGTGATTGCTCTCTTCCTTGATTCTTGAAATGGGATCAAAGTCAAACATGAATTCTTTACTGTTATTTTTCACCCACCAGAGCCCTTTTGCTTCATGCTTCTTTTTGGGTATGTAGTTTACGCTTTGCTTGCATAAGGGTGTCCTTCAAATATTCTTTGGTAGGTGTCAAAATGAGCTACAGTTTATACATCTAAGTCAAACATCCCTTGCACAAACAATAAGTCAAAAAGTTTGTTCATAGGATGGTTCATTGGTCAACATAATCACTGTTTCTTTTGTTTTTGGTTGTTGCAGGAGGAAGCTCCAGTAGAAGCCTACAAGGATGCCGACGACAGGAACAGGATATGGCATTTCCCCAAGCACGATTTTATTCTGAAGGTCATCTGGACCAAGTTTCTGGTCGCCGGAGAAGAAAGGATGATCAACAGCACGACATCAGCCGGCATCCATGACTTGTACCTCGACAGGCTGGACGAGAACTGGGCTCGGGACCTGCACGCCTTGGATTACGTGATCATCTCGGGAGTGCATTGGTTCTTTAGGGCCATATACCTCCACCAGGATTCCAAGGTGGTGGGGTGTATCTACTGCAACGAACCGAATGTGACCAACTGGGACGTCAAAATGGCAGTGAAGATGGCTCTCAGGGCAGCTCTCGACCGGATAAACAACTGCAAGGAATGCAAGAAAACAGTCGTCGTGGTGAGGACATTCTCCCCGTCTCACTTCGAGAACGGGTTGTGGAACACCGGCGGGACCTGCAACAGGACAGGGCCTGCCAGGGAGTTGGAGATCGACTCAGGGAGCGATGTTTATGAAGTGAGAGACAAGCAGGTGGAGGAGTTTCAAAGAGTAAGAAAAAAAGTTAAGAAGGGGAAGAAGTTTGGAGTGTTGGATATCACTAGGGTTATGAGGGTGCGGCCCGACGGACACCCAGGCTTATTCTGGGGGAACCAGTGGATGAAAGGGTACAGCGACTGCGTTCATTGGTGTTTGCCAGGTCCTATAGATGTCTGGAATGATTTCCTGCAAGCAATTTTGACGAGGCTGAGATGATCGACATTCTTTGGTTAACTAGATTAGATTATAGCTGCATAGTATAGGAATTGAGTGATTTATTTTCATCAGTTCATAGAGGCATAGTAAAAATTGATTGTTTCAGCTGAGGGACAAATAAAAGTGTGAGAGAGAGAGATGTAAAGATATATGCAGAAAGCAAATTCTAAATAGTACATTATGCAGTAAAAGAAGACTAGAAGAGCGAGTTCTGTTATGCTGTCAGTTCTGGTTTTTACAGTGTAATAATGAAATATTACCGAAGTTAGGGATCCAAGATGACAGGAACAAGAAAGACGGCAGCAGCATTGACAGGTTGCATGATGGTCCTCACATATGGTGGTACAAATAGAGTAATTCTGGCTAGATATTTACTCAGTGTTGGTATTTTTTCCCACTAGCTCTAACAAGACAATTTTAGCAGAGGAGACACAACCCATGTTCAAGAGTTAGGAGAGGATTCGGCTGTAGCTGTCCAATAAAGGACATCCCTCCCTTTCACAACTGGGCTAGGAAACACGACAAGTTCGTGCCAATGAACAATCAAATGCAAGTACCAATCAATTATAACACCTTTCATCAGGGTTTTCTGCATTCAAATTCTCAGCATTGAGATTGACAACCAACCCCCAAACTTCCACTCCTAGAAATGGCATGAATACCTTTTGCCAAATTCAGGTACATCATGCAGCAAAAAATAGTCTGCAATTGAACTAAGGATACATTCAAGAACTCGATAAGCTAGCACGAGTTTCTGTATCTCCTACTAGATTAGAGTCTCCAATATATTAACAGCGAGAAGTTTGACAACTGTCTGTGATTGTTCCAAAGCAAATGATGAAACTAGAAGCCGGTAGAGAAACTTGATTCCAAATAAACAATCACAAACAAGGATGCATCTAGGCTAGATTTGTATATCCTAGTAGGCCGGATTATTGACATATCGTTGCTGTAAGCCAAATGAGACTGAGAAGAGAGCTACCCACGTAGGGAGCTGACAGAATTTAAACATTGTAAAGTCAGTCTGATTCATTCTATCAATGATAAATAGATAATATAGTTTACACAGTACCAGCCTGGAATTCAGACTTGGCCAATTCTCATACGACTCATCCTACAAGAGATATCAACAAAGCTAATAGAAAATTCTTCACATTAAAACAACAGAAGCGAAAGCCGCAAGCATAAGATTGACAACAACCAGCTAGAAGAAACTCAGTACTATCAGTAAACATAACGGTTTCTTACTTGATAGGAAATGCAAAGAACAAGCTGTGGACGGTTTTGTAGAGCAGAATTCTTCTCATTAGCAACTCTTACGTCCAGAAACAGAAACTGCAATTTCTCCCACTATGCTCTAAGTTTACAACACCCATTATAGGAAGGGAAAAAAACTAACTTTGTAACCCCAAAAGAGAAAGGAGCATATTAATGAAACAAATTTGCTTAAGTTAATATAAATGAGAAACAACAAACAACAGCAATTCATTCTACAGAGTTACCAAGCACAAAGGAGCTTAATTCACGAACTGGCGTGAACTCCACAACCCCAATATCCATAGCATACCCATTAACAGGCAACTTCAAGTCTCTGAGAACACAGAATGCATCCGCCATTCTCGCCTTGGGAACGTCTTGAGCCACAGCACAGTAAGGAACCCAAGCATCAGGCCTGTACTCTTCCCCAATCTCGATTCCTTCCTTCCTCATTGCATCACAGAGCTGAGAATGGAACTGAAGCAAGGAGAGCGAAGGCGTGGGGGCTAGAAACAGGACATTGTTGTCGCTGGGGAGGGTGCCGATGGTGGAGAGAGACATAGGCAAAGGCTCTTGCCTTGCAGCAAAGCTCCTTATTACTGATTCCAGCTTCGTGGGGTCGATGTAAGGGTTGGAATACAGGGTTATATGAGGGCGAGACTCGATTTCGATGAGCTGCGTGCTGATTTGGCGGCGAGCTAGCACGTTCCAGGCTTTCAAGACCTGGTTTTCCAGCGCCGGGTCGAAGTAGAGCTCAATTGCATACCCCTGCTGTGACATTTGACTGCTGCTGCAGAGGCTGCCCGGAGAACTGAAATTCTGAAACAACCCAAGATCCTAACACTTGCCCGGATGATGAAAAGCGATGCTTCACTGATTTCCCCCTAAAAGTGAAGGGAACCCTAATGGGAAAGGCGCGAGATTGGAAGAACCCAGTTGGGGGAAATTGGGTAAATCGGAGGGAAGTTTCGTAACCCGAAAGAGGAAGAGGGGAAAACAGGGAAGATGAAATTGGGAAGGACCAGATTGTGAAAGATGAAGATGGAGAGCATGTGCAAAGGGACGGAGAGGCGGATTTTGGGGTTGTTGTGCAAATAGAAAGTGACAAAGGAAGAGACAGATATGGCGAGCGAGAAAGGAAGGTGGGGGAGTAAAAAGGAAGAGAGAGAGAGCAGCTGTTTGTGAAAGTGGCCGAGGAACAGTGAGATAGAGAGAGAGACCTTTGTTTTGATTGCGTTGCTCTACCAGGGAAATGGCGAGAGCATCGATGGTGGGAAAGTGAAGAGCCAAGCAAGGGAAAGGGAAAGAAGAGTTCTTTCCATTACAGCTCTTCCCGGTCAATCTTACTCCACAAGCCCGCTCCACTGACAATGTTTTGAGTTCTGAATTCTCGATTTCTCGTTGACTCTGTTTTATTTATGCTTTAATATAAAGTCTGTAAACAACAATAGGAATTACCTAAACTTCGGAATAAGGATTTGGATGATGTAGTAGAATTTAGCTGGGTTCTATTTGGGTAGTTTGGTGTAACTGAGGGGTTGTTTGGAAGTGAGATTTTAAATTATGTATTTAGTTAATATATGTAATTGAAATTATTTGACGTTTTTTTCTTCAAATAAAATAAAATATTTGTATTTGGTAGAAGATGAGACCAGCAAATCATTCATTATAGATGACCGTCAATCTCGGCTAAAAACAGGGATTGTCAATCTCTCAAATTCTCTTCTTTATTTTTTGAGTGACCACCAAATTTTTCAAGGTTCAAACACTGTGTTTTTCAAATTAATACATTTAAATAATACATCTAATTAGAATACATAAATTGATTAAATGCATCAATTTAGAGAATTCTAATTACCAAACATGGGCTAAATTTTTGGGTTAAAGAAAGCTGGAACTTTTCCTTAATGTCGTGCTTATGATTTATTAAATCTTACCCGAAAATTCGTTGTCAATATTATATTTATCAAAATTACTTATTTAAGTCGATATATCAATATATTTGCTCTTAAGTCATGCTTACCCACGCATAACTAAGTGGGCAATAATATACGCGGTTGATTTTTGTTGCAAAGCACTTTACATGATCTGGGATTGAATACCAATTTATGAATTGCATAAACATTCTCAAACTAATTTTATGTGGTATCAATATATTTACTTGTTTTACACTACTCGGAATCAAAAAAGTTAGTTCAGCTTCACATTTAGTAGTAAATATATTCATCAAAAAATTTATTACCATGTGATTAATCAAAGTATAAAGATAAAGACTATGATTCATCACAATCAATCTGAAAGGGACTCCACGCTTGCATTACAAATTTAATGACTTATCATATATTTGTTTGAAAGCTATATTGGCTACATATGCATCTCATTATGCCCACATTAGAGAACGGATAACTACTAGAGATAGAAAACAGAATCCATAGAGTCCCATAATTATTCACTTGTTTTGGGTGGATATTCAAATTTGTGTTTACAGTACAATGAAACCCGTACTTACATTTGGTATTTTCTTAAAAACTAAAATGAAACTCACTGTAAAGTTTTCTTGGACTGAAAAAAGGCCTTATAGGAATATTAGAATCCGTGTAGAATAATGGTCGAGATTCTTGTTTATTTATCAGACACAATCCTCTGTTTTTTCACCAATCCAATCGTCAACAACAAGAACTAGAACAAGTCAACACTGCCAACATTGTTAATGTATGCTGGTCCAAATTACCCCAATCAGAAGAAGAAAAAACAATTCCAAACATAACTCTTGACATTACAGCATTGATAATTGATATAGTTTTATTCATCAAATGATTTGAAATTAACATAAAACCTTGACTGCATAGCAAGGGTCTTTATTAGTCACGTGATTCATGGAATCCGAAGATAGAGAGGAACGTGCTTTTCAGATTGTGGAGGCGCATCCCAGACGCTAAATGCGCTGGCCGAGTTCATCCATTTCTTGGTCATTTCAGGATAATGACGATCGATCACTTGTCTAAGAGACTCAGTCGTGTCCACCCATTCAAGACCCTTCTTTGTGTATGTTTCCTCGCCGTAGTGGCTCGTGAAGAACCTGTCAGCCTCCAGCCTCCTCGTAGCCATGATAAGGAATATGAAGAATGCAGTCTCGCTTATGGCGAACCCTTTGATCTTTCTCTCTGCCATGAGGCCAATTAGAAGATCCAGCTCTTCGATTTGATCACCATAAACCTCAGTGAGCACTTGAATTGCTTCTTGGTCGTCCGTCAGATCTCCCCACTTCGATATAGGTATCATCAACATCTGTCTACGAAAGTCATTGTACCTCGCAACTTTTCGCTCCCTATCCCTAAAAACTACACAACATTGAAGCACATATGTGTTGGTAAAACTACACAAGTTTGTTAAATGTCCAAATTTAGTGATTGATTTGTTAATGTCCTGAGTCATGTGATTAGCCCATATACGTACCTTCGAGGGCTGGCAGGTCCACAAGGTCGGGCCTATCCCTGCCATCTGGATCTTGGGGCACTACCTCCCTAAGCCAATTTGGGTAGTTCCATAGCTCAAGAGCCCCACAGGCCTGGTGGCCCATGGACACCATTTGCTTAGTGAACCCAATTTCTGACAAAGCCTTGTCTCCCTTTGAGCCTATCAACCCCGACATGGGCAGCCTGCATATCCAAACAACAAACCACAAAACATCATTACAAGAACCTCCTTAGTCCTTATACAGATTTAGCTCAAGAAGATCACACGATGGAAGTTGAAACAGTACTTTTCAGCCACAGGAAGGGACTCTTTGGAAGCTGCTGATTCTTCATCATCAGTACTTGATGAAATGTCCCTGATGAGGAACTCGTCAGGCAAGAGCGGGTGCAATCTGTATACGCTGACGAACTCCTCGGTCAACGAGTATGGAACTCCATGATTCTCCGACTTCTTCATGCCAACAATACCTCCAAGTATATCGTTTCCAATGTGTCCAAATGTGTCCTTGAACCATTTCCCCAGAAGTCCATACCAGTTTGCCCGCATCGCGGCTAACAGTGTATCCGTCTTCAGGAGCTCGACGGTCCAGTCGATGGTGTGTATCTTGGCTATCACGGCAGAAGTCACCACTCGTGCTCGTCTGTACAGTTCTTCATCCCCCAAGTCCGGGTACTCTTTCTACATGCCAACCAACAATTTTCCAGAGAAGATATGTCAAATTTACGAGGAATTTTACTATGCTATATAGTATTGGTGCTATAGGTTTTTGCTTTTATGGTACAACTTGAAATTGTACCTTTAACGTTATGGTACAACTTTAGATTATACATATATTGTTTGTACAAATTCTTTAATGGTACAACTTGAACTTGTACCTTTATGTGATGGTACAACTTCAAGTTGTAAAGTTGTACCATAACATAATGATACAAATTCTTTTATGGTACAATCTAAACTTATACATTTCATGTTATGGTACAACTTTAAGTTGTACATTAAAGTACCAATATTATATAGCACTAGGTAGACCCGCTCGCGTTGCTTCGCGATGAACGAACAATGTGAAACAATGATAGGAAGAAAAGGAAAAAAAGAACAGGCTGCAAAATGGATTGAAGATGATAAAAGAAACATTAGAGGCTCTTACCCAACCAAATCGTAACCCATTGTTTGGACTGAATTGCAGCATCTGAAGTAAACACCTTCTTATTTGGCCGACTACAATTTCGGCTAGTGGACAGTATCTCGGGATTTATGAGTTAGAATGATGCGAAAAACATCCTAATTGACATAATATATTGATATTCAATTAAGATAGGTATCGTCAACAACTCCCTTGACAATCACCTTTTACACGGCTCGAACAACACTGGATACAGCAATATATAGAAACCAATAATTCTAAAAAGAAAGTGAAAATGGATGAGCGGGGATCAGGCATAGATTGAACTTCAGCTGGTGATAATTAAACTACCTAGAAAGCAATTACAGAATTTAGTTAGAAATCCATCCCAAAAAAGCAGTCAAATGAACCTATCAAAAATCATATGTATGGCATCCATAGACATAAATGGATAGTAGGGGGTAAGTTCCATGTATTAGGGATAATTCTTTATTCATATTGACGTAAGTTTCCTTCTCCTACATGAACCTGTACAATTGTGGGTATAAATGCCCCTTCTCAATGTCAATACAAACACACGATTCACATTCTTACAGTTTTAATCCCGAAACCCTAGCTCTTCGTTGCAATCTAGAATTTCGGCGCCCAAGATCAGCGTCGAGTCGGTTGCTGTCCAACATGTCCGACAACAGCTCGGTCACGTCAATACAAACACACAATTCATATTCCTTACACCATGGAGCCAACAGCTGGGCGGAAAAACAACCTATTGAAACACTATAGCAATTCAACTTACAGAATCAGTCGGAGTAACTATCATGAACCTGTGTTTATATATAAGGCAACATCTTACTAATCAAAAAGAAATTGATTAAAGGTTAAAGAAGAATTTATGAACTACACGACACAGGAAGTTCGGTTTCTTCATCCCATGGCAACATATGTTCATCGATTGAAAGAAACTGTGGATTGAGGAGAAATTGACATGAAAGACGGCTGCTTTAGTTTAATGAACTTTATTTTTATCCTCGTCTGTGATTCCATAATACCAATAAAACTTCTATTTCTATTCAATTACAGAATGCTAAGAAATTGAGTACATTTCAGCCTAGAAATCTCACCAATTTAAATGTTGCAGAATAAGATGCTTACAGTTCAGCCTATAAGTCCTCAAATGCATACCTGCAAACCCAGGCATAAAAGCAAGCAATCTGATTTGTAATAAAGCTCTGACCTGACATTGTAAGCAAGCAAAGAGTTTTAGATATAAAGAGCCACGAATAGATGTAAACCTGGAGTTCATCAGTGTTCACTGAAAAGCTTAAGAAAGCATAATCAACCTCACCGAACCTCAAACAGAATGGAAATGGCAGTGCACTGTATGGGTCGAGCAAATAAAAAAAAAAAGAACATATAAAAGATTTTTAATGGGAAATAGCAATTATTATGAACGTGTAAACTTAGAGTTAATGAGGGTAAGGAGAATCGTGAAAAGTAAGCTATAGATAATACAAACTAACATTATTGAGAAGAACACAAGCATTCAAATCCGAATTCACTTATGGGAAAAGATAGTAGTTTCTATTTATAGGTCAGTTGCTTCTCGGTTTGTGTCTTTAGTGACACAGAATGATGGGGCGGCAACGGGCAATCGTAACTACAGAAAAGGATCCCTAAAACAACTTATAAACCTTCATTCTCAATTGGATGTCAATAAATAAAGGAAAGAGTCGGAAGTGATAAGAAATGAACTTACAGAGGAAGGTCATAGATCAGTAGAACTGAATTTCCGGGCCATTACGGGTCGAGTCTGAGATGACAAAAGATGGATCATTACAGCAGATGGCAACCTTAGTCAAACTCAAGTAGTCCATGTATAGATTAAAACAAAAAATGAGCAATCAAGCAAACAGTTCCAGTTCAACCACCGAAGTAAAAATAAATTTAAAACTCCCAAGTACGTCCATCATGTCTTCCGAGGCAAGAGATTTGAGGAGTCAACTGAGGGTTAAAGGAATCAAGGGAAATAAAAGCACTAATCAGTTGTCTGTAAAGAGGACACTAAAACATGGGAATCTCCCATGATCGGTTAATTAGTAATACGAATTAGACGCTTGACGTTGTCCTTCTACCAAAAAAAAAAGAGGACACTAAAAAGGGTTTTATCAACTGATTGGATAAAGCCAAGACCACATCAGAACATAACCAATGGAAAACAAATAAAAGGATTGAGCTTCCTAAACCCCTCAGCACTGTATCCCATCTTATAGCCCATAGAGACAAATTAGTAAAAAGCTCAGAGAGACAACCCTAGAAGAAATTGCATCCGATAATCCAACGGTTAGAGAATACACATAATATGGTTGACAGAGACATAATCACACGGGCTATCAGAGACTACACAGAATATGGTGAGGAAAGCGTAAAAAAGCCAAAAATAGAACTCAACAATTGCATCAACAGACATTAAAGGAACTCCAAAGAAATCCAAGCCCAGGTAGTATATGGTACAACAGGAAGCTCTTCTCTTGTGAGTGTATTAGGTAGTTGTTTTATGGTTACTTATCCTTTTTCAAAGTATGAAAACAATTTTTTAGGAAGAAATGAGAAGGAGTTCGTCTGATCATCCCTAATCATCAAAGTTCAATTGGCTTTTCCCCGCAAAATCAACAACTCAGAAATCATATCAAAATGAGGGCTTTGAAGCATAACCTCAAAATTTGGGAGCTAATCAAACGCCATAATGAGGAAATCAACCAAATTACTAAACCAAATGCAGCCTAACCATGACCCTAGAAAATAAATTTCAAAGAATCAAATGGTAGAATGAAGTAAATAGGCAGAGCATAAAACCAAATGAAAGAAGTAGAGATGCTCACCAGGATCAAGTGAAGGCAAATCAATTTTCCAAGGTCTTAATTCCTGAGACGTCCAAGACAGGAATCAAATACTGTTTCCTCCAGGGCAAAGAAAAGTAGATAAGGCCACACCAATTATTTCTTATATCCATACACAAACCTCCAAAATTTTAAACCGAAAAAAGGCATCATCATGAAGAAAGGAATGTATAACCAAAAGCAAAGAAGCGCACTTTTATGGATAAGTTAGCAAAGATTCGAACTTTCAAAGACCTACATGGTACATATGCAATTGACATAAGTAGCAGTGAAGTGCATAGATATTATAGCAGGAGTCAACTGCCGTAAATAGAAGTTTGAGAACCGAAAATCACACCAACTGTCCTACCAGCAATTGGGATGTCGTACATTCACATCAAGCTTGGAAGAAAAAAGACAACATCATAAAGTGCACGAACTGAAAAGAGTTTTTCGAATTTGCAGGACCCTGATAGAATTTATAGCAGTTGGGTTATAGAGCAATAAGCCAATAACACATTCAACAACTACAGATCCTAACTGCATTCGTTTCAGCCTATAAAAAGAATGTACCTAACCTTCAAGAGTGCAAAATCTGCTATGAAGTGGCCGGTGAAACAGTCGTCGCCACTCCTAATAGAGAACAAACAAACGATTTAAACAAATATCCAGGTAAACATGAACCTTAGAAAGGAATCAGATCAAGAGAGGTAGCTCACCACCACAGTAGGTTCCGCCTGTTGCTTCGCAAGCTCAACGGGCAATAAAGTTTCCTAAGAATTTGAGATCAATTTCTTTGCCACAAAACTCACCGTCCGAACCTCCTTTGAAAGCAGACGAACAAACCCCCTGACAAAAGAAAGAATGAAAACGAAACCATCAAGAAAAGAGAGTAAACAAACTAATCACAGAGAGAGAACAATCACTTGAAATCTAAAAGCATCGTGGAAACTGGAGATTAGTTTCTTCTCCACACTGCCACTGAACCTCACAAATCCGACATTTGTGATTAAAATAGGCACCCATCTCGAAGGAAGAGAGCATAAACACTCATACAAAAGTATGAACCAAACCCAGAATTACACTAAAAAGCAAAATCTAAACCCAAACCAGAAAGTGAAGAAGAAGTCTGAAAGCAAAAATCAATGAGAGAGGAGCTAGCAACCTACCATCGACGCGAACCCAGCCCTCGCCGTTCCTACCTTCTGCGAATCGGAATGAACAAAGGGATGAACCAAACCCAAAAGTCTGGTGAAAATCAGAATCTATACCCAAACCCAGAAAGCGGAGAAGAAGTCTGAAAGCAAAAATCAATGAAAGAGAAGCTAGCAACCTACCACCGTCGCGAACCAGTTGGAAATAGAGAATACATAACACAAAAATGCTGAACAGTTTTAGGCTGCCTATTGGAAATAGAGGTGGGTGGTAGAGAAAGTTTGCCAAGTCTTCCGGTGCCACACATACCGACGTTAGTGTTGCGTCATAGTCAAAGATCATCTCGCTTGTCTCGTTTCCATATCGATAGGAGACTTGTATCTCATAATGCAACCTAAGAGGAAGTTGAAATAGGCAAAGGAAAAACAATCTCATGGCTGCTAGCAATAATACTTAGTCGAGAAAAGCTTGTTGGGTCACTCAAGTCTATCTGGAATGGTCTTCAAAATGCTTGATATATATGTGGAACGCCTCATGGAGTCATGGTGATACCTGATGAGTGATAACATACCAGTAAGGAACCTGCGAGGTATGATTTACGGCGTTAGTGAGAATTTGCGGTATGAAGAGACAAAATAGAAGCTTTTTGACAGTATCAGTAAAGACCCGCTCGCTTCGCTTCGCGCAAATGAAAAATAACATCAGTAGATATAATGTTAGGGAAACAATGCCAAATCAGTTTACCCCTAACGATAGGGAAGTAGTGAGGAAAATATAAAAAAAAAAACATGAATACTAATTCCAAAGTGGAAAGCAAACACAAAGAGAACTTTGTTGGATGACTGGTAAAAATAAAGCAATCTGAGTAAAGGAACATGTGCTATTAGGAGATACAAATGGTGGTCTGTTTGGTTTTTAACTTTTTATGACAAAAGCAACCGAATAGGGTAGTTGTTTTAATCAGTATTTGCCTTTCCAGTTTTGGTATGGCGGTGGCGCTTGCAATGGATACCGCTCGGAAGCGAAATGGAGATTGTGGTTTGCTGATTGAACTGCGTCTCCTACCGTCGATTCGTAACTGGGTTTTTCCTCAATTGAGTCGGCGACAGAGCAACAATGTTTCACACAATTTCCCCTAGCCCTCATTCACTCTACATTCACACCATTGAGCGGCTAGCGAAATTAGATGAGTCTTCTGTATAGATCTATAATCCGAAAAAGAGTCACATAATCCAAAGCATCACATTTCCAATACTGAAATCATAATCATGCATGGTACATCACTAAAATCAAGGTTGTATAGATGACAAAGAAGGTATAAACTCCAATGACCAAAAGGCAGACATCGATGGAAGGAACAGCCTACACATGATGTTCCTAATCCTGAACTGCAATTCCATGAATCTGGGATTAATTCCAGAAGCCAAGAAGAAAAACGCCTAGATGAACTCAACCCTCCAATTTGATGGCAAGAGAAAAGCAGCAGTACAATGAGCAGCATAGATGTGATACCAAATGAACATTTTCTGCTCTGGAAACCTGAAGGGCATGAACAAATAGTAAAGAATCTAAGGCATCCGAACACCAATATGTGTCTCCAACCAAGGAGGTCTTGCTTTAGCGCATTAACAATTTTATCAATAGATAGAGATGAGCTCTAGATAGAGATGAGCTCTAAAATGCAGTACTGAATCTGGTTAACTGATCACTATCCATAGTTAAAGCAGGAGGACACTAAAAAGATTCATTAAGTGGCATCGAACTCAAAAGGAAAAGGTTTATAAATAATCTTGAAACGCACTGTTTTTTCACAATGAAAAGTATGGGCATCAATCAATTTCAGGCAGCAAATTACAAAGATACAGGTCAGTGCTCTAACCTGCTGCATATCCTAAAGCAAATAACAACACCACTCTAAAACAACAACCACCAGCTCACTATGCAAGAAGCAAGGTTGGAGTCGTTCAAAGTTTTGCACAGAAAGATTATATTGGTTATTCTTGTCTAGTGAAGACCTAAAAAGCCAAATCTCATGCCTGGAAGAATAAGTGGAAGTTGATCAAACTTGCAAAACATATCACAATTTGACACATTTTGTCGAAGAGTCATCTAACACAAGCCTGGATGGCTAATGGATAATATCTCTTTCAAGATTATATCTTGACCAAAAAGAAAGCAAAGCAACAGGGGATCTAACATAACAAATAATTACTTTTTATTACATGAAGAACACCAAACACCAGCAAAGTAACAGTACGGGTGAGTGCACAAAGAGCAAAGTTCATTATGGAGTTGATACTAACTACATCAATTAAGGCCATCCGCCATAGGGCTTGTACATGATTACATGACCATAACCATAAGCTGTAAAGTTAACGCACTAACATATGCAATCAACATGTTCTATATTCCAGTGTCAACATTAAGTTCTGTGTCAATGCTGGACGCCATAGAAACTGAGCCATTTAGCATGGCACCATAGTCGAGTCCCTAGATATTTTAGTGCATCCTAATAGGCCTGAAAGTCTCGGGGAAGATTTTAGGAAGCAACAGAGTTAAAGTGCACATAACAGCAAGTGAGATTTCTATTTTAGCTATGTTAATATTCGGAAACCAACCCTCCATGCATGCATCCATAATAGGGCACTACTATATTGTTCAAAATGAGACCCTACCGAAATTGTAGGACTTATTTGCAGCACAATGTGGTTCAAATTGAATGACTGGAGACCAAACATCACGATAACAACCTCAGACCTGTAAGCTGTGAGGTTTCTTCATCTGGTGTTAATCAAGGTTAACATAGCAGAATGCAGCTAAACACCCCTAGATACGCAAACATCAACGTTATAGGAACTGAATGCATAGTGTGCAAACTAAAGATTAAGCAAAACTAAAATTAAATCTAAAAGAGTACATTGAATACCATGAAATTATCTCGAAAAGTGATTTTATCCATTGCTATTCGTTCGTGTCCTCCATTCTCAATCCTGTAAATTGGTTGGATGAGCCTTAGAAACTAAAGGTAAACAGAAAATGTACTCTGAATGAAGAAATTACTAACACAATAGAAGAAAGCCTTATTATAATATGATGCATGGTGATCACTATAGCTGGGGAAAAACTAATCTATAGCTTATCATAGCAGAAAGAATAGGAAGGCAAAAATTGTTTCATTATAGGAATATGATATAGAAGCAATGTACTAAAAGTTAACAAAAGGAATTTGAGATTGGAATAGGTAATAGATTAAGACTTTAATATGATTGGAAGATGCAGTAAGGTGTTGTTGCTCTTAACACCAATGGGGAAAAAAAAACCAAACGAAGTGATGGAGGCATAAAACTGAAACAAAATAGGTTAGGTCGCATAAAGGATAAGAGATTCTCAAATGAAGGCAACAAAAAACTGTATCATGAATCAAGGTATTTAAAAATCGAATTCACTAATAGCAAAGATAACAGAATCCAATAAACTATAAGTATTGACAGAAAATGAGGGATTCCACAAAGAAGCATGCACTGAATTAAGAAGTAAATATGAATCATAAGAGTAAAGTGTCAGATTAGTCTAAAGGAAGAAAAATAATGATAAGAACCAGCAATGAGAAAGTAATGAAAGAGGAGAACATAAAGAGAGCAATGAAGGCAAAAGGAAAATAAAACCACAGAGTTCTTACTGTAGGCATCAGTACTTGAACTCGCTGATAGTGACCACTTGAATCATAGGAGGAAGATTCTCAGACTCAAATAGATATTGGAGTGAAATTTCAACGGTAATTCAAACAGCAGACGAAAACACTGACTGAAACACGTTCACTGGCTGCGGATTCAGCATAAGAGTAGCATAGTTATGCAAAGGTCATAGGCAGCAACCTCTAAATCATGAAGTACGGAAAGAGAGACTTACCAATTACCATGGTGGTCAGGTGGATGCAAAAATCAAATGACGATCAATAAAGAAGATTTGTTTGGGTTGCAGCAAGTGATTGGTTTTTTCAGCCTCTTCCGCTCCTTTGAGACAACGATCAACGAATAGAAACTTCCGAGGGATTTGGTTGCTGCCACAACCTACAATATAGTCATCCCTTTTACTGAAATAGTTGTGAACAAATGTAACACAAAAGACAGAAGCAAAAAGGAAGAGCATGGCTGAAATCGCACAATCAGCTGCCAACACCCAAATCTAGAAAGCACCACTCACAGGGTAGCTGCTGACACTGGCGCGACTGTTACCAAGCATCCAAACCATCATCATAAGATTTCTTGCAGTTCTACCAACTTCTTCTTCCTCGGACTTCTTCTTCTTAGCGGTGGGGAAGAGAAAGAGATGGGTCAATGTTGTAGACCAAATTCGACTAAATATGATCTAAAAAATAAACGGAGAAGAAAATTGAGAAACAATGAGATATTCTAGCTAAAAAATCAAATACCAAGAGCAAAAAGAGGGAAGATTATCAGCATACCCAGAACCCATGAACAAATCTGACTCCTCGGCCATTATGAGAAATCCCTTTGGCCATCTATATTCCAATTCTGTCATGCCACCCACAGTTCCACTCCCCACCTAAAAGCGACCCACACGCCCCTTTCTCGTGTCACGTTCCTCTTCTCTCGACATGCATATCCCAAGAGTAGGGATGGCAATTTAAACTCTTCTCAACAACGCAAAACCACTTTGATTAAAAATACACAGAGGTTAAATAAAGTTAGATGCAAAGTTTAAAGAAAAACCTGTCAATTTCTATATAGAATAAGGAACCTGCAGTGGAATAGGAAGTTGACAAAAACTCCGTTGACATACCGGCGACCCATCGCTCGCTTTTGCTCGTTCATAAGGGTACGGATAAGGCACGGCAGAACATCAATTACCATCGGAATCCTTGTAATATACCTCGGTGACCCAACCTCCTCGGAAAGGGGACGAAGAAACCCTCCAAAAGAAGAAAGAATGAGAACGAAACCATGAAAGGAAGAAAACAGAGTTAACAAACTAATCCCAGAAAGAATCGTCACCTGAAATCCAATTGTAGTACGGAACCTGGAGATCGGATTTTTCTCCAAACCGTCACGCAAAACACCGATTATCATAGGAATCCTGGAGATTAGCTTCTTCTCCACACCATCACTGAACCTCTCAAATCTGCCGGCTGTGATAAACAAAGAGAACAAAGAAACCAATACAAAATCAGCAAGAGAGAGCGGAACAGAGACTATAATGAAACTGAAACAGAGAGGAAAACTGATGATGCAGCAATAGCTCGTCGTAAGCACCTATGGCCGAGAGAAGAAGTCTGGTTGGCTCGTCCCTTCGTCGATTCGCCGAAGAAGAAGCTTAGATGGAGAAAGACAAGTGTAAACTGCAAGTGTCGACCGAGACATGTGGCCGTCGGGATTGGGAGTTCAACAAAAAGAATCGAAATCGAAGATGAACTGGAAAACGTTTAAGAAATTGATCTGCAAGGGTGGGTTTCTTCTTCTTCCTTGAGATTAGTGGTTGCTAGGGATAGAAGGGGTGAGTTTCTTCTTCTTTGAGATGAGTGGTTGGAAGAGATTCTGACGTGGGAGAGATAATGGAAAAGGGATAAGAGGGACTAAAGTGAGGGGAAAGATCTTCCTTTTCTCCTTCTACGTGAGAGATAAGAGGAGAAAGTAAAAAAACTTTAAAAGAAGTGGAAGAGGGGATTAATTGGAAGTGACAGGACGAGCTCCAAGATGTCAGAGAAAGGGACAATAAGAACAAGCAAAAAAGCAGGCAAGTAACGTCAGAGAAAAGGCCAATGAGAACAAGCATTTTTTTTTATTTAAAAAAAAAACGACCCAATCCTACACATGTAAAACTCGACCTCGACCAAAATTCGTCAATATTGTGTTCAACTCGCTTTAGTCGGGTCGACATTAGGTCAAACATCCATTGATTCAAGCATGCAAAGCTCACTGTCGACCCAAAAGTTGTCAATGGCCGGTTTAACACGCTCACGCCGAGTGGAATTAGGTCAGATACTCATTGATTTTTGTCCAATTTGGGCTCAATTGTCATAAGTTAATTAATTAGAACGTTAATGGCACAAAAACTCCTCCAAAGTTTACAAAAGTTGGTAAAATCTGTTGCCGATAAAAAAGTCGGCAGCACCGAAACCGGATCGAATTAGATTGAGTACACCCGACTCAACAAAAGCGGGTAAAATTCGTTCCCAACCAAAATCTGGCAACATCGGGACTGGGTCGAATCAGGTTTAATATAGTTTTTAACAAAAGCGACAGACAACCCAATTCGTCATTTACAAAAGTTGGCAAAATATGTTGCGGACCAAAAATTCGGCAACACCGAAACCGGATCGAATTAAATTGAGTACACATGAATTTAGGTACATAAAAAGAAATCATTAAACATAAGATTAATGAAGGAGAGAGAGAGGGAGGGATGAAGATTGATGGAGGGGGGAGGAGTTACGGGAGTGGTGAAAATGAATGGATGGGAATAGGAGAGAGGAAAGGAATAAAGAAATAAAACATAATTGCATTTTTAGTCCTCAGTAAAGTCTTGGTTAATGGTTAATTACAAAAGAGAGCCACCTATGCATGTCAGAACTCAGAAGAAGGGCCAATCAGAAAGGAGAACAAGAGGCAAAAAAGCAAACCAAGTCACAGTGTTTGGATGTGACTCTAAGAAACAGTAAAGTTGTAACTTGTTCTTTTAAAGAGATAATAGTAGAAATGCTCCAAATTTACATGTACACAAAAGTTTAAAGTACTAGGATATAGAAAATAACGAGCATCTACCTTGAGCATGTCACAGACAGCATTGTGCTCTTTGATGAAGAGGGCCTGCAGGGTTGTGGTACCAATCCAAGTACCACGAATGTCTCCTGATATGGCCAACCCATCTCCATCGTGTTGTAGAAGACCATCTTCAGCTATCTTCAGCTTCCCATCTGTCAACTCTCTCACTTTCTGCCCTCTTTCCGCATCACTCCCATATATCACACTTGCATCCCTGATGGTCGTGACGATCAAATTTAATTAATAATTCCCCGGTTTTCCCCCATTTTCATAAAGTTATCGAAGAATTTTGATCAACTAATGATGCATAACCCGAATGATATATAGCAGTATTTAATCAATTACCACCAAGATGTGCGCCTGTTGAGTGTGCCAGTCTGGATGTCATTGGAGCCGGTTGGAAGTTCCTTGGTGGCATAGAACTTGAATGAACTGAGAGGGCATTGGCCCGCGATCTCTTTTGGTGCAGTCAGTTCTATCTATATAAAAAGAAACCCACAAAACAATTCCTTCAAAACAACTTAACCACCACAAAGAAAAATGTAGTGGGTAATTAATTAATTAACTAGATAGCTAGCTGATGATATGAAAGACCTGCTTGGTATCCTCGAGATGGTCAACCCAGTCGTGGATCATGAACTGAATCCAAGAAGCCGCAACCATGTTGAACTGCTTCCCTGTGTCCTTGTACTTCTCACCAGACCTCCTTGCTAGCAGCTTCGTCGCCACTAAGGCAGGATGTGGCGTTACCACCTTAAACAAAATATGTAAGTAAATCTTTGATCAAGGAAAATTTCGCTAAAAAATGGATAGAGAAAAAGAGCCATGTAATTAAGTACCTTGTCTTCAGCAGATGGCATCATGTTTCTACCAAAGAAAGTGTTCTGACCGCCTGCAACTCCATTGAAGGGATCGTTGTACCTCCCGTCTTCCGTCCTGTGAGGATAATCAGCCGGGTCGAAACCGTCGCCGGGGAGCTGCCCACCAACGTTGAGCAAGTTGTGGACTTGGTGAAGGTGCCGACGAATCGCCAGGTAAGCCAGACCCAAAATCACCGGCAGCTTGTGCCATAGGTTCTTCTTGTCGACGGAGTGCACAATCTGCATGGAGAAAAGAGTAGTGAGAGAAGTGATTGTTGATATATCATCGGAAGGTTTGAACCTGAAACAAATGACGATGATGTCGGTTTTGTGTGTGTTAAATTACCAAGAAGCAGAAAGCATCGAGGACTGACATCTTAGCAACGACTCCATGGAAATCCTGGTGGATGAATTTGGCGATGACGTCTTTGCACAACTTAGAGAGGACACACATGGTGTCTCTCTCTATCTTCTCTGCTGGGGGATTGGTATGGAGGAACAATATACTACTACTAAGTACTGCTTGTGGATGTTATTATGAAATGGAAAGAATCGATATTTATAGGCGGAACTAACTAAGGGAGAAGGGATGGATCGAGAAGTACTCAAACAATGTACTTTTTCTAGTCTAGAAGCTTTTTGCTACTTTTACTGGATTGTTTACGTCATGACTCATGAGTGAAATGATTAACAACGACATCGAGTAGGTTGAGTACATCATCGCCGTGGAATGAGTTCCGGTGCATAACTTAAAACTTCATGCGCATAACACTTTCTATCTTAATTCATTTTATATTTTAAACTAGAAATTTTGTAAAAAAAAAAAAGAAGAAGAGGAGGATTGTTGCATACATAATAAGATCCATTTTGATAAAAAAAAAATTATGGGCCGATTTAAGATGGTAATAACTAATAAGTTTATCTTACGATGTCCGTGAGATATAGCATAATTAATCTGTAACATTGTATTTTAGCATTGTCTTACTATGGTCATAATTAAATTGACCAAATTAATTTTTTTAAAGCATATACAAATGGATTTAATTTTATATAATTTTAAAATCAGTTGATCCCAGTAATTTAAATAATTGGGAGAGGTCCAATTATGAATCAAATATCATTTACTAATACATCTTTCAAACAAAAGCCATGTTCAAATACTCCGTGTTTAACAAATGAGGGATCGTCGATCAGGATTCAAATACAAGACTTCATCATGATCATGAATCAAGTGGTTAAATATTTGGATCATAAATTAATTTCCAATTCTTAATATTTTTTAGTTGATTTAATGGATTGCGTTATGCTCTCTATTGATAATTCGTTGAGACGAATCTTTCATAAGTATGAATCAATTCTTCCCATGCCTCCTAGAATGGTTTCTAATGAGAGCGACAACCATCAAAGAAGAATTGAGGGATCAAAAAGATAGTTGTAACAATGATTTCTATCTTATGAACTTTTTAACACTATATCATAAGATAGTTGTAACAATGTCTTACTACTATCGTAACACTATATCTTAGGCGACCATTCTAATTAACCATGTATCTTATGACAGTTGTACCACTATCTTATGACCATTGTAAAACAGTCTTGCAATGGTCGTAAGTTGCTTATCAAAATGGAAATGGCGGCCACTATCTTATGACAGTTGTACCACTATCTTATGATCTTCTTGACTACTTATATTTGCCGTTCTTTGGGATAGATCATAATTTATGATCTATTTTCCTTTTAATATATGCATGTATCATTCATAAAACAAATTCAATTATCAACATTGTGACCATACTCACATCATCTAACGTTGATGTTCTTTACGACCTTATGGGCTCAAGAAATGGAATGGAATTATGTTCTATGTGAGTTGAAGATGCCAGCTCATGAAATCTTCTGGCTAAAGCTCTAAATAGTATTACTAGAGAAAAATAATAAATAATTGAATCGATTGGATTTTTTTTTTGTGAAAATTAGTTTTTGTGTGTATAATTAGATTAATTAGATATTTAAATACTTTTCATGTATGAATCTGGATGAAAGTATAAAAACTGTGCTTAAAATTTAGGGTTATTATTGAATTATTTTAAAATCAATATTTTTAGTTGATTTAATCATTGTTGAAGAATTTTTTTTCTTAACTCGCGTTTGTAATCAATCTTGAAAAGAAAAGCATGTCATAAAATTATAAAATAAAAAAAACATGTCATAAATATGAATATATTCTTCTTCACGGCTACCAATAATTCATAATGAGAGCACCAACCATCAAAGAATGATGAACTTTTCAACAATAAATAAAAATGGAAGAATCAAAAACATAATTTCAAAGTGGCCTGATATAAGGTGTTATGAGGGAAGTTTACTCATTTCAAGAAAGTAGGTGCTAATATTGTATGAATCACATTAATATAGCACATGGTTGAGTATATTTTCATCTTTGGAGATAAATGTGATGCACGATTCATATTTTTATGGTTAAATTCTATGAATTAAGTCTACGTCAATATATCACATAGTTTATCTTGAGTAAATTATCAGACTTTTTCGAATCTTACAAGTCACATCCTCTACAATATGAAGGGGCAGAAATAGCAAATGAGTCAAGTCTAATTAGAGTTTTGGTTTAATTTGAACTCAGTTCGTTAATAAACTTGTTGAGTTCGAACTCGACTTGCGTACTGAAACCTTGACTTGTGTTTGACTCGAGCTCGACTCATTAATGAGCTCACGAGCTCTATTTGAGCTCGAGTTCAAGTATCATATTATTTAAATTTATAAATTTTAATAGTTCATATCATATTATTTAATAGTAATTAGTATCCAAACAATCTATGACACATTATATCTCTTTTAATTATAAAGAAAACATATTTGCTCACGTAATCAAAGTCATAGACATCAAATAATGAGATACATAATCTAAGATACCTATAAATTATCAACAAGTCAACTCATAAATTATAAATCAATTCACTCATAAGCCGCTAGTCGAGGTGGCTTGCTAGTCAAATTGTAGAGTAAGACCATAGCTCAAAACGAGGTAACTCACGAGTTGAGCTCAACAAAACACCTAGTTGAGCTATCTCAACCTCAACTTATTAGTAAACGAGTTGATTGTCAAATGAAATTTTTTCGGTTCGAACATCGAGCCGTGGTCAGAACCTTTTATAGCTACCATAAAATATGGAAGGCTTCTACCTTAAAGGAGCTTTATACATATTAGTAATTATAGATACTCGCTACATATCTTAAAGTCGTGGAAGATGGCATAATTTTTTTGAAGGGTAATGTCTTTTTTTATCCAAACATTTTTCAGATTCTTTTATATTATCTAAATCTATTAAAATTCTATTAATTAGCCAAAATTTTCATAATGTATCAAAATATTAGCCATTTTTATGTTATCGTTAATAATTTTTTAACTCTTTTCTTAATTAAAACACTAAAATTTTGGAATGTTAACCTTCATGTGTCTCTTCCAAGTCAGTATCATGTTGCCAAGTCAACATTACTAATAAAATTGCTAACTGGAAGTTAACATTTGGTTAATTTTTAGTATTTCGATAGGTTTGGATAATATAAAATAATCTGAAAAAGATTTGGATAAAAAATAGAGATCACCCTTTTTGAACATCAAACTTAAAAACCTTGCAAGAATTTTCAAGTGTTAAATATGTTCGGTAATAATAGCTCAGAGATTCTTATTATTTTATCTCACATCTCTGTTTTCTTTCCCTATCATCTCATCTACCACAAGTACAGGTCATCTACCACAAGTACAGGGACAAGTGAAGCACCTGCAGTCCACCAGCATAACATGGTTCCTGCTGGTCCAAATTACCCCCAATGAACGAATACCAAACACTGATCTTGGTATCACACACAACATTTCTGCTAGCTTTTATTTATGAAACAATTGGAAACCAGCAATAACAGCTAGAGATGTCACATAATTCCTGGAATCCGGAGATAGAGAGGAATCCAGCTTTGGCGCTGTGGAGGCGCATCCCAGACAGTAAATGCACTAGTAGAGTTCATCCATTTCTTGGTCATTCCAGGAGAATGGCGATCGATCACATCTCGAAGAGACTCCGTAGTGTTCACCCATGCGAGCCCTTTTTTTGTGTAGGTTTCCTCGTTAAAATAGCTTGTGAAGAACCTGTCAGCCTCCAGCCTCCTTGAAGCCATGAGGATGAATATGAAGAACGCAGTCTCGCTTATGGCGAATCCTTTGATCTTTTTCTCTGCCATGAGGCCGACTAGAAGATCCAGTTCCTCAATTCGATCGCCATAAACCTCAGTGAGCACTCGGATGGCTTCCTTGTCGTCCGTTAGGTCTTCCCATTTCGATATTGGTATCATCAACAGGCGTCTGCGGAACTCATTGTACCTCGGAACTTTCCTCTCCCTGTCTCTATATACTGTCCAAAAACATAATATAAAGATAAGGTTGGCAAGCAGACACATGCTAGATGATATGATGGAGAACTGTGATTCTTCAGTAAGGATAATTAATTATCTTACCTTCAAGGGCTGGCAGGTCGACATGATCAGGCCTGTCTCTGCCATTGGGATCCTCCGGTGTAAGGTTCCTAAGCCAATTTGGGTAGTTCCATAGCTCAAGAGCCCCACAGGCTTGGTGACCCATGGAGACCATTTGCCTAGTGAACCCTATTTCTGATAAAACCTTCTCTCCATTTGAGCCTATCAACTCTGAAACCGGCAGCCTGTCCAAGAACAAAGCACAAAACATCAATACATTACAAGAAGCCATTGTATGGTATCTTTTCAAGTGACGAGGGAGAAATAAAACAGAAAGATACTTTTTGGCTACAGGTGGAGATTCGTTGGGAGCTGGTTCAGTTGAAATGTCCCTGACAAGGAATTCGTCAGGCAAAAGAGAGTGTAGTCGGTATACACTGACAAAATCCTCTGTTAAGGAGTATGGAACTCCATGATTTTCTGGCTTCTTCAAACCAACAAGACCTCCCAGTTGAGCATCTCCAATGTGGCCAAATGTGTCCTTGAACCATTTCCCCAGGAATCCGTACCAATTTGTTCGCATTGCAGCGAGTAATGTATCAGTTTTCAGGAGCTCGACAGTCCAATCAATGGTGTGAACCTTGGCAATCACAGCAGCTGTCACCAATCTTGCCCGCCTGTATAGTTCCTCATCTACCATCTCTGGATATTCTTTCTGAAAACCAACATTTTTCAGAGATGGTGTTTCAGTATCAGAGACGCAAGTTTTACTATAGAGTTCTGTTGTTTCAACATATCACCTTGATCATGTCACAGACAGCATTGTGCTCTCTGACGAAGAGGGCGTGCAGGGTAGACGTGCCAATCCAGGCACTACGAACGTCTCCTGATAAAGCCACCCCATCTTCATCATGGGGTAGAAGACCATTTTCAGCTATCTTCAGCTTCCCATCTTTCAACTCTCTTACTTTCTGCAACCTTGTTGCATTTTGTCCATAGATAGCACTTCCATCCCTTCACCCAGAATGTAACAGCACCTTTATGATGAGCTTTACTTGGCCGAATTGAAACACAAACGAAAAACAGGAGATGGTTCAGAGGATTACTAGTATTTACCACCATGATGTACGTGTGTTCAGGGTACCAGTGTTGATGTCTGAGGAACCAGTTGGAACTTCCTTGGTCATGTAGAACTTGAAAGAACTCAGAGGGCATTGGCTGGCAATCTCTTTTGGTGCTATAAGCTCTATCTAAATAAAAGAAGGTAGAATTCACGAGAAACAGAATAAGTTACTAGATTGGAAGTACTCCGGTATCAGAAAGAAGTAACATAAGTTGATTTGACATAGAAATTACAAAGCTTTCCATCCCTATTCTCTTTAATATGATTTTAAAGTAGTCTGGACCATATAACTTATTAAAATTTATGTAAGTAATTATAAAATTCTATTTAGCCTCTAAAGTTCCAATTCTTGAATATTTCAGTCAGTCACTAGAGTAACTGAACCGAAAAATCAGTAGAAATCTGAAACCCAAATTAGTCAGTTGTCTAAAATTGAAACTGAGAAACAAAAAAAGAACATTTGATTGCATTAAGAATTACAGTTTTATTGATTTACTAATGTTTTTCCGTTTTAATGGAAACCGAAACCGTTAGACGCTTATTATTTTTCACCATTAAAGGGAATCAATAAGCCTGTTAAATAGCTTCGGTTAACACCGAAAAACCAAACCCGAACCGACACCCCCTACACTAGAACCATCTAGAACCATTTGTTCAATCGTCATTATTTACATATGTAAATAAGATCCTCCAACCTAAAAAAACAATAAAAGTTGTTGGTAACTTTTATTGTAAAACACACTTCGACTTTTATTACTAGTTTCAGTTGTAGCCAACTTGTTCAACTGACCTTTTACTAATTGAATTGAATGGTCTCCAGAAAATACTAAGAACATTAATTTGACACTTAATGATCATTTCACGCCACAAAATAAGTAGCTGACCAGATTAGGTGCCTAAGCACCAAGTTGATCCAAAACTTAAACTTAGTTTGATGAAGATCCAATGGCAACCATTAGAAAACAATATACATTCAGCCCTTCCTAGTCTCAAGTAATCCACGCCAATAAACACTGGTGACAATACTTTTTTTTGTGTGAATTTTCTGTAATCCACGCCAAAGATGACCAACTCGCAACTCCACTTATCATTGGACAGGAACTAGCCTTCTTCTAACCCACCAATTAAGAAGGAAAAACGTACTAGATAAGATCAAATGAATTTCCACTGGTTGACTCTGTCGCCATATATCAGACAACACATAAATCTTCCTAACATTCACACTCTCTATATTCTAATACAGGAAACACATAAAAATGGTATCTAAAACAAGAAGATTTAGTAAGATATATCTATCCGTATCTATCTATGTATAATATATACCTGCTTGGTATCCTCCAAATGATCAATCCAGTCGTGGATCATGAACTGAATCCAAGAAGCTGCAACCATGTTGAACTGCTTTCCTGTATCCTTGTACTCTCTCCTTGCCAGTAGTTTTGCAGCCACTACAGCAGGATGTGGTGTTATCAACTACAACAACAAAATAGGAAACTTTGATCAGAAAATGGTAAAAACAAAGCCAGCCTACTAAATCTACACTACTCTTTTTTCTGCCATGCATGCAAAGATGACATATGTACGTTGCCTGAGTTTCTTTGTCTAAGGTTACTGTACCTTATCTTTCTGATCAAGAGGCATTACGTTTCTGCCAAAGAAAGAGTTTTCACTGCCGGCAAACTCATTGGAGGGATCATTATACCTTCCATCTGCTGTCCTGTACGGATAGTCAGCCGGGTTGAAGCCTTCACCGATCTGGTGACCAACATTGAGCAAACTATAGACGTTATGAAGGTGTCTACGTATTCCCAGGTAACCGAGACCCAAAATCACAGGCAGCCTGTGCCATAGACGCTTCTTGTCAATGGAATGTACAATCTGCAGAGAAACAATCAAAACACAAGAATGGGGTTATCTCCATTAATGAGCAAGACACGACTATTATTATTAGCATGGACACATAGGATATCAACTATGGAAGGACATTTTTTCTTTTACCCAGAAAAGGAAAGCATCAAGCACTGTCATCTTAGCCACAGCCCCATGGAAATCCTCTTCGATAAACTTAGTGATCAAGTCTTTGCAAAACCTAGTAAATACAGAGGACATGGTTTATCTGTTCAGAGGCAATTCAGTATAGAACAGTCGGTCAAGTAGATGCCCATCAAATAATGGTGCAAGGATCAATTTATAGTAGAGAAACAATGAGATAAGCACTCCAAAATAGATTAAGTTTTCTTGTCAACTGGACCAAATGGATGTCATAGTTTGAGCAGTGCAAGAATCAATTTGTAGAAACAAAGAGAGAAGCACCCACCTTAGTGTCAGTTTTCTTGTCAAGTGAACCAGATTTCACAAAATGAAAGAAATGGCGCAAAAGTCAACGTGTAGAGAAACACGAGGGGAGCACCCAAATTAAATATGGTGATAGTATTAGTAACGCGTAGGTTCTGAGCTAAATTAACAGCTGCAGTTTACTTTTGGAATGGCGGCCGGGAGGGTGTGAAATTGAGAAGCCAAAAATGAGTAAAAAACAAAGTCGTGTCTCGATCATGTGAGTAATACCAAGCTGATACTCATCCAAAGGATTCACCAGGGTAGTCAAAAGGACAGTTAACGGTGAAAAGAACAGCAGTGACTAGTGAGACTGCGCAGTTACCACGACATGGAAACATTCACCACATCCCGGATTCAAATCCTTGGGATTAATTTAGAGTAATTTTCACCATGTTCATCTGTCTTATTCTAGTCGTTGGACACAAAACAATCATAAAAAATGGATGAAATACTTAGACTTGGCTGATGTAGCTTATTACATCCAGCTAGAAGGATCCCCATTGACAGAGGAGGCAATGCCACAATAATTGATATGCAGTTAGCAATTAGGTCCGGAGGGTCACGACTCAATACCCATGAATCACACAGGATATTATATTAAACAAAAATCCTTATCGTTCACGTATATACAAACCTTTTCCCGAAACTAGCTGAAGTCCTAATTCTCGAAACTCAATTTTCATTTAGACATTTTCGCGAACACCTACCATGCAGTTGGCGAAAACATACCGAGAAAGTATCTCTATTCTCTAAAGACCCAAACGTCACGTTCCTACGTTCACATTGTCAGATAATACAACAACTAAAATTGAAGGAAACGGCTTTCATCAAAGTTCGCAGCTTTCTTCCAGCAACGGAACTGGGCACTCATTCACGTAGAAACAGAGTAATGACAGTACCTGTAAGGTAGCTTGGTGGCAAAGGATTTTGTAGGATATCCCAATTAATATCTTCCATCATCTAGCATTCATCACCCCACTGGGAAGCTTGGTAAGAATGAATGCCACCAGTTGATGGCGGAGTCCCGAGAGATCGACGGAGTCCCGTCCGGCAAAATGTGTTCCATCGGGGACGCGCCGTCGAGTCTGCCTTCCGCCGTTCCGCGCGCGATTTTACAATAATTAAAACAAGACGGCGGGCTTAATGTCCATAAGGGCAGGCCCATCGAGAAGAAACTGAAAAGAGAGCGGGGTTTTGCCCTTTTAAGAAAAGGCCCATTAAGAGGCCCATAATTTGGAAGCCCAAATGTTCCTACATCTTCGACTTCGCATCCTCCATTCTCTGTCGCGCTTTCCCTTCCGTCAATTTATTTTTTTGCCCCCAAGCATCTCAAATACCAGAGTCCACAAGTACAGGGACAAGTGAAACACCTGCAGTCTACCACTACCAGCATAACATTGTTCCTGGTGGTCCAAATTACCCTCAATAAAAGAAACTACAAGCATTGATCTTGGGATCACACACAACATTTCTGCTAGCTTTTATTTATGAAACAATAGGAAACCAGCAATAATAGCCAGAAATTTCACATAAATCCTGGAATCCGGAGATAGAGGGGAATGCAGCTTTGGGGCTGAGGAGGTGCATCCCAGACAGTAAATGCACTGGCAGATTTCATCCATTTCTTGGTCATTCCAGGACTGTGGCGATTGATCACATCTCGAAGAGACTCCGTTGTGTTCACCCATGCAAGCCCTTTCTTTGTGTACGTTTCCTCATTGAAGTAGCTCGTGAAGAACCTGTCGGCCTCCAGCCTCCTCGAAGCCATGAGAATGAATATGAAGAATGCAGTCTCACTTATGGCGAATCCTTTGATTTTTTTCTCTGCCATGAGACCGACAAGAAGATCTAGTTCCTCAACTCGATCGCCATAAACCTCAGTGAGAACTCGAATGGCTTCCTTGTCGTCCGTTAGGTCTTCCCATTTTGATATTGGTATCATCAACAGGCGTCTGCGGAACTCATTGTACCTCGGAACTTTCCTCTCTCTGTCTCTATATACTGTACAAAGAACATAATATAAAGATACGTTGGCAAGCAGACACATGCTAGATGATATGATGGAGAACTGTGATTCTTTAGCAAGGATAATTAATTATCTTACCTTCAAGGGCTGGCAGGTCCACATGATCAGGCCTGTCTCTGCCATTGGGATCCTCGGGTGTCAAGTTCCTAAGCCAATTGGGGTAGTTCCATAGCTCAAGAGCCCCACAGGCTTGATGGCCCATGGAGACCATTTGCCTAGTGAATCCTATTTCTGATAAAACCTTCTCTCCATTTGCCCCTATCAACTCTGGAAGCGGAAGCCTGCCCAAGAAAAAAGCACAAAACATCAATACATCACAAGTCATTGTATAATTCGAAGTGATCAGGGAGAGATAGAGGAGAACGATACTTTTTGGCTACAGGTGGAGATTCGTTGGGAGCTGGTTCAGTTGAAATGTCCCTAACAAGGAATTCATCAGGTAAAAGTGAGTGCAGTCGGTATACACTGACGAAATCCTCTGTTAAGGAATATGGAACTCCATGATTTTCTGGCTTCTTCAAACCAACAAGACCTCCCAGTTGAGCATCTCCAATGTGGCCAAATGTGTCCTTGAACCATTTCCCCAGGAATCCGTACCAGTTTGTTCGCATTGCAGCGAGTAATGTATCAGTTTTCAGGAGCTCGACAGTCCAATCAATGGTGTGAACCTTGGCAATCACAGCAGCTGTCACCAATCTTGCCCGCCTGTATAGTTCTTCATCTCCCATCTCTGGATGTTCTTCCTGAAAACCAACAGTTTTCAGAGATGGTGTTTCAGTATCAGAGACACAAGTTTTACTATAGAGTTCTATTGTTTCAACATATCACCTTGATCATGTCACAGACAGCATTGTGCTCTCTGACGAAGAGAGCGTGCAGGGTAGACGTGCCAATCCAGGCACTACGAACGTCTCCTGATAAAGCCACCCCATCTTCATCATGGGGTAGAAGACCATTTTCAGCTATCTTCAGCTTCCCATCTTTCAACTCTCTCACTTTCTGCAACCTTGTTGCATTTTGTCCATAGATAGCACTTCCATCCCTTCACCCAGAATGCAGCAGCACCTTTACGATGAGATTTACTTGGCCGAATTGAAACTCAAACGAAAAACAGGAGATGGTTCAGAGGATTATTAGTATGTACCACCAAGATGTACGTGAGTTCAGGGTACCAGTGTTGATGTCTGGGGAACCAGTTGGAACTTCCTTGGTCATGTAGAACTTGAAAGAACTCAGAGGGCATTGGCTGGCAATCTCTTTTGGTGCTATAAGCTCTATCTAAATAAAAGAAGGTAGAATTCACGAGAAACAGAATAAGTTACTAGATTGGAAGTACTCCAGTATCAGAAAGAAGTAACATAAGTTGATTTGACATAGAAATTACAAAGCTTTCCATCCCTATTCTCTTTAATATGATTTTAAAGTAGTCTGGACCATATAATTTATTAAAATTTATGTAAGTAATTATAAAATTCTATTTAGCCTCTAAAGTTCCAATTCTTGAATATTTCAGTCAGTCACTAGAGTAACTGAACCGAAAAATCAGTAGAAATCTGAAACCCAAATTAGTCAGTTGTCTAAAATTGAAACCGAGAAAAAAAAAAAAAGAACATTTGATTGCATTAAAAATTACAGTTTTATTGATTTACTAATGTTTTTCCGTTTTAATGGAAACCGAAACCCTTATTGATTTTCACCATTAAAGGGAATCAATATGCCTGTTAAATAGCTTCGGTTAACACCGAAAAACCAAACCCAAACCATCTAAAAAATGGTGGACCATTTGTTCAAACGTCATTATTTACATATGTAAATAAGATCCTCCAACCTAAAAACCAATAAAAGTTGTTGGTAACTTTTATTGTAAAACACACTTCGACTTTTTTTACTAGTTTCAGTTGTAGCCAACTTGTTCAACTGACCTTTTACTAATTGAGTTGAATGGTCTCCAGAAAATACTAACAACATTAATTTGACACTTAATGATCATTTCACGCCACAAAATAAGTAGCTGACCAGATTAGGTGCCTAAGCACCAAGTTGATCCAAAACTTAAACTTAGTTTGATGAAGATCCAATGGCAACCATTAGAAAACAATATACATTCAGCCCTTCCTAGTCTCAAGTAATCCACGCCAATAAACACTGGTGACAATACTTTTTTTTGTGTGTGTGTGTGTGTGAATTTTCTGTATTTAGGTGCTTCGAACTAATTTGCTATAGTTTGATTGGGATTATAGGTGAGCAGCTTTCAGAGATCTATGCCAAAGATCACCAACTCGCAACTCCACTTATCATTGGACAGGAACTAGCCTTCTTCTAACCCACCAATTAAGAAGGAAAAACGTACTAGATAAGATCAAATGAATTTCCACTGGTTGACTCTGTCGCCATATATCAGACAACACATAAATCTTCCTAACATTCACACTCTATATTCTGATACAGGAAACACATAAAAATGGTATCTAAAACAAGAAGATTTAGTAAGATATATCTATCCGTATCTATCTATGTATAATATATACCTGCTTGGTATCCTCCAAATGATCAATCCAGTCGTGGATCATGAACTGAATCCAAGAAGCTGCAACCATGTTGAACTGCTTTCCTGTATCCTTGTACTCTCTCCTTGCCAGTAGTTTTGCAGCCACTACAGCAGGATGTGGTGTTATCAACTACAACAACAAAATAGGAAACTTTGATCAGAAAATGGTAAAAACAAAGCCAGCCTACTAAATCTACACTACTCTTTTTTCTGCCATGCATGCAAAGATGACATATGTACGTTGCCTGAGTTTCTTTGTCTAAGGTTACTGTACCTTATCTTTCTGATCAAGAGGCATTACGTTTCTGCCAAAGAAAGAGTTTTCACTGCCGGCAAACTCATTGGAGGGATCATTATACCTTCCATCTGCTGTCCTGTACGGATAGTCAGCCGGGTTGAAGCCTTCACCGATCTGGTGACCAACATTGAGCAAACTATAGACGTTATGAAGGTGTCTACGTATTCCCAGGTAACCGAGACCCAAAATCACAGGCAGCCTGTGCCATAGACGCTTCTTGTCAATGGAATGTACAATCTGCAGAGAAACAATCAAAACACAAGAATGGGGTTATCTCCATTAATGAGCAAGACACGACTATTATTAGCATGGACACATACGATATCAACTATGGAAGGACATTTTTTCTTTTACCCAGAAAAGGAAAGCATCAAGCACTGTCATCTTAGCCACAGCCCCATGGAAATCCTCTTCGATAAACTTAGTGATCAAGTCTTTGCAAAACCTAGTAAATACAGAGGACATGGTTTATCTGTTCAGAGGCAATTCAGTATAGAACAGTCGGTCAAGTAGATGCCCATCAAATAATGGTGCAAGGATCAATTTATAGTAGAGAAACAATGAGATAAGCACTCCAAATAGATTAAGTTTTCTTGTCAACTGGACCAAATGGATGTCATAGTTTGAGCAGTGCAAGAATCAATTTGTAGAAACAAAGAGAGAAGCACCCACCTTAGTGTCAGTTTTCTTGTCAAGTGAACCAGATTTCACAAAATGAAAGAAATGGCGCAAAAGTCAACGTGTAGAGAAACACGAGGGGAGCACCCAAATTAAATATGGTGATAGTATTAGTAACGCATAGGTTCTGAGCTAAATTAACAGCTGCAGTTTACTTTTGGAATGGCGGCCGGGAGGGTGTGACATTGAGAAGCCAAAAATGAGTAAAAAACAAAATCGTGTCTCGATCATGTGAGTAATACCAAGCTGATACTCATCCAAAGGATTCACCAGGGTAGTCAAAAGGACAGTTAACGGTGAAAAGAACAGCAGTGACTAGTGAGACTGCGCAGTTACCACGACATGGAAACATTCACCACATCCCGGATTCAAATCCTTGGGATTAATTTAGAGTAATTTTCACCAGGTTCATCTGTCTTATTCTAGTCGTTGGACACAAAACAATCATAAAAAATGGATGAAATACTTAGACTTGGCTGATGTAGCTTATTACATCCAGCTAGAAGGATCCCCATTGACAGAGGAGGCAATGCCACAATAATTGATATGCAGTTAGCAATTAGGTCCGGAGGGTCACGACTCAATACCCATGAATCACACAGGATATTATATTGAACAAAAATCCTTATCGTTCACGAATATACAAACCTTTTCCCGAAACTAGCTGAAGTCCTAATTCTCGAAACTCAATTTTCATTTAGACATTTTCGCGAACACCTACCATGCAGTTGGCGAAAACATACCGAGAAAGTATCTCTATTCTCTAAAGACCCAAACGTCACGTTCCTACGTTCACATTGTCAGATAATACAACAACTAAAATTGAAGGAAACGGCTTTGTTTTCCGGCGAGAAAACTTGCGTTGAAATAAATTAATTGCACCTTTGACTTCTTTGGACAACGATCACTAAACACGGTTCACACCTCTTCAAACACAGTTCGAACGAGGGTGTTCGATGTTTACACGACTCTCGAGACAGATCTACATTAAGTTACTCCTACTCCTATGGAGGTTCTGAGAGAGCTCCAAATCTACGACTACATCTATGACTACATGATAGAGAAAAGGTAAAGGATAAACTTGACATGTGTGTCAGAGTGTTGGTTTTGGAACCTTTGTCTCTGTCGACCACTCCTCTTATTTATAGCCCCGAGGAGGTAACCGCCATAGAAAACCGTTTGTTGGATAACTGCTACAAAGAACCGCTCCCCCTTCTTCGGTAGAAAACCGCCTCTTGGATAACTCCCAAAAAGAACCGCTCCCTGCTTCCTCGGAGTGGTGGTTACTCCTTCAACCGCCTAGGGGCTTCTCTTGTAACCGTCGTGGGTCTTGGAGTGTAACTTGCCTCGCCTGGTCTTGTTCTGAATCTCGTGTCATGCTAGTCTTTTGATAAGCATGTGGTGTCTCACAAAGGGGGTCGTGGTCTTCTTGCTTCGCGGCCATGGACTTCTCATTCATGTCCATGGCCTTCTTGTCTTACGGCCATGAACTTCTTACTCATGTCCATGGCCTTCTTGGGACTTAGTCACTAGTGATATAATGCTCCACCACCACGACCTTCTCATACGTGTCCATGGCCATCCTCGTGAGGTGGCATGGACCTCTCAATCATGCACAAGGCCCCTCTCATGAGGCGGCATGGCCTTTCCAAACTTAGTATTTTCAATCATTTCTAATGCTTCTTGCTTCGCGTCCATGGTCATCACATGACACGACCATGGACCTCTTAATCATGCACATGACCCTTCTCGTGAGGCGGCATGGCCTTCTCAGACTTAGAATATTTTCGGTTGTTTGGTTTAGATCATGAGGCGGCATGGCCTCTTTATTCGCGGCCATGGACTTCTCATTCATGTCTGTGGCCCTTTCTGTTGGACGACATTGGCCTGCTCATACTTAGTATTTTTCACGTGTCCTCTTGTCTCGCGTCCATGGCCGTCACGTATGACACGGCCATGGACCTCTTAATCATCCACATGGCCCTATATTCTCATACTTAGAATATTTTTATCGCACCGGGTCTTCATTGAGGTGGCATGTACCTCTTCCAGACTTGGTTAAATTTTCACTCATTCGGCCTTATTGGTGAGGCGGCACGGCCTCTCCGTTGATTTAGTAGCTTGGGCTTAAAATCAATATCCATAAGGCCCAACTTAAACAACATTAATTGTTATAATGGGTGTGGCCTTATAAACTCATTAATTATCTTGTAACTCACCAATGTGGTACAAGACAAAAATGTATAGTGTAAACAAATGCCCCCCAACTACTTAGTGCATAAGAATTATGGACTAAGTAGTTGAACACCACCATGCTAGCGAAAGTAACAAGATGGCTAGTGTCTACTCAACACACCTAGTTCGTCCTTAGCCAAAATTTGGCTTTCACGTCAAGCCAACACGGTAGGATGGTACTCGACGTCAAAACTTGTCTCATGCCTTTTAATGGTCAAGCCGCCTAATGCATTCAACGAGATACCAACTTCACTTTATCACCTACACCCTCATTGACATCTCGTACTTGGCCACATGGTTGAGAGAATAACTTAGAATTTTTCGCACCTATTTTGGCATAGATTGGCTCATCCCACCTCGTCACAAGGCTAGACAGTTCCCTCGCGACAAGTCAAGCCGTCTACTTTTTTGCCTTAGAAAAAATAATGTTCATTTTTTATGTTGGTAGAGACATTATGGTCACCACTCTTCTACTACCACTTTCAAGCCATCATGCCCCCCAGCCGTGGCTACTCGGGACAAGATAACATGGCATGGCATGACCTGATGTATGGCTCGTCATGTCAAGCCATCACAATAACTTGGTGGCAAGATCTTCATGTCGAAGTCTAACAACTCCGACTCAAGATTTTCACTTTGATATTTTCCTTCTATCTTTTATTTTAGCCATGGTTGGCTACAATATTTTTTTATAACTAATATATAATAATTACATTATATAAATTTATTTATTTTATATGGCAAGAAGTGACAAATGTCACTGCTCTCCATAGCCTTTGGCAACAATCAATGTACCAAAGGTGTACACCCATTGCCAAGTCCATGGATTAAAACATGCAAGCCATCCATATACCACATGCTTCTTTTCCTCCATGGAACATGATTCTCCATACATTAATTTTGAATCTTCTAGCTTACCAGTGGGTGGTATATGATCAGCATGTCTAGCCTTGGTGGCCTTGCATGGGGCCTCCTGCTCATATGCTTTAGCCACATCACTTGACATGTTAAGACGACCATGGGTTTTCCTCTGCCTTGGTTTCCTCATGGTTGAGACATGCTTACTCTCCTCATGTTGTTGGAGACGATGTCCAGTCTTGACAAGTTGGCGACCACCCATGTGGCCCACTTGATTTTGTCTTTCAACCTCCAAACCTTGTTGGCTCCTACCCTTAGCACACGACCATCTTTGGTTCTTTGTGAGGCCATGTCTGGTTTGTGTGTATGATACCTTCTTATACATGCCCCTATGTCCATCATTCATGATTGATGGCATGTACTTACTACTCATGGACATGGACTTGCCCCCCTGTCTACACTTAGCCAAACTTGCGTACTTATCACAAGCATGTGTAAGTTGGAATTCTTTTAGATTCTTGGACATGCCCCCTACTCCATTATTCATGGTGGGTGACATGCCTCCTTGCTCATACTTAGCTAAATTTTCAACACTACGAGAACTCTTTTTGGCTTTCCCACGTCTTTTCTTGTTGGACTTGACCCCATGTCCACTATTTGTGATTGGTGGCGTGCCCTCTTGTCCAGACTTAACCATATTTTTACACTTATAAAAGCCATGAGTGGCTTGGAACTGTTGTGTCTTCCAAGACATGCCCCTTACTTCATACTTCATGATGGGTGACATGCCCCCATGTCCAGGTTTAGCCAGACTAGCATGCTTATCATATGCCTGTGTGGCTTGGATTTCATATGGCTTCTTGGACATGCATTGTCCATACTTGGCCAAATTTTTAAATCCACAATAACTTTTTATGGGTTTCTCACGTAGTGACTTGTTAGATATGCCCTCGTGTCCACTCGAAGTGGTTGGAGGCATGCCCCCCTTTCCATACTTAGCCAAATTAGTATGCTTAGCACAAGCATGTGTTGCTTGTGATTGGTGTAGCCTCTTAGACACCGCATACCCCCCAGACGGACATCTCGGGTTCAGCTTGTGGGAAGTTAGACTTTCATGCCCCCCTTGCCGAGCTCTATGCGTTTTGAGTCCATCAGAATCGCCTCCTTGCATACTCCATAGGGGTGGCATTGGGGGCTGGCAAGCAGGTGGTGGTACTTGGTCCACATTGAATGGATCTTCACCATCTCGTCCATTGACAAGTGTCTCATCTGATCTTGCCTCGAGAACAAGAGGTTGAACATCACCTTGTACATGCAAGACCCCATGATTGGTGTTCAAAGTGGAGGTGGACCTCTCACCATAACTATCACATTGATGGAGTGGTTTGCTTGCCACTGGAGGTGACAAGCTCTTCTGCCATAGTTGGCCATTCTGGTCATTATCAGAAGAGTTTGTACCATCTAGTGGCAAATCTCTTGATTTAACCACTTGCTTTATCAAAAGGTGTTTCAAATCATTGAAATCATCATTATTTTTGTTAATCAACTCTATAAGTTGACTTAAACGATTATCTAGATGAGAAGTGAGAGATGCTAGGCGGAGGCTTACTTGTTGGGCACCACGATGAAGGCCGACTAGGCATCCCTCCAAGGGATAACGATGTTCCTCCATGGCACGGACGTTCTCCACCCTCAACATGCGGTTCTCCTCCATGGCTTGACGGTTTTCCGCCATCATCTTGCGGTTCTCCTCCAAGGCTTGACGATTCTCCACCATCATCTTGCGGTCTTCCTCCAATATTTTGTGAAGTGACTTGATGTTGGTGGTTATATCAACACTTGGTGCCGCCGGTGATAAAGTCTCCACCACGCCATTGTTTCCGGCAACATCCTTCATCTCTTGACCAAATTCAAACTTAGCCACTTGCTTCATCACAAATCCAGGTGAGAGATCACCTTCTTGTTGCCTCTGTCTTGGAGCCATCAGATCAAACACAAGGTCCCACCAGGTGTGCCAAATTTGTTTTCCGGCGAGAAAACTTGCGTTGAAATAAATTAATTGCACCTTTGACTTCTTTGGACAACGATCACTAAACACGGTTCACACCTCTTCAAACACAGTTCGAACGAGGGTGTTCGATGTTTACACGACTCTCGAGACAGATCTACATTAAGTTACTCCTACTCCTATGGAGGTTCTGAGAGAGCTCCAAATCTACGACTACATCTATGACTACATGATAGAGAAAAGGTAAAGGATAAACTTGACATGTGTGTCAGAGTGTTGGTTTTGGAACCTTTGTCTCTGTCGACCACTCCTCTTATTTATAGCCCCGAGGAGGTAACCGCCATAGAAAACCGTTTGTTGGATAACTGCTACAAAGAACCGCTCCCCCTTCTTCGGTAGAAAACCGCCTCTTGGATAACTCCCAAAAAGAACCGCTCCCTGCTTCCTCGGAGTGGTGGTTACTCCTTCAACCGCCTAGGGGCTTCTCTTGTAACCGTCGTGGGTCTTGGAGTGTAACTTGCCTCGCCTGGTCTTGTTCTGAATCTCGTGTCATGCTAGTCTTTTGATAAGCATGTGGTGTCTCACAAAGGGGGTCGTGGTCTTCTTGCTTCGCGGCCATGGACTTCTCATTCATGTCCATGGCCTTCTTGTCTTACGGCCATGAACTTCTTACTCATGTCCATGGCCTTCTTGGGACTTAGTCACTAGTGATATAATGCTCCACCACCACGACCTTCTCATACGTGTCCATGGCCATCCTCGTGAGGTGGCATGGACCTCTCAATCATGCACAAGGCCCCTCTCATGAGGCGGCATGGCCTTTCCAAACTTAGTATTTTCAATCATTTCTAATGCTTCTTGCTTCGCGTCCATGGTCATCACATGACACGACCATGGACCTCTTAATCATGCACATGACCCTTCTCGTGAGGCGGCATGGCCTTCTCAGACTTAGAATATTTTCGGTTGTTTGGTTTAGATCATGAGGCGGCATGGCCTCTTTATTCGCGGCCATGGACTTCTCATTCATGTCTGTGGCCCTTTCTGTTGGACGACATTGGCCTGCTCATACTTAGTATTTTTCACGTGTCCTGCTCATACTTAGTATTTTTCACGTGTCCTCTTGTCTCGCGTCCATGGCCGTCACGTATGACACGGCCATGGACCTCTTAATCATCCACATGGCCCTATATTCTCATACTTAGAATATTTTTATCGCACCGGGTCTTCATTGAGGTGGCATGTACCTCTTCCAGACTTGGTTAAATTTTCACTCATTCGGCCTTATTGGTGAGGCGGCACGGCCTCTCCGTTGATTTAGTAGCTTGGGCTTAAAATCAATATCCATAAGGCCCAACTTAAACAACATTAATTGTTATAATGGGTGTGGCCTTATAAACTCATTAATTATCTTGTAACTCACCAATGTGGTACAAGACAAAAATGTATAGTGTAAACAGGCTTTCATCAAAGTTCGCAGCTTTCTTCAAGCAACGGAACTGGGCACTCATTCACGTAGAAACAGAGTAATGACAGTACCTGTAAGGTAGCTTGGTGGCAATGGATTTTATAGGAAATCCCAATTAATATCTTCCATCATCTAGCATTCATCACCCCACTGGGAAGCTTGGTAAGAATGAATGCCACCAGTTGATGGCGGAGTCCTGAGAGATCGACGGAGTCCCGTCCGGCAAAATGTGTTCCATCGGGGACGCGCCGTCGAGTCTGCCTTCCGCCGTTCCGCGCGCGATTTTACAATAATTAAAACAAGACGGCGGGCTTAATGTCCATAAGGGCAGGCCCATCGAGAAGAAACTGAAAAGAGAGCGGGGTTTTGCCCTTTTAAGAAAAGGCCCATTAAGAGGCCCATAATTTGGAAGCCCAAATGTTCCTACATCCTACATCTTCGACTTCGCATCCTCCATTCTCTGTCGCGCTTTCCCTTCCGTCAATTTATTTTTTTGCCCCCAAGCATCTCAAATACCAGAGTCCACAAGTACAGGGACAAGTGAAACACCTGCAGTCTACCACTACCAGCATAACATTGTTCCTGGTGGTCCAAATTACCCTCAATTAGGGATGGCAATTTACCCACCCATGGGTAATTTTGCCCAAACCCAAGTAGACCCATTTATTATGGGTAGGGTTTCGGTGATGTGTGTATGGGTTTGGGGTTTGTATATGAGTTTGGGTTAGATATGGATATTATCTAAATGGGTATGGGTTGGATATGGATATCACATTTACTTGAGGGTGTTTTAACTACACATGCAAAAATTGGACCTATTTGTAAAACTTGAAAAGTTTAGGTACCAAATTGTAAGACCAAAAAAATTTAGGTACCAAAACATAATTTTCCATCGATATTTTGAGGACTTATATGCAAAAAAATTAAATTTAGGTACTAAATATGCACATCTATTAAGTTTAGGTACCAAATTGTAATTTGTATTTGGGCATGGGTACAAACCCAAATCCATTTGTTATAAATCCAACCCAACCCAAAATAAATGGGTATGGGTACAAACCCATCAAACTTTACTCATATACATATATTTTGATTTCATACCCAACCCAATTGGGTTGGATAGTAAAATACTCATGGGTATGGACAAAATTGCCATCCCTACCTCAATAAAAGAAACTACAAACATTGATCTTGGTATCACACACAACATTTCTGCTAGCTTTTATTTATGAAACAATAGGAAACCAGCAATAATAGACATAAATTTCACATAAATCCTGGAATCCGGAGATAGAGGGGAATGCAGCTTTCGGGCTGTGGAGATGCATCCCAGACAGTAAATGCACTAGCAGAGTTCATCCATTTCTTGGTCATTCCAGGACAGTGGCGATTGATCACATCTCGAAGAGACTCCGTTGTGTTCACCCATACAAGTCCTTTCTTTGTGTAGATTTCCTCATTGAAGTAGCTTGTGAAGAACCTGTCGGCCTCCAGCCTCCTCGAAGCCATGAGAATGAATATGAAGAATGCAGTTTCACTTATGGCGAATCCTTTGATTTTTTTCTCTGCCATGAGACCGACAAGAAGATCTAGTTCCTCAACTCGATCGCCATAAACCTCAGTGATAACTCGAATGGCTTCCTTGTCGTCCGTTAGGTCTTCCCATTTTGATATTGGTATCATCAACAGGCGTCTGCGGAACTCATTGTACCTCGGAACTTTCCTCTCTCTGTCTCTATATACTGTACAAAGAACATAATATAAACATATGTTGGCAAGCAGATACATGGTAGCTGATGATGGTTGAGCGCTGTGATTCTGTAAGGATGATTACTTCATACCTTCAAGAGTTGGCAGATCGACATGATCAGGCCTGTCTTTGCCATTGGGATCATCGGGTGCGATGTTCCTGAGCCAATTAGGGTAGTTCCATAGCTCAAGAGCGCCACAGGCTTGGTGGCCCATGGACACCATTTGCCTATCGAATCCTATCTCTGCTAAGACCTTCTCACCTTTTGAGCCAATCAACTCTGGAACGGGCAGCCTGTCCAAGAAAAAGCACAGACCATAAAAATCACAAGAAGCCTTTGTTCTTTTCAAGTGATCGGGGAGAGATAAAAGGGAACTATACCTTTTGACTACCGGTGGAGACTTGCCGGGAGCTGATTTAGTTGAAATGTCCCTAACGAGCAGCTCGTCAGGCAAAAGTGAGTGCAGCCGGTATACACTGACGAAATCCTCTGTTAAGGAGTATGGAACTCCATGATTTTCTGGCTTCTTCAAACCAACAAGACCTCCAAGTCGAGGATCTCCAATGTTGCCAAATGTGTCCTTGAACCATTTCCCCAGCAATCCATACCAGTTTGCTCGCATTGCAGCGTGTAATGTATCGGTTTTCAGGAGCTCGACCGTCCAATCAATGGTATGAACCTTAGCAATCACAGCAGCTGTCACCAATCTCGCCCGCCTGTATAATTCTTCATCTCCCATCTCTGGATATTCTTTCTGTAAACCAACATTTTTCAGAGATGGTGTTTCAGTTACATACATAAAAGGGTTACTATATGATTTTTCTTTTTCCTTTTAGAACTGATCACCTTGAGCATGTCGCAGACAGCATTGTGCTCTCTGACGAAGAGGGCCTGGAGGGTAGAGGTACCGATCCAGGAATTACGAATATCTCCTGAAATAGCCAACCCATCTTCATCATGGGGTAAAAGACCATTTTCAGCTATCTTCAGTTTCCCATCTTTGAACTCCCTCACTTTCTGCAACCGTGTTGCACCATTTCCATAGATACCACTTCCATCCCTTCACTCAGAAGAATGGTGCACCATTACCATGATGAGCTTTACTTTGCCATTTTGGAACACAAACGGAAGACATGAGATGCTTCAGAGGATTATTAGAACTTACCACCAAGATGTACGTGGGTTCAGGAAACCAGTGTTGATGTCTGGAAAGCCAGTTGGGACTTCCTTGGTCGTATAGAACTTAAATGAACTAAGAGGGCATTGGCTCGCGATCTCTTTTGGCGCAATCAGTTCTATCTATAGAAGAAAGGAGGATGCATGAAAACCAAAAGGAATTATTAGATTGGAACTCTGGAAGTAGTCTACTGATGCAGTCATAGATGAGGACAGAGAGTGGCTGCATGCATGGTGTGCTAAACGAGTAAGACAAGTTGAAGTGTGTTTAATGTAAAAGTTACAAATTTCCATTCATTTGATACAATCTAGGGTTTCAGAAGAATCTCGTAAACAGAGTATCAACAATTTTTCTAAGCTATTTACATTTAGATTGTACATTCAATTATTTGAGTATCATATGAATTTCAGTAGAACCCATATTTTTATCTAAAATTTCAACCTAACAAATTAAAGTTTCTCAATTTCTTGATGTTTCTCTTTCCCTTGTTCTAAATAGTATCATTTTGTTCTGTCACACTACCCATCTAGAAAATGGCCTCATTTTGTTTCTCACAGTTATTTAAATCCTCCAAAATGGATAAAAAAAGTTGCTTTATGAGGTTTAGAGTAAAAGACACTTCAACTTCAATTAGTTGTCCTCGCCAACAAACATGCCGTACATAAGGAATGAGCAAGAAGTGACAATTAAGTTTTACTGATTTTCTGCACTTGATGCTTAAACTAACTTTCTATACTCTAATAGGAATTGTCCCCCGAAGGGGAAAAATGCATCAACTCAACAGAATATAGGTGAGCAGTTTTCAGAGAATCTTAGCCCAAAGATCACCAGCTCACAACTACACTTATCATTGGACATGATATGGCCCTCTTCTACCCCTCTATTCAAAGAAGGAAAAAATGAATTCCCACTGGTTGACTCTGTCCCCTCATATCAGACAACACATGAAATCTGACCAACATTCTCTATACTTAAGTAAAGCAAGGTAAAATGGTAAAAAGAATGAGATGGTGAGATATATCTATATATTTACCTGCTTGGTATCCTCCAAGTGATCAATCCAATCATGGATCATGAACTGAATCCAGGAAGCTGCAACCATGTTAAACTGCTTTCCTGTGTCCTTGTACTCTCTCCTAGCGAGTAGTTTTGTAGCCACTAGGGCAGGATGTGGTGCTATCAACTACAGCAACAACATAAAAAAATTATGGTCGGAAAAGGGTAAGAACAAAGCTGCCTAAAGTTGCACTCTTTTCTTCTCCCATGCATGCATATATTATATATGCACATTGTCGGAGTTTCTTCATCCATGGTTACTGTACCTTATCTTTCTGATCAACTGGCATAACGTTCCTGCCATAGAAAGAGTTTACACTGCCTGCAACCTCATTGTAGGGATCATTATACCTTCCGTCTGCTGTCCTGTAAGGATAATCAGCCGGGTTGCATCCTTCACCGATTTGATGGCCAACATCCAGCAAATTGTAGACCTGGTGAAGATGTCTACGAATTTCCAGGTAAGCGAGACCCAAAATCACAGGCAGCCTGTGCCATAGACGCTTCTTATCTACGGAATGTACAATCTGCAGAGAAACAAAAAAATTGGGTTATCTACATTAGTGAGCAAAACATAGCATGGACGCACAGGATCTCAACAGTTGAAGGACAAAATTTCTATTTTTTTTACCCAGAAAAGGAAAGCATCAAACACTGACATCTTAGATACAGCCCCATGGAACTCCTCTAGGATAAACTTAGTGATCAAGTTTTTGAAAAACCTAGTAATTACAGAGGACATGGCTCATATGTTCAGTGGAACTTTGGTGCAGTACAGTCAAGTAGATGCTATGAAATGGATGTTGCAAGAATAAATTTATAGTAGAAACAAAGAGATAAGCACCACACATAAATTAAGTTCTCTTGTCAACTGGACCTTCATAAAATTGATCAGTGCAAGAATCAATCTTCAGGAAAAAAAGAGAGAAGCACCTACCGTAGTGTCAGTTTTCTTGTCAAGTGAACCAGATTTCACAGAAGGAAAGAAATAGTGCAAAAGTCAATATGTAGAGTAACACGAGGGAAGCACCCAAATTAAATATGGTCACAGAAATGCTTAGGTGGTGAGCTAAATTGCTGCAGTTTACCTTCGGGTGAATGGGATGGCGAGGAGGATGTGATACTGAGAACATACAAATGAGTAAAAACAGAGGGTGTCTCAAATCTCAATCATGTGAGTAATATCTGCTTATACTAATCCGAGGATTCACCAGGGCAATTAGAAGGACAGTTAACCATACTATGTCAGAGAGTATTGCACGGTGAGAAGAATAGTAGTGATTAGTGAGACTGAGCTGTTAGCACCACATGGAAACATTCACCAAATCATGGATTCGAATATGTGATTAATTACGATCATTACACCAGGTTCACTTGTCTTATTCTACACGTTGGACACCAAACAATCATCAAAAAGATAAAAATGTTTATAAGACGTGGCTAATGTAGCTAATTACATCCAACTAGAAGGATCCCCAATTCCCCATTGACAAAGGAGGCAAAGATACAATAGTTGATAAACAGTTCGCAATTAGGTCCGGAGGATCACGACCCATGAATCACACGGTGCATTATTATATTAAGCAAAAATCCTTACCGTTCACGTGTAAAGAAACCTTTCCCCGAAAGCAACTGAAGTCCGAATTCTCGAAACTCCAATTTCATTTAGACATTTTCGCGAACACCTTCCATGCAGTTTATGGAAAACATTGTCAGAAAACTAATAACTAAAATGAAAGAAACGGCTACGCAGCTTTCTTCAAGCAACGAAACAGGGCATTCATTCATGTAAAGACAGAGTAGAGATCGTACCTGTGTAAATGCAAAGCCATAAGGTAGCTTGGTGGCGACGGATTTTATAGAAAATCCCCATTTATATATTCCATAATCGTGCCTTCAATACCCCCACCAAGAAGCTTGGTAAGAATGAACGCTGCCGGTTGACTGCGGGGTCCTGAGAGACGGACGGAGTCCCGTCCGGCAAAATTTGTTCCATCCTAGACGCGCCGTCGAGTCTGGCATCCGCGCTCGATATTACAACGATAAAAAAAATGGACGACGGGCTTAATGTCCTTAAGGGCAGGCTCAAGGCCAAGGGGAAGAAAGCTGAAATGAGACAGTAGGCTTAATGCCCATTTAGGCGAAGGCCCATTAACAGGCCCAGACTTATAAAGCCCAAATGTTCCTACATCTTCAGCGCCTTCGCATCCTCCATTCTCTGTCGCGCTTCCCTTCCGACCCAGGATCGGCCATTAGTAAAGCCCTAGCTAGCTACCGACTCGGAGGTCGCCGGCGACATGACCAGAACCAGGAAGCGAGCACGAAGGGACGATTCCGAACCAACCAACGCCGGCGACGCGTCTCCAGAAGATTCCGCTCCTCAACCCTCCACTGCTATTCACGCTGATGAATCTCCTCCCGCCGCCGCCAACGGCGATGCATCTCCTCGCCGTGCCAGGGGGAGGCCTAAAAAGTCCGCGAAACGCAAGGATAGGGCGGTGGAACCTATGTCTCCAGATTCGGAGAGGCGGCTGACACGGCAGCCGCAGGCCGCCGAGCAGAATGGACACGTGAACAGCTCCATTGGCCCTGGCCCCGAGTGGGAGACAGTGGTTCGAGTGGTTCCGGCCATGGATGCTGTCGTGAAGGTGTTCTGCGTTCATACAGATCCGAATTTCTCACTGCCGTGGCAGCGTAAACGGCAGTATAGTTCAAGCAGCAGTGGGTTTATCATTGGTGGAAGGAGGGTGCTGACAAATGCGCACTCCGTGGAGCATCATACTCAGGTGAAGCTCAAGAAGAGGGGTTCTGATACTAAGTACTTGGCTACTGTTTTGGCCATTGGAACCGAATGTGATATTGGTATGTGTTCGAAGTTCTTTGCTTTTTAATTTCTATTTCTAGCTGTGATGTCTCAGCTTTGGCGTGGCAACTTACACACATCAAGCTATCATCGATGAGTTTTACTGTCTGAGCTATATAATTAAGTTTGACTCCGAGCTACCCATTATAGAAGTTCTGTTTGGGTTGATATGATATGTGTGTCATTTGTTATGGCTTGTTAATGATGGTGCATGCAATTTGTGTTTCTTCTTTTATACAAGGAAGTGGCTGGAGTTATATAATAATGATGTTTCTCCCGTTTCTCGATCTTGCAGCATTGTTGACTGTCAATGATGATGAGTTCTGGGAGGGTGTTACACCTGTCGAGTTTGGAGATTTGCCTGCACTTCAAGATGCTGTGACTGTTGTAGGCTACCCCATTGGGGGTGACACAATCTCTGTGACAAGTGGTGTTGTCTCCCGTATAGAGGTGCTGTCTTATGTCCATGCGACTACCGAGCTTCTAGGGCTTCAGGTTCTTATCTTTGCCTTTGTGATGTCATCTTTCTGTTTTTGTTATTGCCTTTCTACAAATAGCGTGACTAACTGTTTGAATGTAAGCAATCATAGATAGATGCAGCTATAAACTCTGGAAACTCTGGGGGGCCTGCATTCAATGACAAGGGAAAGTGTGTTGGCATTGCATTTCAGTCTTTGAAACATGATGATGCTGAAAATATTGGCTATGTCATACCAACACCAGTTATCAAGCATTTTATTAGTGATTATGAGAAAAATGGTGTTTATACAGGTACATGTCCTTCTTTCTGGAGCATTATTCTCAACCAACACGATGAACTTATAGGATGAAACGTGCTAGCATAGGGGAATTATAGCTTGGAATAGTTTCTGACGGTTTCTGCTGATGTTTGTTTCACTTTCACCTCTACTTATCTTGACAGGATTCCCTGTTCTTGGGATTGAGTGGCAGAAGATGGAAAATCCTGATTTAAGGGTAGCAATGGGAATGGCATCTGATCAGAAGGGTGTCCGTGTTAGAAGAATTGAGCCAACTGCTCCAGAATCTGAAGTCTTAAAGTCATCTGATATTCTCCTTAGCTTCGACGGGGTAAAGATAGCAAATGATGGAACAAGTAAGAATTTTAGATTTCTGACGAATGTCAGGGCCATTTCTGAAAGCTATATTTCTCTTGCTATATAGTGTTATTTGATCTGAAGTTAGTATGTTCTCAAGTGCTGCTTCTCAGGGTTGTAACATTATTTTAGTTGAGCCTGCTGTCATTTATTACATGGAATGTATATAAATTTTTCCATGTTTTCTTGCTTGCTTTACCATTCCTTTGGTAATTGCAGTCCCTTTCAGAGATGGAGAACGCATAGGATTCAGTTACCTTGTTTCTCAAAAATACACTGGCGACAAGGCATTGGTGAAAGTTCTGCGTGATTCTAAAGTACTTGAGTTCAAGATCAAACTTCAACCACACAAGAGGCTCATTCCAGCACACATAAATGGAAAACCTCCTTCCTATTACATCGTTGCTGGATTTGTTTTCTCTGCTGTATCAGTTCCGTATTTGCGCTCTGAGGTAAAGTTGCAATTTTTATGCCATATTGACTTGGCTATCTTAATTGAAACACTGCTGTAACCACCATGTGACTTAATTTATTGATTCGTTTGGTAAATATTTTGTTTCCCGCTCAATTTGGAAGCTTCTAAATTTTTTCACTTTACTTTGTACACTCTCTAGTATGGAAAGGACTACGAATATGAAGCTCCAGTGAAGTTATTGGACCGGCATATGCATGCTATGGCTGAATCTCCAGATGAGCAGCTTGTTGTTATCTCACAGGTATTAATCTCTGCCAACTTCCAGAAAGCAAATTAGTCATTTTCTCTATGAGAAGGAAGGTCTCACTAGAGATACGTACGCTTGTGAAATTGGTACTAGGTACTTGTAGCTGACATCAACATTGGATACGAAGATATTGTCAACACCCAGGTACGTTCTTTAAACATAATTCTCGGTATATCTCGAGCAGCTTTGAAATGAACTTTAGTAAGCATATTGTTTTGTTGGTTGTGATAGGTTATTACGTTTAATGGGAAACCAGTGAAGAACCTGAAGAGCTTGGCGAACATGGTTGAAAGCTGCAAGGATGAGTATTTGAAGTTTGAGTTAGAATACCAACAGGTATTCATTTGCTCTATCTCTCTCTCCTCTTACCTTAAAAAAAATCTCTCTCTCCTCTTCTTTCTCTTACTTTAACAGAAACCTGAGAACTTGTCATTGATTTCGTAACCTATGTTGCAGGTAGTGGTTGTAAAAACAGAGACGGCGAAGGCTGCAACACTAGATATACTTGCAATGCATTGCATACCTTCGGCAATGTCTGATGATCTGAAGCCTTGAAAACGAGAAGTAGTGAAATTTGGTTCCAGGTTCCTCTCAAGTTTTGAACTTTGGGGGTACATCTCCAGAGAAAGTCAAAACAATTATGTTGGTATGTATCATTCGTCCCCTCCCTTTTCTTTTGCCTAGGAAGATGGAATAGCTAGTCTTGGGCCTAGGAGGTGTTACTTGTTTCTTGTAGCCACATTATCTGTTTTAGAATTCGGCTGATATATGTGACTGATTGAGATAATATCTTATGTTCTTCATATCTCTACAAAGGAAAAGAGAATTGGATTTGGATGGTGAGTTATCATGTTTGATGAAAGATTTTTGTTCTTATGAACTCTTTGTTCTGGAAACCTGCTTCCAACTTTTCATGTCCACTTCTTTAAGTATTTTGAGCTTTGGGTCAAGTTTGCGCCAGCTTGTTGAGCTTATGGGCTAGCAAATGGATCGTTGGATTTGTTGATTGTGAGATGTGGAGGTGGCGTAACATTTTGAAATGTCTCAATTGTACTTAACATGGAATATTCTACATTGTAGCACTGCAGATGGTAATGTCGATATTCATGTGGTTTTCTCCACCCGTTTTCTATGTGGATGGAGGAAAAATGTCCCAACTGGAATGAAATGTTGGAATCCAGGCAAACTTAAGCCCGCATAATCTGCCTCTGTTTACTAGCTTATAGTAAAGGAACCTTCTCCGCATTGCTGCTGCTACTCTGGCCATCGTCATTCTGCTCTGTTTTTGTGGTGGTGTCATCGTTTTGGTCTTCCACCTTTCCCCACATGAACATGTAGAAGCCGATGGATATGGCTGTCCCTCCGAGGAGACTGGCAAAGTAGAGAGTACAATAATCCAAATTGAAAAGTTGTATTCATTAGTAAGATTGACCAAAGGAAGATCTTAGTTTGAATAGGTATATACTAGGTTGGTAAGTTACCTTCCAAGATGCAGAGTATCACCTAGCAGCATTACGCCCATGGCGACAGCGATCACCATTCCAATCGGAAGGAACATGTTAGCAAAAACGGGTCCCTTTATCGGCAGCACCCATGCTTCAGCGGCATTGTTCAAGCACGATCCAAACACCCCCTGTTATTTTTAGTACAATTACTCAAACCATAATCAACCGAAGAATAGAATCTATGATCCTCGATTGATATCATTCCTTCATTCGAGTACATAGGTTTCCCGTTCACATGGTTTGATGTATTTTCCTGCGGCACTTACTGTGCAAATGACTGAGGCTAGTGCGGTGTTTGAGCTCATTATCCAAGCACTTGAGGATGTTCCTTCAGCAAACAGAGCAACAACTGCACTTATAATGCTTACAAATGTGTTGTAGATGAAGATTACTGTGAGCTCTGAAGGGTAGTTACTCATTATCTGTGTCTGCCAACAATGAACAAATCCCCCAACCCCACAGAAAAAATTGTAAATTGATTTGTAACTGGTAAATATCATAGCATTGTCGGAGTTCATGAATATGAAGTTATGAACACTCTATATTCATACCATGAGAATCGTCCACAAAGTACCCAGTGCATAATGCAGAGTGATCAAACTGCCACCAAGAACCCAGTTTTGTGCTGCTGTGGAATGAACAAGAGAATGGCCGAGTCGAGATGATGATGCTGACGGGGTGATACAGATCGGCGGACCTTGGTAAAATGTTATGACGAATGCGCCTGCTATTGACACAGTTGTGCCCAATATTTTGGCCTGGCTGGATCTTCTTCCCATCACAACTGTCTCCATCCTTTTTTCCCCAGAAGGAAACAAGTTACAAAGGAGCCAGAGATGCGTTTTTGATGAATGGAGGGCTTGGAGAGTTTAGTTTTACCCAAACATGACGGCAAGTATGAATGTAAAAGCTGGACAGAGGTTGCCAATGGCGGACGACAGGGTTGGGGAACTGTAATAAAGGCCCGTGAAGCCTGTCAGCCGGGACGAGCTTCTGCATACGATAAACATGTCTGCACGTTATAACTTGGGTTTACTGGGATGAATGATCGAAATGTGTGATGAAGTATCTCAATTTTCCCAGAAGAAAGTTACCCTGCGAGTGCCAGAAGGCCGATTCTGCACAAGATTGGTATGGTCAGGGGAGGAACGTCAACAGCTCTTGGTGATGAACTGCGAATCGAAATGATGCATCCAAACAAACCCAAAAGATTATGTTACTCAAACTTGTGGGGGGAACTTGCAGAATGTCCAGAAGTGAAGAAATTAGCAGAAGAAAACCTGTGGGAAAAGAGAGTAGGAAGGAGAAGGAGAAGAGAGGCGATTCCATAGCTATAGGCGACAGAGACGTAAGGGCTCATGCCCTCCATTGTTGCGGCTTTGAAGAGTGTGTTTATCCCAACCGTGGAGAATTGCATACCCACCATCACTGAATATGTCAGCACTTCCCTTTGGAAGTGATGGCTTCCTCTCATTTTAAGTTGTTACTTACCACAACAAGAACTGGAGTCTGGAAGTCTATGGGATTCTGTTGTTGCTTCTTTTTTTTTTTTTTTTTTTTTGACAAAAGATAATCATATATTGATCAGAAAAAAGTTACACCCTGGAAAACAGCCAGGTCCGAAAATCAAATGAACGACTCATAGCCGGATACAAAGAGAGGGCTTTCCTAGCCACCGAATGGGCCACCCTATTGTTATGCCGACCTACAAATCTAACACTAAACCCAGGAGTGTCGCCAAAGATCTTGATGAGTTCCTCCAAGACAGCTCCAAACCGACTATCCCGCGCATCCGCCTGATTAATTTTATCAATGATAACCTGCGCATCTCCTTGGAAAACCATCTCCGTAAAACCAAGCGATTGACACCACAGAACCGCTTCACGAAGCGTAACCAACTCTACAGCCAAGGGATCATCAAAATTCGGAAACTGCAAACCCCTTGCCAAAACAACAGCACCAGCCATATCAAACAGCACGATACCCCCCGCCGAATGCGAACCCCTTCTAACCGCCCCATCCCAACGGCACACCACCCTATTCCCCCCACCCTGGCCCAACTGGAGCTGCCCCCTCCTGATGCCAGCAGGAGCCCCATCCATTGGAAGCCGGACCCATTCATCATACTGCTGTTGAAATTGGCGCATAAGAGCCGGGATTCTGTTGTTGCTGAAGTCTTTTATTAACATATTTTTTTTATTTGCTAATGGTGATATAAATAATATTGGGTAAATGTCACATTTGGTCACTGAGATTATTAAATTATGTTATGTTTAGTCACTAGAAAAAATCAATATCAATTTTGGTCATTCCAGTTACTGAAACATGTCATATTTAGCCACTCTTTCGTTAGTTTCTGTCCAACTCCATTAACGGAGTTGGACGGAGGCTAACGGAGAGTGACTAAATATGACATGTTTCAGTAATTCGGGTGACATTCATAAAAAAAGTAATTCAAGCGATCAGAGTTCGGACGGCGACTAACGGGAGAGTGACTAAATATGACCTGTTTTAGTAATTTGAGTGACCCAAATTGATATTAATTTTTTTTAGTAACTAAACATAACACGATTTAGTAATTACAGTGACCAAATGTGACATTTACCAAATAATATTAGGGCATTGCTATTCGTCGCCCTAAAAATTTGAATTTATCGCCCTAAAATACACAAAATTACAAATTTATCCTTAACTTCCAATTGATTAATTACTCTCCTTCGTTCTCAATACCTCCGACAACAACCCCTCCCAACTCCTCTGTCGTCGCCGACCTCTATGGAGGAAGAGGAAGAAGAAGCAACCGGTGACCTCCACATCCTTTTCCGCCGGCCACCTCTGCTTTGCCCATCTCGATACCCTGCCGTCGCCCAACTCGTCTGTTAAATTCAAATTCCGCAACCCAATCTGCTTTGGAAAATTACAAAGTTTAAGTGCTCGTTCGGGAAGCATGTCACAGTTCATACGCCATAGATTTGCTATTTCTATCAGTTCGATCGCTAACAGATACCCTGTAACTGCTTGTATTTAATTTATAGACCAAGGGAACGGGAAAAGGTAAATCAACGGCGAGGCTGATGGATCGGTCAACGGTGAGGCTTGGACGGATTTCTTCTCAAATGGTTATCATTTAAGAGAGGCGCCAGCAAGCTTTACCTTAAGGTGTTTTGGTTGGAGCGTAAGAAAGGGAGGTGGGCGGCGGCCGCGAGGGCTCGGGTTGGAGTGGGAATTCACTATTAAAATCAGGGATACAATTGTCAGTTTGGTATAGTTTAGGGCGAAATTTTTAAAATTTTAGGGCGACGAATAGCGATTCAGATAATATTATTGGAAGGGAAACAAAAGGAAAGAACCAGACAAACAAAAACAGGACCAGCACCAAGAAAGAAGGAAAACGGTCCCGAAACATCAACATCCAAAAATAGACACGGGGAAGCACTAGTCTTGTCGGTAAAGAAAGGCCACAAAATGTCACACAAGAGAAAATTGCAGGTCATGAGCCAAAAATTAGAGGCAAGTTCCTACAGGTGTTCAAGCGGTATGGTTACTATGGTAATCGTTTTAACCAGTACTATTTGGATAATTTGGTTTGGTTAATTTGGATAATTGGTTTGGTTTGGTTAAAGTTTTTACCTTGTTTGGTTTAGGTGGTTTGTTTGGTTTCAGACATTCCTAACCAGCCAAACCAAATTAACCAGATAAATAATTAGTAATATATCTAATATATACACATACTTAATACTTTGAATAACCACTCAAGAGTTGAACGTTCATTCTTTTAGACTCATAAAATATAAAGCTTGATATTGTTCTTATAATTTATATTTGTATATGTAGAGTGTAGACCACAACATATGAACGCCTAATTTAGATAAATCTCATATATTATGTTGGATGAAAACTTGAAAGCAATGTCCTTTTCAGCCTATGAAAATTGCTAAAAGACTAATTAGTCAATTCAAACAAACACAACAATTCATTAACCCATACCATTGTGATAAATTTTTGTTTGGTGAATACTTCTATACTAACCGTAAGATAATTGTCTTAGTTGCATGTATTTATGTTAAGGGTCAACTATAACTATGTGTTGATTGTTATGTTTTATTCATTATATAAATTGTGAATTGATAAATTAACCGAAAATTTTCTCACTTAATGATAATATGATTGTATATTTGTTAATCTGATTAACCAATTAACCAAACCGATTAAACTTTAGTTTGATTAATTTGGTTGTTGTATTAGTTTGGACCGTTTGATTATGATATTGTATTCCATGGTTAATGAAATTTAGTCTTATTTGATTTGGTAATAACCATGGTAACCATTTGAACACCCCTATCAAATGCCCCATCCCAAACACACAAGGCAAGGGATAAATTCTTCTGCAATTACTAATTGAGGCATTTTTTTAATATTTATGATGATTCACATTGATCTTCTTTGCTTGATTTTTCGGATCAAATCTTTCATGCGTATACGTCTGCACTAATTGGACGCCATTGGATGCTTAATTGTTAATGGAGTAGTTAGTTATCTGAAGAGGACTTTTTGTTTTGGGCTTTGTTAAGTAAGTAGTCATACTCATATGGTAGAAACGTTTAAAACTTCAGATGTTATTAGCGGTAATGATTTCAAATATAATAAGATCATGGGAGAAGATAGGGTGCTAAACTTATAAGAATTAGTACCATGCTAACTAGCATCTAATTTAATTGCTCATATTTTAGATAAAATGGTTACAATTATAGAAACACAAGATATACTCGTTTGCTTACGCTTCGTGGCGAATGGAGGATAGCACTGTAATTGTATCGTATGAAACAATTGATAAAATATAACTCATACAACATAATTCCAAGAACAGCAAGAAAAATCACTAAAATGTTGTGGGAGAGCCGGAGAAAATTTATAGTAATATGCACTCGCTAGCCAACGAAGTTATAATTAATGGATGATATATGAAACTTAACAATTGTTAATTACAGAATTTACGAAGTTTCTGCATTTGAAATGAAAAAATAAGAAAGAGGAAAAAACGGAATAATTTAACATTTGGTTTTGTTGATTTCGATGTCACTTTCACCATTTAAATAGAGAGCGAGAAAGAGATAAGTAAGAATACAAAACCAAATACGAACAAAATGTCGATTTTAACACAACAACAACAACAAAACACGTTTAAAGAATGGGAACCCATGTTAGAAAATTTCTCCATGCTTTTGCTATTTGAGCTCGAGCGAGAAAGATGACCAAAGATGTAAAATTAAATAGGCTAATATGAACAAATAGATTCATTTCAACACCATAACAAATCAAAAATAATATTAGGGGACAGAAATATGAATAAAAGAAAAAAGATTTAGGAATAAAGATAGAAAATTATGAATAGAAGAAAAAAGTAGAAATAAATAATAAATAATTGAAAAAGAGAAAACGAAGATGAATAGATGGATCCACTCCACTCTAATAGACTATTGCCCTTGGAGTTGTGTGTTATTTATAATTTTACCTCTTAATGAATAGTAAATCTAGAACTAAGACTTTTATATAACTAAAAGACAAAAAATAATACAAAATTAGTGTTGATATATAGGGAAAATGAAACATGCAGACTTAGTGGGATTTTCGCTAAAAGTGGTTTCAATTCCGAAAATAAAATCACTACTAACCTGTCACATTATCGCAATATCGTAAACATTATTACACTCAGGATTGCGAACTATTACACACAAAAGACCTACATTTGATTCAGTCAGAAAGCACCCAACAAAATTTGGAGCTTAAAAACAACACCTTAGTTAATGCAAAACATTGCTAATTGTAAAAACACTCCTATGAGGTGAAAATTGTGGGACATCAAATGAGGAATCAAAAGTCTATTTTTTTGTATTACTTCATATAAAAATATCTATGATCGGTAAAAATATTCCTACGGTATAGGAAAATGTTCAGATATTTAGCGAAACAACAACTTCTTACTAAATGTAAAATACTACCAATTCTACTATAAACATTACCAACCTTATTACCTTAATTAGTACGGTAATACTTGATTAGTAACATAATAAATATATAGGGATTTCCTACGGTAACTTAAAGTAAGATAACTTGAATTTTTTTACCTGCGATAGCAGGTTTCACAGGTCGCATTACGTAAAATACAATAGACATTACGTAATGGTTACGTAACATATGGTAATCTTACGTAACAGTTGTAAAAGATCATTACGAAAGCCTTACGTAATAGAATGTATTTTTACGTAATGAGTATTAACCTCGCGTTACGTAAAATGTTAAGTCATTACGGAAGCCTTACGTAATGCTATTGTTTTAACTGTTACGTAAGTAATAACTTTCGTTATGTAACCTTTACGTAATAGAAGGTCTTTTTACGTAATGAGTATTAACCTCGAGTTACGTAAAGTGTTAAGTCATTACGGAAGCCTTACGTAACACTTCCGATTTAATTGTTACGTAAGAAATAACTATCCTTTCGTAACCTTTACATAATGAATGTGTATTTTACGTAACAGTTGTAAAATGTCATTACGGAAGCCTTACGTAATGGAAGGTCTCTTTACGTAATGAGTGTTAATGTCGTGGTACGTAAAGAGCTAAGTCATTACGAAAGCTTTACGTAACGCTTCTGATTTCACTGTTACGTAAGAAATAACTATCATTCCGTACCCTTTACGTAATAGAAGGTCTCTTTATGTAATGAGTATTAACCTTACGTTACGTAAAGTGCTAAGTTATTAAGGAAGTTTTACGTAACGCTTGTAATTCAATAATAATTAAAATAAGGAAAGGGTAAAAAAAGGAAAGCAAATAAATTTGAAAAAGGAAAGGAAAAAACAAAGAATGGTAACTTACGTGGGTGGTGACCGGCCACCCCTTGTTGCCAATGATTTTTTAGTTATTTTTTATTTCTTTAATCAACGGTTTAAAATAAGTTTGATCGATTTTAATGGTTTAGATCTATATAAGTTACCTAACTTGAAATTATACCCAAGTTACTGTAGGAGGTCCCTAAATATATAACCCCATTGATCATATCATATCATATTAAACTATTTTTTTTTCTATTATTACATTTGTTCTTTGTTCTTTAGCTTCTTCAAAGTCTAGTGGGGTTGTATTATGTTTTCATTCATCTCAAACATTTTCCCACGTGGAATAAGAATATATGATAAGATATGTCATGGTTGATTGCGAACTTTAGTCTAGTGGAGGAAAGCCTTCCTTCTGTTGAGGAAAGAAAGCAGAGAGTTTGAGAGAAGGAGAGAAATTGTAGGAAACCATCCAATACTCAACAGCCACCAACCACCATCAACAACTACTTCTTGGATCAACAATTACTCTTGTGAGCTGGAAAATAGTGAAGAGACTCCGTGTGCTCTTCACAGAGGCTTCAGTCAACACATGCTACTCCATTTGTTTATGTTCTTTCATTCTGTATAAGTAGAGTAGGAAATCTTCTGTATCAAACCAAGCTTTCCATCAATAAACATCTTAGCAAATTCATCAGAAATGGCGGGAGGAGGAAGATTTGTTTATGGGGATTTGCTGCCATTCTCAGCGATGGTGAGTATGGAGTGTATGAATGTTGGGTTGAACACACTCTTCAAAGCTGCAACAACTGCGGGCATGAGCTACTATGTCTATGTTGTCTATGCATACGCAATTGCTGCTCTTGTCCTTCTCCCTGCCCCCTTCTTCTCCCACAGGTTGTTGCCCTTTCTTTCTCTCCCACTCACTCGTTTCCCTAACTATGTTGAGAGGGTTGGCTGAATTTGCTTTTGTGTGTTGAATTTGCAGATCAACAGCTCTTCCTCCACTGAGTTTCTCCGTACTCTGGAAAATCGGTCTTCTCGGCGTCATTGTGTAAGTTGTTTTTTTTGTCTTCCCATCGACGTAAAGGCTGGAACTTGGATCCCGTAGCAAGGATTCAATTAGACGTTTGGTTTTGGGGAGCAGGGGCTCATCTTCGATTGTGGGATCCGCAGGCATCAGCTACAGCTCTCCAACGTTGGCTTCAGCCATTGCCAACCTCACTCCAGCCTTCACCTTCATATTGGCTGTCATGTTCAGGTGAATTGTTACCCTCCTGCTCCTGCAAATTCAATGGAGGATTGGGTGTCGATGGGTTGGTAGGAATATACTGAATGGTTAAAGGTCGTCCTAAAAATTACTAACCATCTTCCTAATTTAATATGTAATTTACCAAATTGCCCATTTTGAATTTCAAAATCAAACACAAAACAAACAACTCCTCCCCCTTCCATAAATCTAAAAAAATATATAAACCAAAATTCAACAAATTATCTTATGGATCGAATCATAAATCGTAGTAAAAGAATAGAAAATTATTGATATAAACCAAACAAATCCAAAAAAAACCCAAAATCCCTCAACCGAAGCCAATTTTCGGTTGTACCATGGCTCAACCTAAGGCAATTTTCGGTTGTACCATGGACCAACCGAAAATTTTCGGTTGAGCCATGGAGCAACCGAAGCCAATTTTCGGTTGGTCCATGGTACAACCGAAAATTGGCTTCAGTTGAGGGGTTTTGGAATTTTTTTTGAAAAAAAATCAGATTTTTACCTCGTCAGAGTCGCTACTCATGATTCGGACGTATTCTCAACGATTACGACTCGAGAATGTCAACGATGAAATCGAGAGTGTGGGAAATTGAGTGTTTTTCATTTTTTTAGTTAAAGTGATGTTTGTTTGCTAAAAATGTCAAAAGGTTAAAAATGTAACTTTGTTACTTTTTAGGACGATCAATAGTAATTTTAAGGACGACCTTTATCAACTCCCGGAATATATAGTATATGGTTCGATAATTTTTCGTGTAAGAACTAAATCATTTCCAGGTTATGCTTACACATAACAAATGATCAAAATACTCGCCAAACCACATTATAACCGAATCCACGAAACGATCTACAAATTCAATTTGCTACCTCTTTACTGGCAATGTTGTAAGTAGTAAACCATGAAATGAAATATTATCTTCTCACCACTCCTAACCTCTTACTTCCGTTTGAAATGCAAGGATGGAAAAAGTAGTATTGAGGAGAAGATCCCATCAGGCCAAAGTGTTGGGCACAATAGTGTCAATTGCAGGTGCATTTGTTGTCACTCTCTACAAGGGTGCTCCGATGTTCATTGCTGCTGCTTCGTCGTCCTCGTCGTTGGCTCAACCCTATCAGTCCCTTGAGAGCTCACCAGCCCAGTACTGGGTCCTTGGTGGGATTTTTCTCACCTGTGAGTACATTCTATTTTCCCTGGGATACATTTTTCTGGTAATGCTTCCTCCTCTCTTAACCTGCCACCTTCCTTCTCAACAAGTCCATACGGAAGTTGGACTGACAAAGCTTCTCCGCTACCCATCCGAAACAGAATCGAATCCTGACAGACTACCCTGCTGAACTCACGGTAGTGTTCTTCCGCAACATAGCCGTGACCATCACAGCCACGATTGTCGCTCTGTACACTGAAGGAACTTGTGCAAGTGCCTGGATATTGAGGCCTAATGTAGCATTGGCCTCGGTGTTGTGCACGGTAAGAGGTCGATTCGAGACTTGGTTTTCAAGAAATTCGAGGCTGAAGATCGACACCGACATTACTTGTTCCTGATGTGTATGTTCTCTGTAGGGGCTACTTGGGTCGTGCTTGAAGTCCGTTGTTCGTGCGTGGGTAGTGAGGAAGAAGGGGCCAGTATTCGTGGTGATGTTCAAGCCTTTCTCTGTCGTGATTGCTGTTGCTATGGGCGCCATGTTCTTGGGTGACACGCTTTATGTAGGAAGGTAAGCAATTGGAAAATGAGTACAGCTTTGACTCTGAACCATATGATATGAACAATTCAAAGGTTTTCCAAAATGTACTGTTATTATTTTTTGGCAGTGTGATTGGGGCAGTGGTGCTCTCGATTGGATTCTACGCTGTGATGTGGGGGAAAGCTCATGAGGATGATTTCTGCAGCCAGCAGCAGGACACTCAGTCCACAGAGAAGGCTCCTCTGTTGCAGACTAGCAGGAGGAATGCTCAAGTTTAAGCTGCTGACACCATTTGGCAGACACAAAAATGAAGGATTCATGAATTGATGAGCTTGGCCAATGATCCATGTGGAAATATTATTAGAACTCGAATTAGCTCTAGCTAGATCCCAAATTATGTTAATGCACTATGCCTAGGTTAAACCAAGTTTTTGACATGATCATTGAACAAGTAAAATATCACACTTCTTTGGTCCACCTAGGGATGGCAATTTTGCCCATGCCCATGGGTATTTTACTATCCAACCTATAGGTGGCAATTGGATCGGATTGGTGGATTCGTGGATTGGATTGGTGGATCCATGGATCAAATGGATTGGATCCAATGGATTGGTGGATTGATCCATGAATCCAATTGACATCCAAAGCTTGGACCAAAATGTAAAATTTAAAAAGTTTTGGTACTAAAATGTCATAATGAAAAATTTTAGGTACCAAAATGTAATTTTCCAATGATAATTTTCGTATAAAAATATAAATTTTAGGTACCAAAATGTAAAATATAAAAAATATAGGTACCAAATCTTAATTTGTCATTTGGATCCATGGATTGATCCATGAATCCACCAATCCAATTGGATTTGGATCAAATGGATTGGATTTAAATGGATTGGATTATGTGGATAATTTGGTGGATGGATTGGATTGGATTCATGGATTTGGATCCTAATTGGCACCTCTAATCCAACCCAATTGGGTTGGGTATGAAATCCAAATATATGGATATGGGTAAAGTTTGATGGGTTTGTACCCATACCCATTTACTTTGGGTTGGGTTGGGTTTATAACAAATGGATTTGGGTTTGTACCCATGCCCAAATACAAATTACAGTTTGGTACCTAAACTTAATAGATATGCATATTTAGTACCTAAATTTAATTTTTTTTGCATATAAGTCCTCAAAATATCGATGGAAAATTACGTTTTGGTACCTAAATTTTTTTGGTCTTACATTTTGGTACCTAAAATTTTCAAGTTTTACAAATAAGTCCAATTTTTGCATGTATAATTAAAACACCATCAAATAAATGGATATCCATATCCAACCCATACCCATTTAGATAATATCCATATCTAACCCAAACTCATATACAACCCCAAACCCATACACACATCAGCCAAACCCTACCCATAATAAATGGGTCTACTTGGGTTTGGGCAAAATTACCCATTGATGGGTAAATCGCCATCCCTAGGTCCAACTGTCGTTTCCATATTCAGTGGTCAGATATTCTAGAGGATATAATCCTGGCAGGACGTCGTTGACAAGGACAAGACTCGACGATTGGGTGACGAGATGATGACGCTAATGGAGCAGCCCAACGTGGCAACGTCTCCGATGCGTTCCCACTTCTCGCGAGGTTTGATCTTCAAGGGATTGGGAGGAAAGCGGCGGAGGCGGCTGGACGTTTCGACTGGATCATTACCTCCGTCATTCAGAAACGTTTCGATGGTGAAGGGTCGTTGATTACGGAGGAGGGTAAAGAGAAGAAGGATTTGTTGCAGGTTTTGCTGGAGAGTAGGGAAAGGTCTGGCGCGGGATCGTCGTTGGCGTCCATGAACCAATTCAAAGCCCTCCTTCTGCCGGCGAGCGGGTAGAAGCGCGTGAGGGTCTGGGCGAGTGAGGACTTGAGGGTGTGGAATCTGTCTTGTTGTTTTGTGGGAGCGGTTGGAGGATAGAAGAAGATGAAAGGTACGTAGAGGGGCGGGGCGGGGCGTGGTTGTCGATGAGCGAGAGCTTGAAGGTGGCGAGCCGGGAGGGAGTTGGTGAACAAGGTTTGATGGTTTCCGTGGAGCTTACGTAGTTGACTCTATGATGGTTATGGCGGAGGGACCAGATCGGGGACGCGGATGCAGGCTTCTTGCTCAGAGAAGCGCGAACCAGTAAAAGTAATGGAAACATGCATGGCTGCACTGCACTGGGAAAGATTTTTCAGTACTGCTTCTTTGAAGCTAAGTGGTCGGTCGATCGATGCCGAGTAATATGATGGATTCGTGAGATTGAAAGGTTGCAAATAATTATATAGACGAGCTTCCTGAGCTCATGACTTCATCTAATATCCAAATCTAGGCAATTTGGAATTGGATGTACGTACGTAGATTGGTGGGATATGGGCAGTTGCATCGTAATAGTTTACACACGCTTCCCTGTGCCCACTGTCACATGTGGCCGATGACATGACGCCAACAAGGTGACAACAAGGCTGCACATGTGTTATGCATGGAAGACTAGTAGCATAGAGATGCTCCTAGTCTTCAAGGCCGTATGATCGGTACGAAGTTTTACCACATGTGTCATGCATGAGAGAAAGGCTGCCTAGCGCTCTAACGGATTTGAGAGCTAGGGCCGCACGATCGAGAGTAAGGTCGTGACACCACCCTCGGTAAATATCAGCCTCTTTTTTCCTCCGACGCTATGAAATCACATATGCAAAGAGAGCTCATCTGTGTGAAGGTCGATTTCTTGATCTCCTTTGGAGTTGAAACCATTTGAGACTGCTAAGTAATTCTCTTGGTCGGCCTTTTTTTAATATTTCTAAGTTTCTATAATTCAAGACAACCTACATTGGAGTTTGTGCAATATTGGAATTTTCGGTATGCTATGATACCATGTTGAATTTTTTTGGTGTTGATTATAATTGGAAGATTGAGAATTTTCCAACAATTAATTGGAGGCTTTAATCACATGATTAATTGTCCAACAATTATAAGGAGGGTTTCTAGACAATTCTTGTCTAATATCTCCACCAACCAATTCTCATCCACTAGCTTGTTGTTCGACCCGTTGGTCGAAATGTAATTTGAATACAATGTATTTATGAATTATGATGTGTATTTAAATTATAAATTATTTGAAATGCTTAATTTCGTATGATATTAAGATGACATGAAAATTATTTTCCATTTTTGAAATTCTTATAACTTTTCATCAATGGTGAACATTGTAATCTTAATGGTTAGAACCAAAGTTGTCAAACCGGTTTAAGTCATTGAGCCGCTCAAGCAAGCGGTTTAAAATTTAATGGTTTGATCAAGATCCAACCTGTTTGAGCCGTTTTATACTTTTTCTAAATATAGTTACATATAAGATAAAAATTTAGTGACTAAAAAGGAATGTAGTGACTTATTTTTATTAAAAACTCAAATTACATTAAAAACACATATTGATATCAAGATCCACCTACCATTCTCTCGCCTCCCCCCCCCCCCCCCCTTCCCCTTCCCTCTCTCTTCTTCTCCCACTCTAACGATCAAAACTTTGATTTTGTATAGTCCGTTTTTTAGCTCGACTTTCGTCAGACCTTGTCCAACCAGCCGCTCGTTATTGGTGTAACAACCTTGGTTATAACACTTGTGAATAATCATTCATAACTTGTCTATTTAATGATGTAGTATAAATAGGAAACTCATGAACATAACCTTTAGTCAATATTTATTTCTTTTGCTTGAGAAACAACACATATATAGCAATACGACAATATCTAAATCTTAAAGTACTCTGCACAATACAATAACAAAATTAGTAAGAAAATAACATTTTTCATCAATACTCTATGCAATGTAAAAATTATTCATCAACCAGCATACTCTACTTATTGATTCCAGGGGCGGCGACATTCTTGAATGAAGTCTATCCAAACCGAATTAGCACTTTTCATATCATGCTAGGCTTCTCCAGCTAAATTTGATTCAAGGACAATCTTATTCACTCAAAAAAAAAAAAAAAATGAAGCCTATCTTGTGGTACCTACCTTACTAATGCACATGACCACATAAATGCATCCATGAAAACTGCAGCCCGACTTTCACGATTTGTTTTGTACTGCAGTTATTTCATATTAAACTAAGTAACTATGAATAATACATATGTCAATTTTCATATAAGATAAAAAGATTTAAAAAATCAAATCATCTAAAAAAATTGGTTTCCAAAAATTGTGTTCTTTTAAACTCACCCATTTGTCCATTCATGTCGCTTTCTAAAAATTAATACCAAGTTAAGAATTCTACATCACATCTCACATTCAATACTGCAATTCAATATGCAATATTCGAATCAATGATATTTGGGTTGCAATTTTAAAATTATCCTCCATTTATAAGATAAACATAAATTAAATTTATTATTAAACTCAAATTAAAATGATCAAAATATGAAATTCAAATAAAAAATAACAAATAAAGTACTTACAGGAGAGTTATGGGCTAGTTAACAGTAGAGGAAAAGTCATAATTTTTAGACTTTAGGTTTTTACATTTTGTATTTAAAAAGATACAAAATATTTCTTTAGTGTAATTGGTAATGGTTGTTGTCTTTGTTTGAGAAGGCCATGGTTCAAATCCTAACAATGATGTAATTTTTTATTATGAATAAAAAATAAATAATGATTGTAAAGACACAATTACCCTTACTACTTTCGCTCTCGTTGCATGAAATTTATGTTGCTAAAAAACTGCTCACAACAGGAAAAGTCATAATTTTTAGACTTTAGGTTTTTACATTTTGTATTTAAAAAGATACAAAATATTTCTTTAGTGTAATTGGTAATGGTTGTTGTCTTTGTTTGAGAAGGCCATGGTTCAAATCCTAACAATGATGTAATTTTTTATTATGAATAAAAAATAAATAATGATTGTAAAGACACAATTACCCTTACTACTTTCGCTCTCGTTGCATGAAATTTATGTTGCTAAAAAACTGCTCACAACTATGCTATAATATATTTGTAGATTCAATTTTTTTATTCAGTTTAATTTTTGGGATAATTTCTGGAATTAACTTCATAGTTTCAACAAATCAACACAAGCAAAACAGAATTGGTGAACAGTAGAAAAAAGCACAGAGGAGATCGAAGAGTAACCCTACTTGTATGGCCCTAAATGGCACCATATCTTATTGTATTGGTAGGTTTGTGAATCTAAGGTGACATAGGCATTGCATCGAGGGTGCAATTGGGATGAGGCACAATACTTGTTTTCTGGTGAGGGAGATTCCAAATTGTTATGTCATATCCAAGCTTTCCAATCAAAATAGAACAGTATATTTGCTAATGTGAGCTGAACGACACTCATTCCGAACTGCATTTTCGGGCAAATCCTCCTACCAGTACCAAACGGTATATACTCGAAGTTTGTTCCTTTGTAGTCAATCGAGGAGTTGAGAAATCTTTATGGACAAAACTTTTCGGCATCCATCCAGTAACTAGGGTCTCTTCCAATGGCCCAGACGTTGACTAGGACTCTAGTCTTGGCAGGGATCTCAAACCCATAGATCGGTACGGTCTCTCTGGTTTCTCTCGAGAGGACTAACGGGCTGGCAGGATGTAATCGTAATGTTTCTTTGATAATTGCGTGCAAGTAGGTTAGCTTATTGGGTAGATCTTCATCAACATTTTCCTTGCCGATTGGGAAGATTCGCCTCACCTCTTCCTGTTCTAGCTGTAACACTCTTGGATTTTTTACCATCTCGGACATGGTCCATTCTATTGTGCTCGCTGATGTCTCAACTCCACAACGGTATATCCTAGTATACGAACAAGTGAGAGTTAGAATAATACAAAGTAAAATATGATAAAAGTTAACTCTTAAAAAAAATCAATTTTAACTTATGATACGACTTTCAGAAAACAGTTTCTCTATAACAAAAATTGTTACTTCATTATTGCTCAACAGTCAAATCGCAGGAAGAAGTCAAAGTTCATAATTCATTATGGCTTAAATTTCAAAGCAATAACTATGAATGAAATAATTGATGAATACTGACAAGAACGACGGCTTTGATGGCGTCAGTTGTCAAGGTGAGCGGGAGGTCCCCCGTCTCTTGGAGGTTGAGCAAAATGTCGACAATATCCTCCATTTCATCGCCCAGATGTCGTCGTTTCATGCAGCGACTCTGCTTTCGTAGAAACCCGGTAACCACAGGGATGAACTTCAAAGAAGGAAATAAATCCGACAGTCCGAACCCGTTATGTGCCTTCACGATTTCGTCAACCACGGCCAAGAACCCTTCTCCGATCTCGTTCTCCAGCTCCCCGAAAGCGGACCTCGAAGTCACGCGACTCGCCAGCGGGACCAGCAACCTCCTCATGTTCACCGCCTCTTCCTCGTTGTTACCGTGCATGAATTCGCTGATGGCAGCGACGAGTTTGGAGATCTCCTGGCTTCTGACATTTCGGAAGGATGCCACGCGCTTTAACAATTTCTAGGTTTGGAGAATTAGCAAACCCTCAAAAGTGGAGGGTTGCCTCTGCATTTGATATATATAGTCCAGTGTTTTGTTAAACAGAAACACTCCAGTGTTAGCCACATGGCAAAGTGCCATTGGCAATTACAAACTCAAATCACTGTTTAATAACGGCTATTAGCCGAAAGCGGAACGACAGCGTTTAAATAAAATGCAGCAACACAAATGAAACTCTCAGTCACGAAACGTTTCTCATTCTTCTCCTTCGATTGAATCCAGAGCACTTCAGGACTTCTTCTTCCTGCATCTGCAACCTGTTCTTTTCTACTTGGTTGACACCCCCCTTCAAGTTGTGGCTTCAGTCAAGACACCCAACTTGCCAAGCAACTCCTGGACGCGAACCCTGTGTAGACTTTTAGTGAAAATGTCAGCCAATTGATTGGCTGTACTTACATGTTGCAGATGCACCAAACCATCATTGATTCTCTCCCTGGTGACATGCATATCTATCTCAATATGCTTTGTCCTTTCATGGAACACCGGATTTTCAGCAATATGAATTGCAGACCTGTTGTCACAATAAATAGTCACAGGTAATGGTATTTTCACACTTAACTCAGCCAATAATCTCCTTAGCCATTCAATCTCACAAACCAGTAGAGCAAGTGCTCTATATTCAGCTTCTGACGAAGATCTAGAAACTGTGGTTTGTTTCTTAGATTTCCATGTGAGTAAAGACTTTCCAATGAAAGTGCAATAGCCTGTGGTTGACCTTCTTGTGTCAGGGCAGCTTGCCCAGTCAGAGTCACAGAAGCCTGTTAGTTTCAATTCTGCTTGGCTACTGAAATAAATCCCTTGTCCTGGTGATGTCTCGAGGTATCTGAGTACCCTGTGAGCTGCCTGCAAGTGTTCACTGTGTGGATCCTTCTGGAATTGACAAAGTTGTTGCACTGAGAATGTTAGATCAGGCCTAGTGATAGTAATGTAGTGTAATCTACCTACTAGCCTTCTATACATTTCAGGGTCCTCCATTCTACTTCCTTGTCCAGCTGCAAGTTTCACCTTAGGATCAGAAGGAGACAAACAACCCTTAGCTTCCAAAAATCCAGTATCACTCAACAACTCCATGCAGTACTTCCTCTGACATACTGCTAACCCTTCTGCAGTTCTTGTTACTTCAAGTCCAATGAAATATTTCAATGGGCCAAGCAATTTCACTTTGAACTCCCCACACAAAGACCTTTTAATCTGATCAATGTCCTTCTGTGCATCTCCTCCTACTATAATGTCATCCACATAGACTAGGACTATCACAATTCTGTCATTAACCCACTTGGTGAACAATGAGTAGTCAGATTTTGACTGTGAAAATCCATTCTTCAATAGAAAACCTGTTAACTTTGAAAACCACTGTCTTGAGGCCTGTTTCAGGCCATACAATGACTTCTTCAGTCTGCAAGCCATTCTTGTGTTGCTGGATCCTGGTATTTCAACTCCCAGAGGTATCTCCATGTATACTTCCTCGGTTAGATCCCCATGTAGGAAAGCATTGGAAACATCCAATTGCTCAAGAGACCAATTCTTCACTGCTGCTATTGCTAACAGGGCTTTCACAGAATTTATCTTTGCCACAGGTGAATATGTGTCTAGGAAATCTATCCCATACACCTGTGTGAAGCCCTTAGCAACCAGCCTGGCCTTGTACCTTTCTATAGACCCATCAGGCTTTAGTTTGAGTTTAAAAACCCACTTGCTTCCTATAACATGTTTATCTGGTGGCAATGGCACGCTTTCCCATGTTTGATTGGCATCCAGATCTGCAAGTTCTTCATTGATTGCTCTCCTCCACTCCAGAACTTGAATTGCCTCTTTATAGTTTCTAGGTTCTACACATGTCAGGACACTCAATGAATATGCTTTGTCTACTGCATTGAGATGATCTAAATTGAACATGACAGGGTGCCTAGTAACAGTGCTTCCAAAGGCTCCAAACTGTAGTTGGGGATCTAAAACACAATCTTGATACTTGGCTGGAAGGACAAGATGCCTTGTAGGTCAACCAGCAGGTTCCTCATATTCAGCTTGTGGTTCTAACTTAGGTGCAAGTTCTATACCAGGAGAAGAAGGCTCAGAAAAGAAAGGAGTGGAATCAGAACTACTAGATTGGTCCCCCCTTGAATCACAGGCTGAATCAAGGGAAACTGGTGGGTTGGTAGTGGGAACTAAGACAGGTGGAGCAGGAGTGACAGTAGGATTAGAAGGAGAAGGCAGGTCTGTTGCAGCAGAGCTAGAGTCTGAAGTCTCAGATGAAATCCTAAAAGGAATGATGGATTCTTGAAAGACAACATTTCGTGAGACAAAAACTTCTCTGGTTTGCAAATCCAGTAACTTATATCCTTTTATACCTGCTGGCAAACCAAGAAACACACACTGCCTTCCACGAGGAGCAAACTTAGTTCTTCCACTGACTAAGGTGCTAGCATAGCACAAACAACCAAACACACGAAGGTGACCAAGAGTAGGTGATGCACTGTACAAAATCTCATAAGGAGATTTGTTGTCAAGGACTGGAGTGGGCAGCCTGTTAATGAGGTAAGTGGCATGCAGGATGCAGTCACTCCAATAAATCAAAGGAAGTCCTGACTGAAATCTAAGTGACCTAGCAACATTGAGAATGTGCTGGTGTTTCCTTTCTACACGTGCATTCTGTTCAGGGGTTTCTACACAAGACATCTGGTGTTCTATGCCATTTTTCATGTAAAATTCACACATGTTAAACTCCTGCCCTTGGTCACTCCTGATCACTTTCACATTCTTGCCAAACTGATTTTGTGTCAAGGCACAGAAACCTTGAAGCAGTGATCTAGCCTCACTCTTATGTCTCATCAAAAACACCCATACAGCTCTTGAGCAGTCATCCACAACAGTTAGAAAATAAGCATATCCATCATAAGAGACAACAGACAAAGGCCCCCAAATATCAACATGTATTAATTGGAACAAATCATGTGCAATACTGGTGCTAACAGGAAATGGTAGTTTCTTATGTTTGGAAAAGTGACAGACATCACAATGTTTGAGCTTAGGACTGGTTACAGAATGGTGTGTTTGTTGTAACAAAGAAATCCTATCTCTACTAGGATGTCCTAGTCGCCAATGCCATAAGTCTACTTGTTGTGGATGGAAATTGAAGGTACTGGCTGCTTGAGGATGTGATGAGGGTGACTGGTCTTTCTCTGGTTTGGAAAAGGTGAGCTGGTATAGGCCTCTACTCTCTTTTGCTAAACCAATCATCTTCATGCTTAGCAGGTCCTGGATTTGACAGAAATCAGATTGGAAATGTAAGGCTAGAGGGTGATCATGAGTAAGCTTACTAACTGACACAAGGTTAAAGGAGAAGCTTGGAACAAATAAGACATTGTGTAGAAGAAGCCCTGAGGGTAGTTTGACAATTCCTATATGTGTCACTAGAACTTTTGTGGTATTAGGTAGATAAACAAACATGCTGTTGACTTCTCTATGCTCAATGAAAAGTGATAAAGATCATGAAATATGGTCTGAAGCTCCTGTGTCAAGGATCCAGAAGGTAATGGGATCTAGGTTACTATGCTCTATGTGAGAAGAGAGGACAAATTTACCTGAATGGTTAGGGAAGGGAGGTAAGTATTGTGAAACAGAATATGCATGAGGTGATATGGTTGGTGATTGAGGAGGTGAAGGGCTGTAGCTAGCACCAGCTTGCATCATTAGCCTTAGTCTATTCATCTCTTCAGGAGTGAAACCTGCCACTGCCCTTGCTTGACTAACAGGACTTGCATCTGGATTATCACTGTTATAGCTTACCTCAGTAGGTGAGTCCCCTGAACTTGTTTGAGAGACTGATCCTGCAAACCTTGGAGTGTTGGTTTGAGACCCTCCAGAACTACTACTGCTATCAGCTTCCTTCTTTCTCTTAGCTCTCCAACACTCATCAATAGCATGTCCTGGTCTCTTACAGTAAACACAATACTTCCTTCCTTGACCTCTATACCCTGATTCCTGAGGAGCTGTTCCTGCTGCTAAAGCCACAGTCTGTGCCTTCTTGCCAGTGTTCCCCTTCTCAGCTTTCAACTTCTGTTCATACTGCAACAGATCATCAACTGCTTCTGAGACTGTTGGTAAAGGCTTCTGTGAGAGCAGTTGAGTCTTGATTATCTCAAAGTCTGGATTCAAACCCCTCAGAAATCGAATAAGATAATCCGCTTCCTGCCTTTCTGTATAGGCTACCACTGCATCACAAGGATTTGGGTTTCCTGGAGCACAGTTACAAGGCACAATAGGGCTAAACTACGAGTACTCTTCCCACAATCCTTTGATTTCTGTGTAGTACTGATTTATGGTCTGAGTACCCTGCTTGCATCTTTGTATGTCATCCTCCAGGTTTATAATCCTAATAGCATTTGGTTTGGCATATCTCCTCTTCAGTTCTTCCCACAAGACTCTCGCATTCACATGACTCATTACAGATCTTCTCAGATCTTTGTTCAGAGAATTCAAGATCCATGACAACACAGCTGTGTTGCAACCATCCCACAGCAAATAGTTTGCATCTGTTCTAGCTGGCATGGGAATCGAACCATCTATGAAACCCAATTTGTGTTTCATCTTCAAACCCATAATCACAGAACGACTCCACATGGTATAGTTACTACCATCAAACAGTACTTCTGAACCTATGGACTGATTCAGTGCTTCATTAGGGTTCAGGTAGAAAGGATTACCGAAGGTTATGACATCGTTTCTGACTCCAGCTCCAGCAAAGATCTGTTGTTGCTGCTGCTCATCAAACGATCCAAATTGGAAAGCGCGAGGACCAGTCCCATTTCCCGCTTGAGTTCCTCGAGTGGCTTGAGATCCTTGAGACCCATCTCCAGAGGAAGAGTTTGGATCACCCTGAGAACCCGGCGCTGAGAAGCTCGACGATGCAGACCTTCCGCATCTGCCGCCAGTGGTCCCCGTAGGGCGCGAAGGCGACGTCGTTGCAGCCGTACAAGATGGTGGTGGGGAGCCAGCCTGGAAGCGAAGACGAGTTCGTGGGTTTGCATCACCAGCTTCGCGGCCTCGGAAGTGGAGATGATGACGTTGGTCACTTCCCCGAGCTGGAGCTGCATCACCGGTCCGTATTTCTCGGCGAGTTGTCTCATCCGTTGAAGTGGAGGCAGATTTCCGATGATCAGGAGGTGCAGGCTTCCGATGATGGAGTTGTCCGAGACTACAAAAAGACGAGGACTTAATTGAAACATATGTATAGTTGATACTTGATAGGGTAGATTGTAATATTAGTTGTAGGTAAGTTCACCTAGATCTTTTATTGTGAAAGTTTGGTCTAGGCTGGTTTGAAGGTTTTGGATAGCAATGATGTCATTTCCAGCAAGAATTATATCATCTACATAAACAAGTGCAACAGTAAATGAAGAGTCAACATGTATAACGAACATGGAATAATCAAGTGTCACGCATGAAGAAAGAAAAAGCATCCATGATCCATTAGTCATGTCTCAACTTTGACAGTGAAACCATTACGGGTAACTAGTTAATCCTTCAACGGACCATTTAGCTATGGAGAAGTAGAAGAAAAACAACAACATGCATATCATATTCATCGGATATACAATCTAACATACGAAAACAATTACAACTTCTTTGATGAAGTTCTACTGTTGGAAGATTTTTCAAGACAATGAAACCTGATAGGTAGTCAGGGCCAAACAATGCTCAAAGTACAGGCATGTTGTTCTTCACATAAGTAACGAATTCGACTTCTTGTTCCAGTATGGCCATTTCTTTTTCAAGCAAGGTGAGCCAAACTTCAACACCATATCCAACCGGGGATTGCAACAAAGTGGCCGTATACGGGATTTGACATGGGAATTGAGCCGTGGTGACCCAAGCTGGCTTTCCCCATCCAAAATCAACATCGTACAATCTCAGTCCGATCGTAGAAGATATCCTAAATAGCACCATTATACTCTCATTTTTAAACGCACCTATCGTGATCGTCGGCTTCCATAATGCTTCTAGATTCCTCATATATTCTTGTCTCCCATTTCTGCCTTGTAACTTTCCTATAAACTCTTTATCAATTTCCTCAACTGAACTCCTCAATTTATGGACCAACTCTTGTACTATTGTCTTTGTTCCATCTTCCAAAGACTCTTGTTGTTGATCATGGTGGTGGAATGACATAGCTGCCCAAATTATGTTGCCAATGGAGTAATTTGGCCATGGCTCATTCATTCGAGATCGGAGATTAACCACCATTGCTATGAAAAACATGTATAAAATAAAAGTTAGTCAATTGGCTACATTAACTCGAGTTAAAAGGTTGTTTGCGTTTTAAGGTTTGTGCATCATTTAAACATTTAGAATACATATTTTGGCATTACCTGTGTCATAAACCAGTTGGTCCCAATAACTCGAGTTGTTGGGAGAAGGTTATGTTGGATCTTATACAGGCCCGTGTATGGTGCTTAACCACTTCCTTACACGCCCCCTCAAACGAAAGCCGACTCATGGGCTTGAAGTTTGCACAGGCCCACCATACCATGTGCTTGAAAGACAAAGATTAATATTGGGGGTCGTGAGGACTTGAACACGTGACCTCAAGGACAAACCTGCTCTGATACCATGTCATAAACCAGTTGGTCCCAATAACTCGAGTTGTTGGGAGAAGGTTATGTTGGATCTTATACAGGCCCGTGTATGGTGCTTAACCACTTCCTTACAACCTGCAACTGAGGCAACTGATCTGGTGTTTGACCCGTCGGGTGACGCTGCTCTGGCGGCTGCGCTCATCACGCATTTCCACAAAAACCCAGCAACCGCCTCCGTCCGGGTCGGGTTGGGTATCTGATCGCTCTTCGCTTTGGCTTTCAGCGCGTGAATCGCTTCCTCATCGAACGCGAGTCTCCTCGTCAGCATCTTCCCTTGTTCGCGCACTAAATCCTCTGTGACTGCGGGGACATCTCCGTGACGCAGCGGCAGGAGTGACGTGGCGGCGCGATCGTGAGCGTACGCGCCGCCGCCGACTGCCGCCTCCGCCGTTTTCTTCTCGCTCCTGGCGACGGCGGACCAGAGTTTCATGAAATCGGCCAAAGTGGCGGCGTCGATGATCTTGTGCAACATGCAAACACCGATGGCGAGCCCGCCGCAAGGGAAAGCGGTCGCCCTGAAGGCGATCTGCGGCGCCGATTCGAGGTCCGAGACGATCGGATCGGCAGTGAAAGGGAGGAATTGCTGGAGCGAGTCAATTTCGAGACGTTTCCTGAGAAAGTCGGCCAGGGACAAATCGACCGTGGCGGAAGATAACGGCACGCCATCATCGTTGCAATGGACGACGGGAACTGAACCGGCTTGATCGATGTCGCCGGATTTGGACAGCCTGCCGGCGAGTGGGTAGAAGCGCGTGAGGGTCTGGGCGAGTGAAGACCTGAGGGTCTCGAATCTTCTCTCCCCTGGGTTTGGTCCCGTGGAGCCGGGACCAGGAAAAAAGAAGAAGATGAAAGGTACATAAATTGGCGGGACATCGTTGTCGATGAGGGAGAGCTTGAATGTGGTGAATTTGGCGGGAGTTGGGGAAGATGGTTTGATGGTTTCCGTGGAGCTTACGCTGACTTTAGGATGGTAATAATGGTGATTAATGCTGCTGGTTTTCAGTGATGGTGGTACTCGTAGTAATACTGGTCTATGGAGGGACCAAATCGAAGCTGCAGGCTTCTTGCTGCTCAGAGCAGCACGAACCAGTAATGGAAACATGGTTGATGGTTTGTAAAGCGCGTTACGAAGGGAATGACTACTAAATATGTAGAGCAGAATTTAGGAGATGCCGTGGATTATACTTTTTCTGGCATTGGGCATCTAAGGACTAAGAGGGTTTCGAAGTGGACAAAATTTGGCTGCATCCTACAAATAAAACCGACTCATTCAACTAAAGGATCGGACAAAAGTCAAAAGGTGGTTAACACTATAAACAAACCAAATATACAGGCCAACTTTATGTATATTGATAAATCCCCAACTAAAGTTGACTTGTTTTTATTTATTTCTCATGTGGGCAACGACTTTGGTTTTTCTATTGTAGAGAGACTATAAACAAACCAAATATACAACGCAAATATTACTACACTGTCATGGATCCTTAAGGATATTTTTTTGTACTGAAAGATGGTGAATTTTATTCCTCCAATAGAAAGCAGTTACAAAATACATCATGGAAAGAACTCTGAAATAAGCTCTAAGACTGTGATCCAGTCCCGAGGAAGTGAATTATGTGCAAAGGATCTAGCAACCCAGTAGCCAGAGCAGGGATGGAGCTACAGCATGCCTAATGGGGGTCGGTCTCCCGAGAATTTCAAATCTCGGATATATATGGTTCGGGATATTATGTATAAACTTCAAATCTAATTAAATATTAAAACGTGCATGTTTAAAAAGATTTTTTTTAAGGGAAAAGAAATTTCATTTTGCTCAGCGGTAAACAGCTTCTACACGGACTCGTTGGTCTTGGATTTTATGCCAAATGGAAGCAGATTTCTGTTTTTCCATTTCCTTTTTATTAATGGTAGGCTGTGGTTAGTGGTTACTGCTTTCATGGTAAGCCTAAATAAATCCTTCACTTTACATCAATTAATAAATTTAAGTATATATCAAGTACTTTATTTTAAAACAGATAATTAAGTTAAGTCCTTCAATTTATAAACATTATGAGGTACATGATGAATATTTTTAATTTTCCTTTTTAGTTTTCATTTGACTAAACAAATGAAGTTAATCATTTAAATTTGATATTTTGGTTTATTAATTTCTTAATTAAAAATTAGTTCATTTTAATGATACTTTCGAATATATAATGAATAATATTTTCTAAGTACTAAACATTCATTTTTTATGGAAATAGATGTGCCACACTATTTTTTGACATGATTAAAATTTTAATCTTTTCAATTTATAGTGAGTCTAATATGAAATATTTTGTGTGACGCTATTCTCCATCAACGATAAAAATCTATCAATCACCGATTTGGGTGGATATTTTTCGGAGGGCATTTTCATAATTTTTGGGTGATTTTTTTAAATGTAATTTCCTTTGAATTTTAATGCTACAGATCACGGATTCGGCTTGCATTTATTCTTCACTGATGTTTAAGTCAATTAAGCACCGATTTTTGGACAAATTTATTTTTGGGCCATTTTTAGAAGATTCAATAGGAGTACGCTACCATCACAGATTTTGGGCGATTTTTTCGAAAAACTATTTTTTTTTTGTATTTTGAAGGCTGTAAATCATGAATTTGGCAACGTGAGAGTGTCAAGAAAAAAAAATTTATTCGATACAGTTTGCCCTGAATAAGAGCCCAGCCAGTAGGCCATTACATGACTCACTTTTTGTATGGTTCAAAAGTGGTTGGTCTTAGGCCATCAAAAAAAGAGTAAGCTCTCTAACTTTTATTTCCGAATCCTCAACTCTTATTCCATTTCTGAGTGCGGGTACCTATTAATTATCAAATTAAATAGATATTTTTTCATAGCCATTTTTTGGCAAATTCCAAAGAGATAACATCACATATTTTAGCCAACATATTATAATTCATTACTATAACCAAGTAACCAACACATATGGAGAAAAAGACGAGAAAAAAATCACAACATAACATTCATTGGATACAATCCGACAATAAGAAACAATCATAACTTATTTGATAAAGTTCTAGCGTTGGAAGATTTCTCAAGAGAAGGAATCTTAACTTGAAGGAAACTTAATATGTAGCCAGGGCAAAAAAAAAAAAAAAAAAACTCAAAGTACAGGCATGTTATTTTTAGCATAAGTAGCGAACTCAGGTTCTTGTTCCAATATGGCCATTTCTTTTTCATGCAAAGTGAGCCAAACTTCAACCCCGCTTTCAACTGGGGACTGTAGCAAAACGGCCAAATTTGGGATCAGATTGGGGAATCTAGCCATGGTGACCCAAGCAGGGCTTTCCCCATCCAAAATCAACATCGTAGAATCTCATTCCGATATTGGAAGTTATCCTAAATGGCACTACTATCGTCTGGTTTTCAACAACATCATCTACCGCAATCGCCGGCTTCCACAATGCTTCTAGATTCATCAGATACTCTTGTCTCCCATCTCTGCCTTGTAACTTTGCCATAAACTCTTTATCCAGTTTCGCAACGGACCCCCTCAACTTACGAACCAGCTCTTGTACTATCGTCTTTGTTCCATCACCCAAATAATTAGGGCTGGCTATTTGGATCGGGACCGGATGAAAAACCGGACCGTATAACCCGGACCGAGACCGAACCGGGACCGGATAGTAAACAATCCAATCCAATCTTTAGGCTTAGATTTGAGGTAAAAAAACCCGGATAAAGACCGGATAAGAGAGCTCAACACCCAAAACTTAAGGGTAATTTGCATAAACGGTCACAAACCTTTACACTTAGTACAAAACTTAACCAACTCCTCACCTTTTTAGGCCTTAGGCCACTAAAATTCCCACAATCTCAATATAAAATCAAGACCGAATTGGGACCGGAACGGGTCAAGACCGGACCGGACCAAGACCGGACTGTATCCAATCCAATCTTCGGTCCTTATATTCTCAAAAAAACCGGACTCGACCGGATCAAGTTGGGCCAATTTAACCGGACCGGACCGTATAGCCACCCCTACAAATAATCATGTTGATGGTTGATGTGGTGTACTGACACTGCCGTGTGCCGTCCAAATTATGTTGCCGATAGAGTAATCTGGCCATGGCTCATTCATTCGAGATCGGAGGTTAACTGCCATCGCTATGACCAACATGCATCAAATAACAATTAACCAATGAGCAGCTGCAGTAACTCGAGTTGAGGTGGGTTATGGGAATATCCATTGTGTTTTAACATTTGTGCATCATTTAAACATATGAAACGCAAAATTTTGGCATTACTTGCAATTGAGACGACTGATCTGGGGTTTGACCCGTCGGTTGACGCTGCTCTGGCGGCTGCGCTCATCACGTGCTTCCACAAAAACCCACCAACTGCCTCGCTCCGGCTCGGGTTGGGTATCTGATCGCTCCTCGCTATGGCTTTCAGCGCGTGAATCGCGCCTTCGTCGAACGCGAGTCTCCTCGTCACGATCTTCCCTTGTTCCCCCACAAAATCCCCTGGCGCCGCGGCGACGTCGTCGTGCCGCAGCGGCAGGAGTGACCTGGCAGCGAGATCGTGAGCGTACGCGCTGCCGCCTACTGCTGCGGCCGCCGTTTTCTCCTCGCTCCTGGCGACGGCGGACCAGAGTTTCATGAAATCGGCCAAGGTGGGGCCATCTACGATCTTGTGGAAGAAGCAAACACCGATGGCGATCCCGCCGCAGGGGAACGCGGTAGCCCTGAAGCCGATCTGTGGCACCGATTCGAGGCCCGAGATGATCAGATCGGCAGGGAAAGGGAGGAATTGCTGGAGCGAGTCGATCTCGATTCGCTTCCTGAGAAACTGGGCCATGGACAAATCGACCGCGGCGGAAGAAAACGGCACACCCTCGTCGTTGCAATGGACGACGGGAACCGAACCTGCTCCATTGATGTCGCCGATTTTGGACAACCTGCCGGCGAGTGGGTAGAAGCGCGTGAGGGCCTGGGCGAGTGAAGACTTGAGGGTCTCGAATCTCTCCCCTGGTTTTGGTCCCGTGGTGGAGGCGGGAGCAGGGAAAAAGAAGATGAAAGGTACGTAAATTGGCGGGACATGGTTGTCGATGAGGGAGAGCTTGAATGTGGCGAATTTGGCGGGAGTTGGGGAAGACGGTTTGATGGTTTCTGTGGAGCTTACGTTGACTTGATGATGGTAATAATGGTACTGATTGCTGCTGGGTTTCAGTGATGGTGGAAGCAGTAATATTGCTCTATGAAGGGACCAAATGGAAGATGCAGCTGCAGGCTTCTTGCTGAGAGCAACACGAACCAGAAATGGAAACATGGTTGATGGTTGTAACGTAACAATTAAGGTCGTACAATGGTGATAAAGGGAAATAAATGACTTCCCAAAATGGCTACTACTAATTATATAGATCAGATTCAGAGCTTTGGAATCAGAGAGACCAGCTGGCTAATTTTGGGTTGATTAGCGCAAAGAAAAAATATATTATCTTCCAAGATGTAAATTGGAGTTTTCGACCGTATTGTGAGAACCTGCTCACGGGCGCTTGTTGTGGTTGGATAGGCATGAGAATTTTGCGATCCTCTATTCAGAATTTGGACTCCACCACGGTATATAAACAACCCAAATAATGAGCCCAATTGACACTACTGCTTTATACTGATTACATTGTCACATGGGTCCTTAGGGATCTCCGGATCGACAATATATTGTGTTGTACGTGAGGACAGTACTCGTTGGCAGGTTGTTATGCACGACGACAATTGTAGCAAGGCATGCAGATGCTCTTTTCATGATTTTCCGTGGAGCCGACACAGATCTTATGATGATCATCACTAGCTGGCTCCGCCACTGGCGGTGACTGGTGGAGGATAGGGCTGTAAGGTGACGACACTCGTTGGCCGGAGCGGAGAAACACGTACGTATCTCCTTTGGCAGCAAACAAACCTGCCTACATGCTGCGTATTATCATATATGTAACCCAAGAGACGAGAACATCATTTGATCGATGTTTGTGTTTCATTCATTTATGTTCCTAGGCACGTTGCTAGGATATCCTCCATTCAGGTGTATTACACAAATGTCTAGAATTAAACTTTGATCGTCAAGTTTTATATTTTAATCCTTGGTATTTGTTTAAGATGATGAATATATAGTTTAAAATTATAACTAATCCATGCTATTTACTAATAAATTTTTCCTTATAATATGATTATTATGAGATGAATTTCTGAAAGTCTACTGAGTTAGTTTTAGAATTCCTGAAAATAAAAGTGAATTCATGTTTTTTATTGTTCATTATTATAAAATTGAAGACATCAATCATTTTAAGACGAATATGGTGATTAAAAACAAGAATCAAGAAATAAGATGTATAAGTATAAGTAACACATACACCCAAAATGGAGAGCGTAACCTAATTGGGTTCGGTTTCCGTATTATCATGGCACTGTTATAACGAATATACGTACGTGAATTATTGATGAAGTACGACGGACACAACAAGATGTTATTAATTGTTGGAGAGTATTATTGGCGGCCATATTAATTTGATAATACTCGTTTTCTTGTGGGGGTATTTCAAACTGTTCTATCGGTTTGAGATCCCTAGCTAGTCTTGACATGGATCTCAAATCTATAGATCTGTACGGTCTCTCTAGTTTCTCTTGGGAGAACTAACGGGCTGACAATGTATAATCGTAAAGTCTCTTTGATAATTGCGTGCAAATAGGTTAGCTCATTGAGTCAATCTTCATCAACATTTCCCTTGCTCTGGAAGACTCGACTCACCTCTTCCTTCACTTATTGTAACCTCTGACACGGTCTATTTTATTGCACTCACCGCTCGTTGATGTCTCAACTCCACCAAGAAACATATTCTAGTATACAAACAAGGAAGTCATAATCCATATTGATAGTAACACAAAGTAAAAGATTATAAAATTCTACTCCAAAAGAATCCATTTTAACTTTTTAGTTTTTATACAACTTTAGAAAACAGTTTCTCTAGAACAAAACTTGATAATTCATTATTGGTCAAGTACCAGGAAGAAGTCAAAGTTGATAATTCATTGTTGCTTAAATTTCAAAGCAATAATTATGAATGAAATAATCTATTAATAATACTGACAAGAACGGCGGCTTTGATGTCGTCGGTTGCCAAAGGGATGCCGAGGTCCCAAGTCTCTTGAAGGTTGAGCAGAATGTTCTCCGCTTCATCACCTAGACGCCGTCGTTTCGTGATATCCCTTCTCCTCCGAACTCCATGCTGTTCGAGGATTCCTTCAAAATCCATTAAGTGCCCTTACGTTCTCGTCAACCACGGCCAAGAACCCTTCTCCGATCTCGTTCTCCAACTCCCCGAAAGCGGAACTCGACGTCACTCGACTCGCCAGCGGGACCAGGAACCTTCTCAATTCTCATGTTCACCGCTGCTTTCATACGTTTAATCACGCAAATAATCAACTTTTAATCACGGAATTAATTGTTATCGTGAATTCAGAATGATAGTTAATTGTTCTGCTCAGCAAGAGGTGGATGCGTGACTTGGCGGGCGATGAGAACAAAATAAGAGCAATAGCATAGTTAGTAAAATACGGTACGGGAAAGTTACGTAAAAGATACGTACGGGCATTATACTTCATCTTTAAGCTAAAATTACGTTTAATAGTACGTTAATAGTCATAAATATATAAAATTAATCATTTTAAAAATAAATAAATATATAAATAATAGTAAAGTTAACAATTTAATTCGTAAAATACGGATAATAAACGTGTTATACGGGTTTTATACGTGTTTAGTACGGGAACCATGAAATGAACGGGGGAAAATGAAACGGCTTGACAATAATACGGATACGGAAGTTTTAAACGGATAAAGTACGTACGGGTACATATACGTGTATTAAACGGAGTATTTACTAACTATGAGCAATAGTACTGTCGTAATTCTCAAACATTTATCTCCACGTGCCACTCATGAAAAAATAGGCTTAAAGGTCACTCGAATTGCTCAAAAATTTCATGTTTGCCACTCGAATTGATTTATTCCATTTATAGTCACTCGAATTAGTTGAACAGTCCAAGTTCGGTCACTCTCCGTTAACCTCCGTTAGACTCCGTTAATGACGACCGTTAAGTGATGACGTGGCTAACAGAAAGACACAGTCAGCACATTTTAACATTAAAAAAAGACTACCCGACCCGCCAGCTCAGCCTTACCTGCCCTGCCAACCATTTTTTGCCCAACCCGCGAACCAACCGATTCAACGGCCATCCACCCGTCGTCGTCGCCGTCACCTCCTCATCTTTCATTCATCAGCCATCCACCTGCCGTCCTCGCCCTATTCTTGAATCAAATCTGGGGTTTTGCTTGGCAGAGGCAAATTGGATGCATGACTATGAAAGCTTACTCGGAAAGTGACCTTCCAGATCTTGATTCTCAAGTCCACCTTACACTTGGACCCAGCAGTTACAACAACAGAGGGAGGAGCCTTACCTTTCGGTACCGCCCCTTTAATGTCCTCACAGGTGACCCGAATCCCAACTTTCTTCGTCTTCAGCTTGCCCACCTTCACAACCACTTTCGTGTCCAGCTGAATCTTGAGCGTCGCCACTCCGTTCCTCTTCTTCAGATCCGATCTGAGCCCGTTCACCGACTCCGCGTCCACCTCGTTCGACCCGGACACCACCACGTTCCTCAGGCTCGTCTCGTTCTTCTTGCTCAGCGAGAACGCCGGGAGGGTCCCGTTGCCGAGGAAGACGTCGCCGGAGGCGGCGCTGACGGTGAATGGGTCGTAGGAGAAGGAGAGGTGGGAATTGGGATTCGCGGGTTGGGAAAAAATGGCTGACAGGGCGGGTAAGGCTGAGCTGGCGGGTCGGGTCGTCTTTTTTTAATGTTAAAATGTGCTGACTGTGTCTTTCTGTTAGCCACATCATCACTTAACGGTCGTCATTAACGGAGTCTAACGGAGGTTAACGGAGAGTGACCGAACTTGGACTGTTCAACTAATTCGAGTGACTATAAATAGTATAAATCAATTCGAGTGGCAAACGTGAAATTTTTGAGCAATTCGAGTGACCAAACTTGCAATTAAGCCTGAAAAAATAAATAGCATCTACGGGTCTTTTTTTTTTTTTTGGGAGCATCTACGAGTCTTAATTTCAAACTATGATGTGAATTTAATCTCACTGTCAAACAAATACAATTCATATAATGTCAACTTTGAGGGAAACAATTAATTACGCGTATATTAATATGAAAATATATTAACTCATAATACAATCAAGCCACGTAGAGAAAAGCAGAAAAAGATCACGACATTATCACCTTCATCGGATACAATCCAACAATAAGAAACAATCACCACTTATTTGATGAAGTTATAAAGTAAAAAAGGAAACTTAATAGGTAGTGGGGGCTCAAAGTACACACATATTGTTCTTAGCATAAATAGTGAATTCAGGTTCTTGTTCCAGCATGACCATTTCTTTTTCAGGCAAGGTGAGCCAAACTTCAACACCATATCCAACCGGAGACTGCAGCAAAAAGGCCACATTTGGAGTTGGGAATTGAGCCATGGTGATCCAAGCAGGTTTTCCCCATCCAAAATCAACATCGTACAATCTCAGTCCGGTTGTGGAAGTTATTGTAAACGACGCTACTATACTCGCGTTTTCAACAGCAGCATCTACCATGATTGTTGGCTTCCAAAATGCTTCTAGGTTCCTTAGAAATTCTCGTCTCCCGTCTTTGCCTTGTAACTTTCTCATGAACTCTTGATCAAGTTTCGCAACTGACCCTCTTAATTTACAGACCAAAGCCTATATTGTCTTTGTTCCATCATCCAAAGAATCTTGTTGTTGATCGCTGTGGTATAACGACAGAGCAGGCCATATTATATTGCCAACAGAGTAATCTGGCCATGGCTCATTCATTCGAAATCGGAGATTAACCGCCATTGCTATGACCAATATGTATAAAATAAAAATGAATCAATCAATACTACAATAACTTTTGAGTTGGAGAGAAGTGAGTATGTTTTAACCTTTTTGCATCATTTAGACATTTGATGAAATGCAAATGTTGGCATTACCTGCAACTGAGACAACGGATCTGGGCTTTGACCCGTCGGGTGATGCTGCCCTGGCAGCTGCACTCATCACCGATTTCCACAAAAATCCACCAACAGCCTCGGTCCGGGTCGGGTCAGGTATCTGATCGCTCTTCGCTTTGGCTTTCAGCGCATGAATCGCTTCTTCATCGAACGCGAATCTCCTCATCAACACCTTCCCTTCTTCGCCCACAAAATCCTCTGTGCCCGCGGGAACATCGTCGTGTCGCGGCGGCAGGAGTGACGTGGCAGCGAGATTGTGAGCGTACCCGCTCCCACCCGCCGTTTTCTCCTCGCTGCTGGCGAATGCGGACCAGAGTTTCATGAAATCGGCCAAAGTGGGGCCATCAATGATCTTGTGCAACAAGCAGACCCCGATGGCGAGCCCGCCGCAGGGGAAAGCGGTAGCCCTGAAGGCGATCTGCGGCGCCGATTCGAGGCCCGAGATGATAAGATGGGCAGGGAAAGGGAGGAATTGCTGGAGCGACTCGATTTCGAGTCGTCTCCTTAGAAACTGAGCCACGGACACATCTTTAATGTCTCCGTCGACCGTGGCGGAAGAAAACGGCACGCCCTCGTCGTTGCAGTTGATGACTGGAATCGCACCGGCTTCGTTATCTTCGCCGGATTTGGACAACCTGCCGGCGAGTGGGTAGAAGCGCGTGAGGGTCTGGGCGAGTGAAGACTTGAGGGTCTCGAACATTCTCTCCCCTGGTTTTATTGGTCCCGTGGAGGCGGGAGCAGGGAAAAAGAAGATGAAAGGTACGTAAATTGGCGGGACTAGGTTGTCTATGAAGGAGAGCTTGAATGTGGTGAGTTTGGCGGGAGTCGGGGAAGAGGGTTTGATGGTTTCTGTGGAGCTTACGCTGACTTTATGATGAAAATAATGGTACTGATTGCTGCTGGGTTTCAGTGATGGTGATAGTAGTAGTGCTACTCTAGGGAGGGACCAAATGAAAGATCTAGCTGCAAGCTTCTTGCTTAATGACACCGCCCCAAACATCAACGGGAACATCGTCTATGGTGCAATGAATGATCAACCTCAAATGACTACTAAATATATAACACCCCCTCAAACGAAAAATTCACTCATGTGAGTTTGAAATTTACACAAAGCATCAGAGACGCCATGTATTTATCAACGGGGTCACAGGGATTCGAGCAGAAGGCATATTAATAAAAAAAACTTGATACTATGTCAAAACACACAATAAATTTTTATAACTTGTGTTGTTGAATAAGATTCGATTATATATCATATACCTTATTAACATCGTAATCAAAGGAGACATGACCCAACAAACCAAGCCATCTATAATCAAAGGGAGACCTGGTCCAACATACCAATCTAAAACAGAGTTGCTCATATCCTCCTTGGTTGCAGCTTTGAAGGGTGTGTCCTCTTCTTCACTGAAAGGCTGCTGGGAGTGTTTAGTCACAATTAATGCACGCAGAGGTGTTAATAATGGATGTGGATGGCTTTGACTTGCCAGGATTTCTCTTCTCTTGTATTGTTGTGTTGTCGAGTGGCGGACTGGATTATTAATGGTGGTCTTTTCTCAGATGTCACTGCATCATAATTCGTTGAGTTATTATATTAGGTGTATTTAGTAAACGATCGAGCATCAATCTTGGCCATGATGATTCCTCACCTATATGAATTTATTAGATTGGACAAATTATGGTTAAAGCAAATAATTATTTCATTAGGATTAATTTTAATTTGTTAACTCTTGAAATATTTGATAATTTAGTTGTAAGAATAACACAAGTTGAAATGTGGGATGATAGTTGAAATTCGTGACTCACTCGTATGTTTTCATGTAGGATAGCGCCTACTTGGCATGTGGTTACTGCATTTTTAAGTTTTTTTATAATGCTTATTATTTTCATTTTATTTTTTGTTGGCGCTGCCCGCCTAATCAATGGTAGGGATGATTCATTGGGTAATTGGACAAAATTATCATATGACTCATATGGGTATTGTGTTGACCCAAATGCACTCATATGCACACTAAACAATTTTGGGTATGGTTTGGGTATGAATTGTCTCCAATTTGGATCAACCCATTTAGGTCGGATCCAAATGACTATCTATTTGGATCTATATAATGCACACGAAAAAACAATATCGACATTCTCACTATTCGCGCATTCAACCAATTCATAGCTTCAATGGTGGCAATTTCATATTTATGTTTGTTTTAGAACAAAGAAAAGGACAAATCGCATTAGAGTTGGTTATCCATTTTCTTTTGAGTTGTAATCGGTTTAATTTAGACCAAACTAAAAAAGTGGGTATGTATCCAAAAATGTTATTATTACCCAAACCTAATTTGACTCGTAATAAATTAGATTTGTGCAATACCCAAATTACCGGTCCTTTCTATATCCCTAATTAATGGGTTTATGATTAACGTAACAGGGAAGCTACGCGCATTTTGTAACTAATCTTTTCAGTTTTCACATATATCAAGTGGTATGGTACATAATAGTGGTAACTACAAACTGCATAACCCAAAGAAAATAATAATGGACCATAGCCCATAAGTGATCATGCCTAACTAGCAGGCCATATAACTATGTCCAAAAGGGAACATATCAAAGCCCAAAAATGCAGACCACGATTTGCACCACCCGGCCCATTCAGCATCAGGAGCCGGCAAGGCTCTAGCTCTACCCTCTGCCTCGAGCATTCCTTCTTTCTTCCAGTTCGAAACGAACTATTCCGGCAACGGCAAAGCATTTCGCACTTCTATCAGGCAGGTCAGTACTTCTTTCTCTCCCTCCACCCTTCTGGAACAGAGGAAAGAGTTCCACTTTATGGCCTTCCAAATTTCAATTATTGGCTTTACTTCTTTACAAACTGGCTTTCATGGAACAAGCACCCAGCGCCTAGATTTACAGATCATACTAAGCTGTTAAATACCACCCTGCATTTACTCTTGGATGCGGACCAAATTAGCAGCTTCTGCTGCCGTTTTTCACTTCACCTTGAATGGTGATTCGCTACTGGTTCAGCTTTTGCAGCAAAGGTACCTTCTCGTTGGAGTGAGGTTCGAGGGTACTACTAACATGGTGACTGTTCTGTTGTGGGATGGTGTCATCATCTTCCTCTTTGCTCTTTCCCCACATCAGCATGTAGAACCCAATTGCAATGGTTATTGCTCCAATCAGGCTGCCAAAATTGGAAGATTAGAAACAAAAGGGATATTTTGTTAGGGTTAAAGTTACTAACTTTATGGACTTTCTCCGTCTATTTGTATGGAAACTGAACTACTGAAGTTAGTTTTACCTTCCTAGATGCAGAATATCACCCAGAAGCGTTACTCCCATGGCAACAGCTACAATCATCGCGAATGGTTTGAACGACGACACAAATACTGGCCCCTTGAGCTTCAACACCCATGCCTCCACACCATTGCTCACGGACGATCCAAGCACTCCCTAATCGAACATGCAAAGGTTTAAAAGAGGCATGCTCTTGATACAGCCCATCTGATGATGAGTATTGTTAAGCCTCTTACCGAGCAGAAAACCGATGCTATTGCTGTGCTACTGCTGAATATCCAAGCACTTGATGATGTTCCTTCAGTGATCAGAGCAAAAACTGATGTTATGATGCAGACAATCACGTTGTAGAGGAAGATCACTGTGAATTCTGCAGGGTACTCCTTCATTATCTGTGTCTGTTCCACAAAACACCACCAATTTGAGACTTCATGGTGAAATGAACAGCAATCTAACAAAGATGGGTTTGGAAGGAAGCATACATTACATACCAGTAGAATGTACCACAAAGGGGTAAGTATATACTTCAGGGTGAGACACATCCCACCAAGTACCCAATGTTCTTGTGTTGTTGTTACTGGTGGTGACTGAAGAAGTGATGATTGATAATTCAGTTGGACTAGTGATGTGGGTTCCGGCGGGAAAATCGGGGGACCCTTATAAAGGGTCACCACAAATGCACCTGCTATTGCCACTATTGTGCCTAGGATTTTGGCCTGGCTGGATGATCTTCTGATCACAACTCTTTCCATCCTTTTCTTGTCATAGGCGGGATATTAGTGAGAGTTCGTTCAGTTCATGGACAAGTAGTTGAAGTTATGGCTTCTCACAAATACGGCAGCGGGAGCTAGGATTGAGAAAGAAATGGTACCTGCAAATGACGGCAAACAAGAATGTAAATGCTGGACTGAGATTGCCAATGGCGGATGCAAGAGTTGGAGAGCTGTAGTTGATTCCAGTGTACAATATGATCTGAGCTGAACTCCTGTGAAGAAACTAACGATCAATTCAACAGAACCCCAGGAGAGCTCAGATATAGAGATCATCAAAAGGTTGATTTCAGAGGGAATAAGTTAACCCACCCTATGAGCCCGAGGAGACCAATTTTGCACATAATTGAGGAGCTCATAGGAGGAAGAACACTTGATCTGCAAACAAAATATGATGCATATTTGAGTTTCCTAGAAAACACAAGTTGGACTTTCCTATCAGAGAGCAATAGGGAAAGGTGAAAGAGAGAACCTTTTGGAGAGGAAAGGAGCTGGGATAAGAATAAGAGAAGCGATGGCATAGTCATAGGCGACGAAGACATTGTTGCTCATACCCTCCATGGTTGCAGCTTTGAAGAGCGTGCTGATCCCAACGCTGATGATGTTTAAGCTGACCATGGCCAGAAACGGCAGCACATCTCTTTGGAAATAGTAACCCCACGTCATCTTTCTTCTCCGGTGACCTGTTTTCTCTTCTTCACTGAAAGCTTTACTTAGTGGGAGAAGGGGCTGAGCAAGCAGCGGTGTTAATGGGTGAGAGGACCTGACACTTTGTTTCTAAATATTATTCTACTGTCATCATGTGGTGGTGGATTTAAAGGTATTTTTTTCAGTTGTCATTATCAAATTTCAACCAACTTTCTTGTAGGGCTGGCTATTTGGACCGGGATCGGATAAAAAACCAGAAACCGGACCGTATAACCCGGACCGAGACCGGACCGGGACCGGATAGTAAACAATCCAATCCAATCTTTGGGCTTAGATTTGAGGTAAAAAACCGGATAAAGACCGGATAAGAGAGCTCAACACCCAAAACTTAAGTGTAATTTGCATAAACGGTCACAAACCTTTGCACTTAGTACAAAACTTAACCAATTCCTCACCCTTTTAGGCCTTAGGCCACTCAAATTCCCACAATCTCAATATAAAATCAAGATCGAATTGGGACCGGACCGGGTCAAGACCGGACCGGATCAAGACCGGACTGTATCCAATCCAATCTTTGGTCCTTATATTTTCAAAAAAACCGGACTGGACCGGATCAATTTGGGCCAATTTAACCGGACCGGACCGTATAGCCACCCCTACTTTCTTGTGGTCTGTTGGTTGAGTAAGCACCTATTAGGCTCAGTTGTCTTCTTTATAGAATTATTATTAGTTATTATTATGCTACAAGCAGCCAAAAAAACATTATTATTATGTCACAAGCAGCCAAAAAACGAGGTACTGTTCATTAAGAGAATTTTGGAATTGTGTACCAAAAAAAAAAGAGAGCTTTGGAATTACTGTTCACAGGGAGGGTAGGGTACACCCAAACCTACTTTTGGATTGGTGATCCTTGGTAGACCTCTAGCGGTTAGCTAAGCCATCCTCTGAGGACGCCTACCCTCCCAGGCCCCAGCTTCCCGAACCCTTAGACCCAACCCGCTTTCCCTCCTCCTGTCCAATTCTTCGACTCTACTAATAAACGACTTTGCTTCCTCCTGGCTGTGATTAAGTTGCAGGTCACTCTGTTATATAGGCAATACAATGGTATAATAATCCCTTCAACCCTACCAGCTTCCCCTTTTCCTCCCCAATCTTCTGACTCTGTCAATTAGTGGAAGGAGGAAATTAAACAACCACATTCGACCGAGGAATTCTTTGATAAAGATGAAGAAGACGGACTGGGTGCTTTTGTTAATTGATTGAGTTTTTTCAGTTTAGGTACCTGCAATAGAACTGCTAAGCTCAGTGCGACAGATCTGGTATCTCCAAGCTGCTCAAACCGCTGGATCTTGAATTGGGAGATTGACGCCACCTATGACGGCCGATGGCAGTGTCTTTCTCTTCTCCTTTGACCTGAATCGTGGTCATCCTTTCTTTGGCCACAGAGGTGAGGTATCTTGAAAAAAATTATTCTACCTTAACTTAGGCATCCTACTATGAAACGGAGAGAAGCTAAGATCTAACACACGATTGGGTGATGGATTTAAAGAATTTCAGATCATATATGGAGAAGGGATACGGATTTCCTCCTCTCAGTTTGGCCTATAAGCTTCTCGATTTTTTATTGTTCTCTTTCAACGAATCATATATCGTATGTGAAAGGGTGTGTAATTTTTTCTCATTCACATTGATTTGATCTCTTATCTTGATTACCACTCATTGGTTAGATAGATCATAGAAGCTAAGGGAAGGTAAAATTATGTTGGACGGCTTTCCCATGGTTGAGTGTTGACCATAATGGAAAGGAAGCCGTAGTATAAGTGGTAAGTGGTAACTAATCTTTTCACGTACATTAAGTGAAAGAGATCGGGGTAACTAACTACACTACAGAACCCAAAAAAACGTTAATATTGGACCATAGCTCATAGGTGATCAGGCTTCAAGCCTAGCTAGCAGGCCCATAGAACTATGTCCAAAAGGGAACAAATGAAACTCACAATCGCAAACCACGATTTGCACCACCCGGCCCATTCAGCAGCCGGCAAGGCTCTACCACCTGCCTGCCTCTAGCATTCGTTCTTTCATCAAGTTCGGAACGAACTATTCCGGCAACGGCAAAGCAATTCGCACTTCTACGGTAGAAGTTCTACACAGCCGTCAGCCAGGTCAGTTCTTTCTCTCCCTCCAACCCTTCTGGAACAGAGGAAAGAGTTCCACTTGATGGCCTTCCAAATTTCAATTATTGGCTTTACTTCTTTGCAAATTGGCTTCCATGGAACAAGCACCCATCGTCTATATTTACAGGTCATGCTAGGTTATTAGATACCACCCTGAATTTAATCTTGGATGTGGGCCAAATCAGCAGCTTCTGCTGCTGTTTTCAACTACACCTTGAATGGTGATTCCCTACTGGTTCAGCTTTTGCAGTAAAGGTACCTTCTCGTTGGATTGAGGTTCGAGGGTACTACTAACATGATTACTGTTCCGTTGTGGGATGGTGTTATCATCCTCCTCTTTGGCCTTTCCCCACATCAGCATGTAGAACCCAATTGCAATGGTTATTGCTCCAATCAGGCTGCCAAATCGGAAGATTGGAAACAAAAGGGGATATCTGTTAGGGTTAAAGTTACTAGCTTTGTGGACTTTCTCTGTCTATCTGTGTTGAAACTGAAGTTTGTTTTACCTCCCTAGATGCAGAATATCACCCAGAAGTGTAACTCCCATGGCAACAGCTACAATCATCGCGAATGGTTTGAACGACGACACAAATACTGGCCCTTTGAGCCGCAACACCCATGCGTCAACGCCATTGCTCAAGCACGATCCAAGCACTCCCTAATCGAACATGCAAAGGTTTAAAAAAGGCATAGTCTTGATACTGCCCATTTGGTGATGAGTATTGTTAAGTTTCTTACCGAGCAGAAAACCGATGCTATTGCTGTTCTACTGCTGAATATCCAGGCACTTGATGTTGTTCCTTCAGTGATCAGAGCAAAAACTGATGTTATGATGCAGACAATTACATTGTAGAAGAAGATCACTGTGAATTCTGCAGGGTACTCCTTCATTATCTGTGTCTGTTCCACAAAACAGCACAATTTGAGACTTCATGGTGAAATGAACAGCAATCTAATGAAGATGGGTTTGGAAGGAAGCAGACAATACATACCACTACAATGTACCACAAAGGGTCAAGTATATACTTTACGGTGAGGCACATCCCACCAAGTACCCAGTGTCCTTGCGTAGTTGTTGTTGATGACTGAAGAAGGGATGATTGATGATTCAGTTTAGTTGGTGATGGAGATTCTGACGCGAAAATGGGGGGACCCTTATAGAGGGTCACCACAAATGCACCTGCTATTGCCACTATTGTGCCTAGGATTTTGGCCTGGCTGGATGATCTTCTAATCGCAACTCTTTCCATCCTTTTCGTGACAAAGGTGAAATTAGAGAGAGTTCCGTTCATGGACAAGTGGTAGAAAGTTGTGGCTACTGAAAATACAGTAGCAGGAGCTAGGATTGGGAAACAAATGGTACCTGCAAATGACGGCAAACAGGAAAGTAAAAGCTGGAGTGAGATTGCCAATGGCGGACGCAAGAGTTGGAGAACTGTAGTTGATTCCAGTGTACACCATGATTTGAGACGAACTCCTGGGAAGAAATTAGCCACCAATTCAACAGAAAACCCAGGAAAGCTCAGATATTGAGATCATCAAAAGGTTGATTTCACATGAAGTTACTCAACCCACCCTATGAGCCCGAGGACGCCAATTTTGCACACAACTGAGGAGCTCAAAGGAGGAAGAACACTTGACCTGCAAAATTGCGCTGCATATTGAGCTTTCCCAGAAAACCAACTTGGACTTGCCGATCAGAGAGCAATTGGGATGGGGAAAAGGCAGAACCTTTTGGAGAGGAAAGGAGCAGGAAGAAGAACAAGAGAAGCGATGGCATAGTCATAGGCGACGAAGACATGGTTGCTCATACCCTCCACTGTTGCAGCTTTGAAGAGCGTATTGATCCCAACGTTGATGATGTTCAAGCTGACCATGGCTACAAACGGCAGCACATCTCTGTGGAAATAGTATCCTCCCGTCATCTTTTCCCCTTTCCGTTCACCTTCCCACCTTCTTCTGTGTCCTTTTCTTCACTGAAAAGCTGCTGGGAGTGTTTGAAAATGGCTCGGGTTGCGTGGCCGGCACAAGCAGCGGTGTTAATAATGGATGACTTGGCAGGAACTGTCAAGTGGCGGAATTTATAATGGGGTTTCAAGTTGTCACTGTCATCGTTCTTTTTTGAGTTATTGGGTGGGTGAAGTGGGCATCAATTAAGGCTATGTACGTATGGTGATTCATCACATGGAATTTATACAATTGGAGAAATTCAACTCCAACTTTTGCCATCTTAACTTCTCAAGTTGACGTACTATGGTAAGATGAAATTCGTGCTCCACTCATATACAGTTCATTTGGCAGCTGGTTTACTTGGGTAATTATACCCAAATCCAAATAAACCCATTCATAATGGGTTGGGTATGAGTGAAGTGTACATGGGTTTGGGGGTTTGTAGATAGGTTGGGTATGAGTATGAATATTGCTTCCATAATCTAAATGGGTATGGGTTGGATATGGATATTCATTTACTTGAGGATGTTTTAACTACACATGCAAAAAACTGGACCTATTTGTAAAACTTCAAAAGTTTAGGTACCAAAAATGTAAGACAAAAAAAATTAGGTACCAAAACGTAATTTTCCATCGATATTTTGAGGACTTATATGCAAAAAAAATTAAATTTAGGTACTAAATATGCATATCTATTAAGTTTTGATACCAAACTGTAATTTACATTTGGACATGGGTACAAACCCAAATCCGTTTGTTATAAACCAACTCAACTCAAGTAAAGTGGGTATGGGTACAAACCCATCAAACTCTACCCATATCCATCTATTTGAATTTCATACCCAACCCAATTGATTTGGATAGTAAAAAATCAATGGATATAGGCAAAATTGCCTTCCCTACTTGGTATGTCGGGTACTTGAATTTTACACTTTGGTTTTTTCCTTTTTTCTTGGGTCATTGTTGCCTGCCTAATTTATGGGTTTATGCTTAACACTGAAGCTGCATGCTTTGTGGCGCTTGTGGCGGGCTTGTCTCTGCTGAACATGAGATACAAAACTTAAATCAATAGGGGATCACCTAAGATGACGGGGTACACAGACGAGGATTAAATTCAGCATCCAGACAAAGCAAACTCCTAATGAAATTATAATGTTAGCATTTTTTGTTGCGAGGTGACAAAATGCTAATAAATAATTTATTATACTATTGAGTTTGATATCTTTGTTATGGGAGCAGATCAGGTGAGTAACCATGAGTAACCCGTCCACATTAGCATGACATCAGCATCCTCTCTCTCCTGGAAAGCCTTTAATTTTCCCCTCTTTAATCTTTGACGAATGATTTCTCACTCATTTTAAGTCGAAATTTAATTTTTTTTGCACAGTTAGATCAGATTAATTGTGCTCTTCAAAATGATATCCACTTTAATATATTTTTCGAACAAAAAAAATTGAGTCATTTTTTACCAGTCTATACCATATGGTATTGACTGGTATTGAAATAAAAGCATACATATGGTTTGAAAAAAGTACCATGGTGGTATGAACAAACCAAGACTATAGGATGGTTGAATACATGATAGTAGAAATATATTAATTGTCATTTACAACTTTTAACATTGTATACCACAAGATACCACCCCGTACCAGGGTGGTATTGTATGGTATTGTGTGGTATTTTTTGGTCCTATAATTTGTTCACCCATAAATTTGTAGATCCAATAGATCATGATGAACTCGTCCCTTCTGTGCAAACGTTTTCAAAAACGAATTAAAAACGAAGAAGATACCATACAATACCACCCCGTACCAGGGTGGTATTGTATGGTATTGTGTGGTATTTTTTGGTCCTGTAATTTGTTCACCCAGAAATTTGTAGATCTAATAGATCATGATGAACTCGTCCCTTCTGTGCAAATGTTTTCAAAAACGAATTAAAAATGAAGAAAATACCATATGGTATGCAGTTGGTACCGAGAGGCCATAATTTTTTGTTCTAAAAAATTATTTAAAATTGATCTCATTTTGTAGAGCACGATGAACTCGTTCCACCTGTGCAAAAAAAATTAAAATCCGAGTTAAAACGAAAAAGATATGAGCCGATTAAAAAGCTAGAGAAAATAAAAATGATCTTTAATTCTCCATCCTTAGATCTGGATTTTCTAAATGAAGGGTTCAGATTTGGTTATTGATGGATGCATAACCCATGGTTGAGCCCTTTGTTATATCGATGTAGGTTATATGGTAATATGCATTAACAATTTAATTAATCAAATTAGCATTTGATAGCAAAAAAAGAAAAAATAGATCTTGAAATTCAAGTCAGGTGACCTATTAAACATGAATTTATTCACTTCTTTATATTTGATCTTGAAACAAAGAGTTCTACTCATATAGTTCACATCAAAAGTGACATGTGGTAATTGGACATACACATTTTCTACAATGCATGATGGCAAATATCTAGTGGTATAAGTTGTGTGCAAAATAATTTGGTATGTCTTTTTGAATTAAAACAATACAGAATTGTGATTTGTATGATTAAAATCTTTGATTCCGCAACAATCACATAATTAGGTATGGCTGATGGGGTTTATGATTGATGGATGAGATTTCGTGAAACTATTGGTTGATTGGTAAATAGAATTTCATGACAAAATATGTTAATTATATGAATACAGCTTGAGTTGTATAATTTATCAATAAACTTGCACAAAAGGTAGAAAATGTGCATAAATGTAATGCAAATATTTTGTCACAAATTCTGACAATTAGTAGGTTTCTTTCATTTCACTCAACAGATTACAGTAAAACAGAAACCTTTCTGCTGCTCTCACTCTTTTACATATGCAGAGGGATACAATTATACAAATGGAAGCTGAATTTGAACAGCCCAGGTTTCATGCTTCGTTAATGGTTCTTAACTCTTAAGAGATTACTTGAACCAAACTGTACATTATACAAGTCCAAGATACAGATTTCATGCACATCCATTCATGTTATACTTGTTCAGTTTTGTAGCTTTGCAGCAAAGGGGCATGAACATCCTCTCCAGACTGGGGTGCCTGCAGGCTGCTGCTATTGTGACACGGATCTTCTTCTAATTTGGTCTCACTATTATCGATCTCTTTTGCCTTTCCCCACATCAACATGTAGAACCCGGCGGATATGATCGTTGCTCCGATTAAGCTGTGAAATAGTTGATCAAAAGCAAATTTGTGACTTTGTAGCATTGATTGGAAATGGAAGAACACTCTCAGATGTAAACTTGATAAGAAACTATACCTTCCAAGAAGCAGTGGATCCCCCAGAAACACCACCCCCATGACAACAGCAATCACCATGGAAAATGGACTGAACATTGCCACAAATAGAGGCCCCTTAACCCTTAGCGCCCATGCATCGATAGCATTGCTCATGCATGATCCAAACACTCCCTAGTTTACAGTACACTGATTTCCATTAATACTAAATAATTCATTCATTCATTCATCCATAAAGACATGTAACTAGTATTTTCCTCTCACCGAGCATAACACCGAGGCAAATGCAATCCTCGAACTAAGCAACCAGGCGCTCGATGATGTTCCTTCAGCAATCAAAGCAACAACTGCTGCAAAGACGCATACTACCAAGTCGTATAGAAAGGTTACCGTGAGTTCTGCAGGGTATTCCTCCATTATCTGAGTCTGTTGCCAAACAAAATATGCCAAACCCATAAAGGATAATTGTTCAAGGTTATAACTTCATGGTGAATGAGGGAGGAGCAAAAGCATACCAGAACAACACACCAGAGTGGAATTAGTATGTATTGAATGGTCAGAAAAACGGAACCAAGAATCCAATTCGGGGTTGTCGATGACGAGACTTGAAAGGGTTGTTGATCAAGTTGAGAAAGAACTGATGATGGTGGTGTAGTGGTGGCAAAGGAAATTGGAGGACCTTTGTAGAAGGTTATAACAAATGCACCTGTGATTGCAGCTATGGTGCCCACAATTTTGGCCTGGCTTGATCTTCTCCTCATTGTAACCTTTTCCATTCTTTGTTTTTGGGGTTCAATTACAGGTACCATCATCAGCAAGAGGAGGGGAGAAGGGTTGAAGAAACCAAATTGGGGGAAAGCAAAATCACCTGAACATGACGGCAAATATGAATGTAAAAGCTGGAGTGAGGTTGCTTAAGGCTGAAGACAGTGTTGGTGAACTGAAATTGATCCCCGTGTACCCCATCATCTTAGATGCTCCCCTGTGTTCATTCATTTCTTTCACCTCTAAGTTTTTGCTCTTTTCCATTGGATTCTCCGAAATTTGGTTCTCAAATTGAAACCCCCTTAACCTCGTTCTCATTACAATTCCCAATCCCAAATTCCACAAGAACAGAGTAAAGTAAGATTACCCAATGATCCCAAGAAGACAAATTTTCCATATCATGCGAGGAGTCAAAGGAGGAAGAGCACTTGTGGATCTGCAAAAAAAAAAAAAAAAAAAAAAAAAAAAAGCAGGGGCCAAAAACCAGAGTAATCAAGCTATTTCCTTTACTAGTCACAAGAGAGAAGGAAGAAGAAAAGAAGGAACAACCTGCGAGAGATGTAAACAGCTGGGAGGAGTACGAGGGCGGCGGTAGCGTAGTCGTAGACGACGAAGACATGGTAGCTCATGCCCTGCAACGTCGCAGCTTTGAACAAGGTGTTTAGCCCAACACTGATGAGCTCGAGACCCACCATGACTGAAAACGGAAGCACTGATTCGAGGAAATAACTCATCGCCGTCATCTTTCTCTCCGATCTATCTCTCTGTTTACTCAGACAATCGGACTGATGACTGAACCAGCTGGAGAATGAAAGAAGAAAGAAAGGAAAAAAGATTCAGAGGGTGAGGGTGAGGGAGTTGTCGTACACTAGTGGGCGTGTGGCTTGCTGAGGGAGATGACTTGAGACATTTGGTAGGAAATTAATGGAATCCACCGTGGCTAATAGGTCAATAGCATATTCAGTCATTGTAATATGTTGTTTGGATAAATATATCACTGTTCTAAGAACTTTTAGCGAAGAAATACCTGTACTGTATCAATTATGCTATTTTTAGTTCTTGTGTCAGAAACTTCGTCAAAATAAATTATTGATTGGATAAACGTAAATCGATGTTGAAGTAACCACATCGTTGATAACTAACATCCCATAAATTAATTTATGGTCTTGTTTGAGTCTCAAATGACTGATGCATTGTAAACAATGAACGGAGTTGTGAGATTTGAGAGTCATATTAATGGTAAAAATGCAAATATACAACATACATGGCATGTTATGTTAGTATCCAAAACGTAATTAATAAACATCGTTGATCCTAACCAGAAACTAGCTGAATTTGAACTGATTTTGTAATTGAAGGGGATATAAACGGACAACTGGCAAAATACGAGAACCTGTTTGTGAAGATGAATATTTACAGGTTTCTATGAGTTTCTTCTCCCAGTTGAAAAATAATCCTTCTTCCTGCTAAGTGCTAACACGCTACAGGTTGGACATTGAAGCTGCATTTCCATCCCCGGTTCAGCCGCTGTTGCTTGTTCTGCACGGTTGTTCTAGCTCTCGATACTGCTGATGATGAGCAAAGGCCTTTTCCTTCTTTAAGAACACTGGACACACACAAGGTTTTCAAGCAATTTGGCTTCTTCACGTTATCGCAAATGCAACGCTGTCTGCTTAAACTTGTGCATTTCTTCTGTAGCTCTGCAACAGAGGTGCCTTCTCTGCGTAATGAGTTTCCTGCTGCTGGTTGCAGCAACTAGCACCACCGCAGGCCTCTGTGAAATCGTCCTCTTGAGCTTTTCCCCACATCACAGTGTAAAATCCAATCGATATTACTACTGCCCCAATCACACTGCATGGATGGACATTGAGCAGGTTGGACAGTATTATTAAAATGCGGTTCAAATCAAGACATTCTGTGGATGGAAGTGAGTTAACTATAGCTACCTTCCCAGATAAAGTGTGTCGCCCAGAAACATCACGCCCATAGCAACAGCGATGGCGATGGACAACGGCTTAAACATTGCTACAAACACAGGTCCCTTGATCCGCAGTGCCCATGTATGAACACTGTTGTTCAAGCACGATCAAATCCCTACAACACACACACCAGCAGCATTGGCAAAAGGTCAGAAAAGCCATGTTATTTATCTTCAGCCTTAACATCCGGCAAAGCCAAGTCTCTGACTCAGCCTCTCACCGAGCAAACCACGGATGCTAACGCTACATTAGGCTTCAATATCCAGGCAGTTGGAGAAGTCCCTTCTGTAACAAGAGCAGCAAATGCTGCTATGATGCACACAACTATGTTGTAGAAGAAGACTACCGTGACTTCAGCTGGGTACTCCTTCATAATTTGAGTCTGTGTTCGAGCAAACACCAACACCAGAAGGATTTATGTCAGCTCCTCATCATTCGCAACCACCAGAAGTGCCCGGGTCAGAGAGGAGCATATATACCTGAACAATGTACCATGAAGGAACTAGAAGGTACTCACAGGTGAGGAAAAACCCACCAAGGACCCAGTTTTGGGTTGGTGAGCTAGCAAGAGATTGATTGAGTTGAACAGTTGACGATGACAGAGAAGCCTTGATAATTGGAGCACCCTTGTAGAGAGTTACAACAAATGCACCTGCTATTGAGACTGCTGTGCCCAGTACTTTGGCCTGACTGGATCTTCTCCTCACAATGACTTTCTCCATTCTTGGATTTTAAACAGGTACAGAAAAAGGTTATGGAAATCTATGTCATTTATAACTGCACGTATCCAGGAAGAAGGACACTGAAGATTGCAGCTCTTTGGATCGTTGGCAATGCAGTAGAATGGCTAGAAATTGACGGGAGAGGTAAGAAATTGCAGGGTGGGGGAATTACCTGCAAATGACAGCAAGTAAAAAGGTTAAAGCTGGAGTGAGGTTGCCTATAGCTGAAGCAAGCGTAGGAGAGCTGTAATTGATGCCTGCGTATCCCATGATCTGGGATGAGCTTCTGCTCCCAAATCCACAACACCCAAGACCAAATCAATTAAAAACCAAAGAAACCCAGAAACAGGGGAATGAATTCATCAGTGCCCATTCATTTTCCTAATAAAAAAAGCTTACCCAATGACCCCAAGAAGGCCGATTTTCCAGAGTACAGAGAAACTTAGCCGAGGAAGTGCTCTTGATCTGCAAATTCAATCCTTGCTTTCACCTTAATTAATTTCTCAGAATCCCCAACTTAATCGGCAAAATGAGAGAGAAAGGAAAGTCAACCTGCGGGAGAAGAAAGGAGCCGGGAGGAGAGCAAGAGTAGCAATTGCGTAGGAATAGACAACAAAGACATGGTAGCTCATGCCCGCCATAGTTGCAGCTTTGAAGAGTGTGTTCAGCCCAACATTCATACACTCTATACTCACCATCGCTGAAAACGCCATCACTTCCCCGTACACAAATCCTCTTCCTCCCGCCATTTCTCTCTTCTGATTTCTGTTCACTCCTTCCCTTGAAGCTGAAATGGAGACAATTTTTGGTCGTAAGTCGTAACATCAGGTTGAAACTCGCGCAGAGCGATCTGGGTAGGTAGTCTCCCTCCACAGTCCACATTTCTACAATATCTCCACCATCCTCTGTGATCCAACAACTCCATCAGTGGCCTAAGGCCTCATTATCCCCTTGGTCTGGGCTAAGAGGCCCAATAATCTTGTCTTGTTCATCGCCTTTAGTACAAGACTAATTAATGCTAGGCCACTCAGTAGAACATCGTATTAAAATTTGGCCGATAGAACATCCATTTAGATGACGAGAATTATCTCATGGTCCCTTTGAGCTATTGCAAGAGATTCAGAATGAGTTATATATAATTTTCTTTACTGACTATGAAAACCGAAAGTCAGACAGTAATCTCAAATTTTGTATAAATATTCAACCAATATATATGAGGATCATCAATATTCAACTTCAAGTATAAGATTCTAATATTTCAAAAACTGAAACAATTTATGTCAATAATGCAAGTTATTAAAAGAGAGTGAAGGATGAATCTTAAATTAGTGTTGCTAATTACATTTATCTTATTGCATGTTTTAGCAAAGAACACAGAAGATTCTTTGCTCAAGTACTAAGGATTCACAAAGTATACTACATTAAAATCACACTGTCTATCATACTAGGAAAAGAATTCCTTAGTGGCCACTGGCCACCAATAAGACTATAAGCCTTAACTGCTTGCTTCCATGAGTTTGCCGGGAAATTATGAGGCCCTCTGATGTATATGCCTAATGTAAGATTAGAGATGTAACCAATACGTAAAAGTGGGTATAGTTTAAATTGTCCTCTCTAGGATGGAGTATCCTCGAGGATACACATACATCCGAGGTAGCTCGCTTGTGGCATGACTTCTTCATTAGTTACATGATCTCAAACAAGCTCATCGAGTTAGGTGCGATAAATAGCATAAACACAAATGTCAGGGGAAGGATTTCATCGAATTTGATAATCCTTGAGGATTCTCTATGACAAATTTCTAAGGCATTAGTATCTGTTGTGATCCATACGATGATGATATGATTGTAACCAGAAGTGATTGAGGTCTTTAAGCCAACATATGCGGGTGAAATAGAAGGAAATGCACTTTCTACATACTACAACCTACAGAAGTGATGGCGGGAGCTTACACCTGCTGATAGTGTGATGCCTGCCAAAACTAACTGCGGGAGATCCCAGTTTGGGAAGCTGGAGGTGATCTTGATTGTAATTGACAGAGACAAGGCAGAGACCGTGAGGTGGGGCCGCTAGAGCATACTTGGCGAGCTCCCTGCGATCACGGCTCGCCAAGATCATTGGTACTATATCAGGAGGGATAGCTTGCTTTCCTATTTGCAGCAGCAAAGCAACCTGCAAGCAAATAAAACCAAAAGGAGCAATTGGAACCGAGCATTTCATAAGCGTATGGTTATGCTAAGAGCAATAAGTGAAAGCTGAAACCAACCATGTTACGCACTTGTCTGTACAAGAAACCGGTGCCTTCAACATCGAGCTGGATCAATGGCCCCTGCAGCAGCACCATGTCAGCACAATTATACAATAGACATACACAAACAGGAACTGAAAACAACAAAAGATTCTAACAACTTGATCCAGCACCATTTCAGAAACATCAAAATGGAGAATGGTCTTGACAGGATTTGGCACTCGATCATTGTGAGATGCATTTGCAAAGGCCGAGAAATCATGACTCCCTACAAAATGTGTGGCAGCTTCCGCCATGACAGCTGTATCAAGTTTGTAATGGCTGTGGTGGGCATAGTGGCGCAGGAGTGGGTCCATCACCGCATCATTATAGATCTTGTAACAATAGAGCTTGCTGGTGACCGAGAATCGAGCATGGAATTCAGGCAGAGCCGGCGCAATCTCTCGTACTCGAATGTCTTCGGGTAGTAGGCCGTTGAGAGCTGCATGAACGCGGTCCAAGGAGTCGTAGTTGAAAGGAGTGAGGAACTGTGCGACCTGGCCCAAAGCATGAACTCCAGCATCAGTCCTGCTCGCTCCGACAACTTGAAGATGTTTCCTCTCCAGCTTGGTCGCTCGAGTCAGGGCTTTTTCGAGTAACCCCTGTATAGTAGGAGGGGATTCCTGAAACTGCCAGCCAGCATACCGGGTCCCATCATAAGAAACAACCAAACGCCACTTCTTCCAGTCTTTAAAGCCAGTTGAAACTGTAGCATCTGCATCCACAACCCTGCCACAATCGATCTTCAATGGGAGGCCATTGATCTGTGATAGGAGAGAAAAGAAGGGTTAGTTTGCATAATACGGAGGATACATCCAGGACATCTTTGAGTGAGTGAAAGTTACCAAGCTGTGGTCAGGTATAGCTGTAGCAGGTGTAGCAGCATGCAATCCTGGTTGCAAACTAGCCATGGTTTGAGCCATACTCTCTTATTAAGAGGTAAAATTTGAGGGTTGTGTTACTCGCCCCATTGCTTGAAACTTTTATTGTATCGTGCAGAGGCCTGCCATTTGCAATGCATAAGATGGTACTATTTCAACTGAACATTTATGCAAGTGCAGTGGAAGAAGTGAGAACCAAAAACCCACGTTCTAGGATCCTTCACATTCTACTATTCTAGTAGCTCTTACAAGTCAGAAGATGTGAGTACCAAAAACTCATTTCCTTTCTATTGTAAGAAGGACCCCCAGAGCTAAGGAATAAGGATGCAATTACAGTACAGAGCACTGCCACCACGAAGAAGATTTGTGAACTAAAAGGTCTTGCAAGAGCGCATTTATGACTCCTCAGGTCCTGTAAGAACTCTACAGAGCAAGATAGCAAGCCACCATGAATTTACCTGCGAGTCTTGAGTAGATTATGATGGAGGGAGCCGGGAGGAGGAGCAATGGAAACTTGGAGGGAATCGCCAAGGCCTCCTGCAGAAGAAGAACGAAGGAAATGAAATTGAATATCCTAATTCCCAACAGAGATAAAGGTAGTAAGGTACTTGCACAAAAATTGCTAACATCCGGCTCGTTGGGCCCTTACCAAATAACTCGAGCCCAAGCCCAACCCTGACAGAAGATTTCGCCCAATTAGGCTTATAAAAAGTAAAAGCCCATAACCCAGCCAAGCATGGCACAAACTTGCCAAAAATTCGCCTCGAAAGTCCGAACGAATCAAATTTTCAAAAATGGCGAAAAACAGAGCCGAACGAGAAACATCAAACATACCATACCAGACTGCACAGCAAAGTTCGACATTTACGGAATAAATCATTATTACTTATATACTACTCTACTTCTACGACGTACACACCAGCAACCATACAGCTTTTCAGCTCTTCCTTCGCTTTCTTTTCAAGAAAGGCATCGCCCTTAGACCTCCTGCTTCAGGAGCCAAGGTATCATCTACAATGCTATCAGGAATAGCTGAGCTGCCGGACTGCAGATGATCATCAGTTTCTGTAGTTCTCAATGTCTCAGTGCGTGGATCCTTATCGGCTGCGCTTTCATTCACAGCATTCAGTGATGAAAAAGCAGCAAACTTGACCTCATTCATCAAACCACCATGACGAGGCTTCTCGGTGGAATCTTCCTCGAGGGGTGGAGACAGGCTGACGACATCAGCTTGATTGTTGTGTGCATCACTTTCATCCACACAAAACCCACCTCCACTCTCTAAGTAATCTTTCGAAGCGTTGCTTTCAGAAGGATTAATGCTAATGCCACTCTCGGGGTTACCAGCTTCACCTTCATCCATGCAGAAACCACCTCCTGTTTCGAGATCCTCCCTAGGTGTTGTATCCATCTGCACTAATAAATCGTCTTCCAGATTCTGTGGTTCTCTAACAGCAGGACTCGAGTCAGCATTTCCTGGATGCGCTTTAGCTTCTCCTGCTGCCTCTTCTTTACCATCTGGGTCTACTGAATTGATCACGTCATCCATTTCCAGGTCGGATGTATAACTAACAGGATGTCTCAACCGTTTCGACTGTATACATGGAGAAAAAAAAAAAACAATACCGGGAGGGTGTATCTTATTAGACATAAGAGAGAAACAAATAGAAAATTCTGATTGTAGAACAACTTGAGTAAAGAGGATATGTTGCTGCGACAAAGATGACAAATATCAAGCCAAGTCATTACCCGTCGCACTTCATTTGGCCTCTTTGAGTTCTGAATCTGATCCTCGTGTTCTTCACTGCTGCTCTCAGTGTCCCCAGAACTCTGTCCAGATGGTTCCAAACCTCGAGATCTCCTCCCCCTTCCCCTCCCACTTCCTATTCCTTTCCCTTTCCTTCCACCACTACCCCTACCTCTCCCACCCTTGTTTGAGCCTTCTGCAGTCTGCTGCCTGTTTCCTGACAATAACTCTTGCCCTGATTCCTCCTTTTCAGATGAGATATCCTTCGCAGTGGTACTTGCTTTCTTAGATCTCTTAGTCGTTGATTTTCCGGAAAGATTGTGGTCGCTACTAAGAATAGATCCTTCTGCTGACTTAAGTTCAGACTCAGCAGGAGTCGCTCTTCTTTTCTTAGTCAATTCAGGGGCTTCTTCTGGGACATCATCCAATACGGTTGAACTTGATTTTCCAGTAATTCCTTTTACAGCTTTCTTGATTCTCTTGCTTCGTATCTTAGCAAATCTCTCGTTGAAAGTGTAAAATGCTTCCAACCGCAGTTGAGTCTATATAACCATTCCAGAACAGAGAGTCACCAAATAAGATAACTGACTGGTATACTATTACATAAAGAAAGATATAGTAGACATATAAAGAGATAAAGATTGCCCAAGAAAAGCTACAACCTCGCGTTTGTTGTACTCTTTCAGGACAGGCAGAAGCAACTCCTGCGACTTTTGGACATTCCAGCCAAATCTTTCCCAGCATAATCTGAAGGCAAAACTCTCAATCATGAATAAGAAAGGTTTTAATACATTTTTCATGTCAAGAAAGTGGAATTATTTTAAGGAACTTCATACCACAAATGAACAAGTGAATAGAATCATAGAATAGATGCAAAGATACAGCAGCAAGGAACTTCATCGTTACTATGATTAAATGCAAATTCACATGCACACTTAAAGAGAACTTACAATTCTAAGAGCTTTTAAGTATTTTTTTCCTATTCTCCCTTCTTCCTTCTCTGTTGTATTTTCTTCTTCTGGTTGGTCTTTCTTGGGTGTTCACCTCTAGTGAATTCCTTTTGTAAACTCTTTTTTCTAATTAATTTATATGCATTATCACCATTATTAAAAAAAAATCCCTAAGAGCTTACCGTTGAAGAAGGTGAAGATCTGGCTTTCCCCATGTGAAAGGTTCTGTTGATTTATCAACTTGGGGCGACCAATATGCAGAAATGACTGCTTCGCTTGGAAAAGAGGAAGGGATATACCAGTTCTTGCTAACATTTCTCTACAAAAATTAAATTAGTTTACCACGTATGAAGAGGAGGCATTGGCTGTTTGGCAGTTATATGACAAAAATTTGGATTACTTACATGCTTGTCCATAAAAATCTGCTTTATCTCGTCAATACCATCCATTGACGCAGTGTCCTTGTCAGATGGATCCAATTTACTGTCAGCAACTTTGGATCCTTGTTTCTTACCACTTGAGCGAGGCTTTCCACCCAGCTTCCCAAGGATGGTTGGATCTGGCGATTCTATCCACTCTCTAAATTTCTGCAGGCCATCATCCTCAGGGAAAGCATCAACAACCTCAATAGCATTAACAATACCGATCCCACTGCATAAAAAATATGGCCCAATAAGATGCAAAACCCATCAGCATGCAAATTAGTAAATGTAGTCAGCCCATATAATAAGTCTGAAGCAGTAATATAGGTAGCCCAAGCACATGGCCTGGACGAATACAAGTATACTAGAAGATGGCAGCACAATAATAGAATACTGATAGAGCAAATAACAGAAGTTGTATATTACCTAACTCCTTCAGTATAGTCGCTCCCGAGAAGCAATGCAATACGAATTAGTTTATCTCTAGTCAGGCCAAGTTCCTTCTCAATATCCTGACAAAACCACCATGAAAGTAAAAGTAGACCTGAGAGGAGAATTACACTAAAAAATGGTGACGAGAAGAGATAAGAAACCATATGCATGCCAGAAGTCTGGAAACTTGTATCCCTAAATAGCATTCAGGGAAGAATGAGAGTAAAGAATGCGGTAGATTTTCTTACCTTCAAGAAGTAAGTCTCCACATATTTGCGGTCGTCAAATATATTCTTGTACACACTACACGCTCCAAATAGAAAAACGTCAGAGTCATCAGTTACAACACCATCAACAATGCCTGCGAGTTCCATGTATGCACATTGAGCTTCTGCCTCCATTGGTGCTATTATATATGGTATGCCAAACATTTGAAGAAGCTCCTGCATTACAATAGATGCACAAAACAGAATTATGCTCTCTATGCAGCAAAGGTGAACTAGGATTTCATAACAACTAGCATTGTACAATCACTTCCAATTAGCATTATACAAGCCAACTATGGTGCTTAGTATTTATAACAAGCTGGGAACCATAGGACTGGCTCAGTAAGGGAACTCAAACCAGCCACATAAGCCTGAAAAGCAACCAATAAGCTGACTGGCATGTACCTGGCACTCCGCGAACATTTCACTGGTGACTGATTCAGCATTGCGTTCATGCTTTCTCTGTTCATCTTCCAGATTCATAAATTCTTGACCCAGTATATGTATCTCCTCCTCTACGGTAGCCTGTGAAAAAACTTTCTCATCATTTGTATCAGCAGCAGCATGATTCTCGCTGTTCTTTGATGCGAATTGTGTGTCGAGGATCTTCTCACCAACCATTTGTTCCTCAATGTCATCGGGAGCTGTTGAATCTCCTCTAAGAGACTCTATGTATGATCCAGAAGAATTTGCTATAGTTTCCTCAACTGAATGAAGTGATGCTTCAGTTTCAGGAGCAACTTTATCCTCCCTGACAAACATGGAAGCTTCTGTTTGAACATTGTCCATACCAACACTCATCATGCTATCACCAATGACTGGTTTAGAAATATGAGAATCCTCAGCCGGATAGAAACTAGTTGTTGTGGTAGATAACCCACCAGCCTCAGTAGTAGCATCTACAGATTGCTCTGGATTTGGCCATTGTACTTCTCCATTTGCCTTGAGCTCTTTGCTTGTATCCCATCGACATTCTTCAAACTTAGAACCTGTGTGCTCTAGACATGTCTTACTGATATCATCAAGACCATGCATTCCAGACAATGTGCTTCGAGAGACCTTGTTGGGCTCATTAGCTGTACTTGGACCACATGGTTCATTTGCTTCCATAGTGCCAATGTTTATATTACTTTCCTGAATATCCTTCCTAACCATATTCAACACTTGCCTGCTGTCGCTTCGATTAATAACTACAAGTTCGTCACCATTTTCTGCAAATCCTTTATCACTTCCTGGATCCTTGAGACTTCTCCTTATGGCTTCCTGCAAATCAGCATCTTCTTGCAACTCACCTCTTGAAACAGGTTTCCCAGATTGAACCTGGCACGAAAGCTTATTTTTTACCTCAGATGGTTCTTCTTCCCATTCCACTTCACTGCCATCGCTATTGTTGCTTGCCTTTAGGAATGACTTATTTACTAACTCTGGGTCGGTGGAAGAACCATCCCATTTTGTCGTAATGCTCCCTTCCTCCCAATCACTATCAGAAGCTGAATCAAGAGCCTGTTTCCGGGTTGTATCATTGTCAACAGAAGAGATGTCAATTGGTTGTCCAGCAACTAAACAAGAGAACATGTCATCATCACTTTCATAAGACTTGCTCGCACCATCAATCTCAAATGAAATCTGCATACAACTATTGTTATCTATCAAATGGTGTCCATTTCTCTCGTTCAACTGTGTGGATCCAACACTGTTATCATCTGAACCTCTGACTTCTGTTCTTGCACTAGGAATTCCTTCTCCAGAATTAGCTTGTCCCCCCATGGTCTTAGAGGGAACGCTTGCAACATCAATTTCAACCTGTTCCATCTCCTTCATTATATCTAAATTCCGCTGTAAATCTCGGGTCATCCGCATCCCCATGGCACGTCCTCTACTTAATCGAATACGACCCCTTTCATCTGTATAAGTTTCAACATCATCATCAAAAACATTTCCAGATTCTTCAAGGCCAATTCCTGCCATTGTAGCTGCGTTACTGCCAGAAGCACCATCTTTAACAGAATGTGATGGAAGCCCACTTGGTGGTGGTTGTTGCTTATCCCCACTGCTCAGCACTCCACCAGAAGTAAATAACCTCACATAATCAGAGTAAACAATCAACATAAAGTTCCCCACTAAGTTAAATAACAAATAATAGTTGTAGGCATAAAGAACACATTAATGGACCATCTAGTACATGGCCAAGTTTTTAATAAAAAAATAGTACATGGCCAAGAGACTGCATCAGAAGCATCAAGTTGCATGCGAAAACAACAAACAATTGTCCACCTCTTATAGTATTTCGAGTACTCTAATTTGGTTAGATCATCGGCAACTTTGTGTTTTTCATTTTATTAGGTTATGTTTTCTTTTTCTAATGAAAACTGTAGAGTTTAATGCCTCCACTTTGATTTGCATAATTTATTTAAGCATCCTTTCCTAGAGATTTTCAAGATATAAAGAAATCTGTAGAATGTTCTTCAATTGCTGAAGTGAGTCCATCTCTCTTTGCCCTCACTTATCTTCCAGATACAAACCTAGTTATATATATATAACAACTGGCCACACCACCATTTGGAAACAATAACTAAGGTTCATACAAAGTTGTACTTTGCACGTCAATGAACTCCTGACAGGATTCTTATAAAAGGAAAAGAAATTATGATAGCATGAAAAAAATGACTAAATGAGACTCACTGCTTATCCCCAGTAAATGATGATGAAAAGATAAATTCTCTGTTGGCTTCAGAGGCTATCCTTGAAGTCTGAACACCACCTACATTTCCCCCTGCAGCAGCTTTCTGCACTTGATCTATTTCTCGACGGAATGCAACAGTTTTGAGATAAGCTTGTATTTGGAGCTCGGAGAACTTTTCAGGAGCCTGCCAGGGAAAAAACCAAATATTATGTACTGGCGAGACTAAAGTTGGAAAGTCTGGATTTAAGGAGTAGGAAGCAAAAACAGCACTGAAATGAGAACTTTTTTACTAGATATCACAGAAACATGCAGTCCCTGTCCTCACACATAGTGATCATTGCACTCAAGAACTAACCTTCTTGACTTTTTGATATCGTTGTCTGTTTTCAGCCATCAACCTCTCTCTCATCTACAGAAATAATATAGCAAATGAGCATTGTACAGAAAATTTGTGAAGCAGATGAGAAAGACCATTTAAATGAAGACTGGTCAATACTTCATCAGTGCATCCACAAAAAAAAAAAAGAGCTACCTGCACAAGAAGATCCAGTTGCATTGATGGTGGCAGAGCTGCTAAGACAGCAGGATCAAATTTCCCTGGGACTGTTGGCTGAAAGTAGGTTATGAAACAAAAGTAATGATCAAGCCTGAGCAATAATGGAGACGTAAACATAGAGGAGCGTTCCCATGGCTCGTATTTCTTAAAAACTCAAAATAACTCTTGGATAAGAATCCTAAGATCTACATCAAACCATGATTTAACTTGTTGAACCTTTAAAAAACATCAAACAAAAATAAAGTAAATCAATCCATGACAAGTCCAGACTGAAAACCGTTAAACATATATTTGCCAACTTACAAGAATCATCTCTTCATCATCATCTTCACCGCCCTCGAAGGGAGCAGAAGCAACAGATGTTGTATTATACTTATGAATCCCATCTTCTTCAGCTAAAAGAGATGCAGCCAACCTAAATTTTGCTTTAGACGTGTTAACTTCAAATTCAGGAACTTGGAATCATAGAGCAAACTAAATCTCCCTTAATAGCCTACATCTCATCTAGCTTTTCTTGGTTGAAACTTTCCATCCCTTTGTCAAGCCCTTCAAAATTGTTCTTCTCTACTTCGGCTGGGTCCGACAATACCTCCTTTCCCTTCTCATTTTTCTTGCTGTTTTCAATCTGGTTCAAATAGCAATGCCAGTGAAACATGAAGGAGCAGAAATAAATTTCTGAAATTGTTACACAGGAAAGATACCTAAGCAAAATAAACTATCAATCAGCACTTCAGCAGACAACTAAAAGCCTATTGAGTTTTTCTCTTACATAAGTAACAAAAGCAGACTTTTTATAGCACATACAAGCAAGAATCAGTTTAACAATAATGCTACATTAGCCAGAATGCATATGTACCTACATGGTGAACAGCTTGCAAGTTTTAATAAGTGTCTGCCCATTTCTTACCATTATAAAAGAGGTAGTGTTTCATTATTTTCTCAAACAACAATGTTACTTGGCATCAAAATAACTCTTCCATAAGTTTTTAGAACCAAATGGCAGTATCGATAATTGATTATTGTGAGACAGTTGATCTAATGAAGTTTACTACTTACAGTCTGATGTTGAAGTTAAAGACACAACCAAATAAATCTAAATAGATTCAAAAATGGATATATGTAAAAATTGCTTTGAGAATCCAAAAATCTAAAATCTAAAATCAATTTCAAATCTTCAAACAAAGAAAAATCAGGAATCATTATAATGAATGACACGGAATTCATTGATAAATCTTACAAAATCTTTCTTTTCTATAAGACAACCAGGAGCTTGACAAGTTTCTAGTCAAAGACCCAATTATGATTTATTTGCTGCACTGCATTGCATTAACAGTTTCAGCAATTTTGAATTACCTTGGTTTCATCATGAAATTGTCTGTCTTCCACCATTGACCCTTTCTTCATCTGCACAGAAAAGCCAGAATTTACTTAATCAAACAACGGTAATCCACCTAAAATTAATCTTAATAGCAGCACTTACCAGAACTTTACGTCGAATTGATGACGGCAAAGCAGCCAATACATCCGGATCCAGGTCACCATCTATCTCAGGCTGCAAAGAATTCAATAACGGCCATCAACATATCAACACGGATCGAGATCCCTCGAGTCATACTGAAGTTGCACAATGTCGAGCTAAATTGACTTTCAGCAAAGTAGAACTAATCTGAGTTTACATTATTTTTTATCTGACCAGTATAATCCCTGTTTCTCGCATTAGAATTTCAACCAAATAAAACCAGTGAAGATGGCTTCAACACAGTTGTAATAGAGCATGAAGGTTATAAGATATAGGAATGATGGAAAACAAAGTACCAGTATCAGGTCCTCATCTTCATCATCCTGCCTTTCTGGACCAGCAAATGTTGATGCATTTTCTACACCCACATTTTCCTCCGCTGCTATAGACGCAGCCAACCTAAATAGAAAGAATCATCAATGAACTGCTGAAAACAAATGGAGCCGGGCGTCCGGAAAGGAGCAACATGAAATTATCTCACATCTCATCCAATTTCTCTTGATTGACATGATCAAATGTTGCATCTCTATTCTCCAAACTGCTTGCTGCAGGCTCTGGTAAAACCTTCTTGCCCTTGGCGTTATTCTTCTGATTCTTCCTCTGGTTTTCAAGATCCTTTGCCAACTCTTTCAGCCTCGCTGTCTTCAGCTGCTCACAGCTCAAACACAAACAAATGAGCAACTCAAAAACACTCATGCATCATAAAACCACGCAGAGAACAGAACCACACTACATAAAAAGTCACAGTGATCAGTTCAAATTTTGGCAGAGAAGAATTAACTTGATTGAGGAGTAATTTCTCGGCGGTTTTCCGAATCTTAGCCTGCGCGTTCTCTCGCTGCCTCCGCCTTGCAATAACCGTGCGCCGCTTCAGAGCAGGCGTGCCTCCATCGAAGACGAACACAGGCTTGGTCCTGAGATACAACAGCTTGCAAATTCTACGAAAGAACCCTAGCAAATGTGCATTACGCACCATGTCCCCCTTCTCGTCCCTCATGGCCTTCATGAACTGGACCAGCCAAATGCTCGCGTCTGCCCTCACGAAAATGATCCAACAGCAATGCAATTAACCAACCAGGCCATCAAACGGTGGTCATTTACTCATTTGTGCAACCAGAGCATCAAGCTTATTAGGGTTTTCTACGGCGTACCAATTGCGAGCCTCTTCCCGGAAAGCGTCTCGACGGACACGCGACGGCCGACCGGAGCGAGTAAGTCCCACAGTCCCTGGACTCCCATCCTGCCGCGATCACCACTCCGCCTTTCTCCCGATTCGTATCTTCTTCTCCGTCAATGGAACTGCGATCAGCGACCGAGCGACGAATTTCAGTTAGTTAGAGACGATTGATGACTTGCCGCCAAAGAATGAATCAGAAAAAGAGGGAAACTTGAAACGACGACGTCTCAGGTCTTCGTTTCAACGACACGGTGTCGTGTGCGTAATTTGGTTCTGGTGAGAATTGTAGAGTTGGCAACTGAAACCGCCGCACCCGCCACATTTTCATTCGCCATTAATCCACCTTGCAAGAAAAGCTTTGAGAAAAGCAAGCAGAAGAAACCGGCACGTGCCAGGGACCAAACCCATTACCCACACGAGCGTCGGTAGGAATCTTGATGAATCTCTCCTCCTCCATTGTCGTCTCTCTCTCTCCTTCTCCGATTCTTTCCTCTGCACTCCAAATCTGCCTTCTTTCCTCTTGCTTCGCTAGAAACGGATTGTACTACTCGGCGTCCATCACAAGATCAAAACTTTTTGCGGTCCCAGCGATTACGGTTCTCGCATTCGGTTAGCCTCAGAATCTTCTTCTTTCCGGGCCGTTGATTGATCTTTATAATTACGCTTCTCAATTGCTGGTTAGTTCATTGCTTTATAGAATTTGATTGGGTAGAGAAATTCAGCAGGAGTTGTTAGGATCGTAACCGGAACTGTGGAAATTTGGAAAGAACTGGAGGAGTCGAATTGGGATGGTTATTAGTTGTTGCAGGATCTGCATTGCATGTTGAAGTCGAGTGCATGTCTTTTTTGTGATCTGGATGGCTGGCGTTTCTCTTGTTCCTTGGTCTTGTTTGTGAGAAGTACTCCCATTTATAGTTGTTTTGTTGGTGGCTCAGGTCATTTTCTAACCAACTGCTTGTCTGAGTTCTTCCCTTCCCTGCCCTTGCTTGCATTTGGGATCAAGCTTGTTCCCATTTGTCAGTTTCTCTATGAAGTGCAAAATTGCTTATCCTTCTTAAGTAGCCTAAAGCACTGGTCTTTTTCTTGCTCCTTGTCCTGCCTGAGCTGGAAGGATTCTATTGCTGTTATGGTTATGTCTAGTAACCTGAGTAGGGCAGAATCTGTCAATTGCATTTGTGAGATCAAACTGGTTCACAATGTGCTGCTATGTAGACCTAGTTCAGTATTGGCTCGCTCTACTCATGATATAGATGGTTGTTTTCTCTTGATCAAATGCGATTGCATGGTTTAAGTTGGCGGAAGGCTGGTTTTATGGGTTCTGCAGGTCTAGTGATGGTTGACCATTTAAAGTTCATCTCCAATTATTTCCGATTTCACATGGAACTGATACGTATTAAAATTGAATGGCAAATTGCACACACTTAGATAATGTGGGATGGTAGGAAAAGGAGCTCGGGAAACCTTCAACCGTTGGAGTCCATACACACATGACCATGAATCTGTCAAGCCCTGATTGTTATTCTTCCTCGTGCTAGGTTCCCAAGTGAAGAAGATTCATTGAAGGGGGGAAAATGTCTTCTCCAAGCAAAAGAAGAGACATGGATGTCATGAAACTGTACGTGCTTAGTATTTGGAGTCTCATCATCATTTCTGCTCGTGCCTTTTAGTTGTTATCCACCTTCAAATGTCGAGATCGGTGATGAACGTTTTGATGCGAATATAGTTAACAGTCAATGTAAAATAGATATGTTGTAATTTCCAAGTTTTTTCATTGAATATCCCAGTTATTTTTTTGTGAACTTTATGGTCTTTGTTTTCTCTTTTCTTTTGGAATTCTGAGGTTTAAAGGATCTGTTATCTACTCAAGTGCTGCCTGACTGTTCTTGTTATTCCACCGTCCTAATGTTGGTTGTGCATTGTAGGATGATGAGTGACTACACAGTGGAAACAATCAATGATGGGATTAATGAATTCAACGTGGAGTTCCATGGCCCAAAAGAAAGTAATGTTTTCTTCAATATGCTAATGTTTATATGGACATTGCATCTTGGTGTTTCTTTTCAGAAACAAACCCACCACTTCCTCAGGCAAGCATGCTATAAGATCTAAACCAAAAAATTTGATGTTCATTTATGCACCTAAGATTGAGACCTCTAATGCCACAGTGACCCTGACATCTAATATTGTTTGTTCTTGGTTTCCTTTGCCCATGCCTGTCCTTATATTGATCATGCTTTAACCACTGTCATATTGCTTTTTTTCTAACTGCAGTCTGGCTTCATTTTTCAGGCCTTTATGAAGGTGGTGTTTGGAAAGTTCGAGTGGAGTTACCAGATGCATATCCATACAAATCTCCTTCTATCGGGTTCCTCAATAAAATATACCACCCCAATGTTGATGAGATGTAAGCCTTTCATCATAGTTCCTGCCAGATTTGATTTTAGTCTCCCAATGTTCATTAGATAGCTCATGTAGATAATTTTGTTAATTACTTGTTCAAAACCAATATCACAGTAGATGTGTAGGTACTCGCATTTGGCTGGTGGGTATTGAAATGACTTATTAGAATTCCGGGTTTGACCCTGTTATCCTTTTTCTTATTAAAATTTAACTACTATTGTAGCCTATTAAAGAATTCCGAGTACTGATTTTAACATGCCTTAATTTCATAAACAAATATGGGGAAAATTTCATCAGGAAAGATTATGAGAGATAGACGCAAGTGCTTTGCATAGGTCTGTAGAAGATTATGCAGGAATTTTTTTTTTTTTTTTTTTTTGTTAATTTGCTTTATACCAAGTTACTTAAAGCTTAATCTAAGGTTGTTCTCCTGTATTTTCACAGGTCAGGTTCTGTTTGCTTGGATGTCATCAACCAATCATGGAGTCCTATGTTTGGTAGTTGAACCTTTCCCTTCCACACTCACATAGAAGCACATAACTTGCCACATGGTTTATGAGATCTCACAGTACTAGTATCCAAAAAAATAAGTGACAAAATCCATCTTGAACTTCCCTCCTTTTCTTATTAGCGCCATATATGTACTAGCATAAAGCTGGAAAAGAGTGTTGAATCTAACCTGGCCATCCTGTAAGAATATTTTCTTTAACTTGAGCTTTGTCTTCTCTGATAAGATTTAGGAGCTTCGTTTGACTGGTTTTGATTGAACAATGTGCTGCAGCGACATTGACTCATGCAGGTTATCAATGTGTTTTTAGTTAATATCAGTTATCAGGACTGACGTTATTCTTCAATTATTCGAAATACACTTTGATTCTCAAATAGGAAAAAAAGAAAAGGAAAAGGGCTTTTATGTAATGTAACTCCTTGGCTGAGTTAAATTCTTATGTCTTCTTTCATTGTCAAAAAAGTTAACTAGAAGAACAAGCTAGGAACAATTAACTGTTGTTAACTTTGCCCTCTAGCTTCGAGATTGACCCTCCGTGGCTTCTTCTGGCTGCAGATCTTTTGAATGTGTTTGAGGTTTTTCTTCCACAGCTACTGCTCTACCCAAACCCTGGGGACCCACTAAATGCTGACGCAGCTGCACTTATGATGAATGATAAAAAGCAGTACGAAGAAAAGGTAAAAGGTAAGAACTGTTTGATAGTTTTTTTTCCCCTTGCCTTTTACTTGATGACAATCAACTGCTTTAAGAAAACAAAGATCCGATTATAACCAATTTACCGTACTTTCGATCTGTCTAGAGAATTCATGATGCTGCTTTGTTTACTGGGATGACAGAGTACTGTGAACGATATGCAAAGAAGTCGAACACCATTAAAGCTCCAAACGAGGAGAGTGACGATGAAGAGATAAGTGAGGATGAAGATAGTGACAGGCACAGCACATTCAGTGAAGACAATGTTGCTGGTGATGCTGATCCCTGAATCGATGTAGCAAATCTGTTGCATATTCTTCCCAGTGATCATATCACGTTAGTATCTTCTTTATACCCAAATACTCAATTATTCATTCGAAATTGCATGTAGATTGGTTCAAGGTTTGAAGGAGAAGAGTGTAACATCAGGGTTACCATTGTGTTTCAAGGGAATCTGATAATTTACCAGGCACAGTGATGTACTGGGAATTAAGAAGGACAACAAAAATCACAATAAATGAGGAAAACTTATGTTTCTGTACTGTGGTCTAGAATCCAAAATTATGGGGGAAACTTGTATGCTTTGGTGCATTGATTAATAGCGTGCCCTTGAGGCCTTTCCAGATAGGTTGTTATTTACTGCCCTGCAAAGTTAAGCTTGAACCGATCCGTTTGTGGCTAGAATCACTAAATGACATGAAACAAAATGCTAGGGAAGGAACAAACTTTCAGAATCATGATATCCACTTGGAGTTCTGGTACATCGCCATCACAATAACTGTCCTCCTGTTATCGTTGGGTAGGCAGGACATGGTGCAGGCTCCATATGTTACTCATTCAATGCAAGGTCATAGAGCATTGGGGGTAATACAACTGGAATGACATTTTTAGCTTGTGAACTTAGTTAGGGTAGGTATGGTCTTGTTTGGTTTAGAGTCCGAATCGATAATGAAGGGATGTTAGGGCCAGAAATAACCCCAATAAAGGCATTTGGTTTCATTCTTATCCCGTCAGTTCTCGATTCGATTATCTGACTCTGACGATAACTTCTTAAATTTGATGATCCAAGCTGAACGATATAAAATCATGCATCGTGCAAGTTCCATTCTGTCCAAATATTGGACAGGTTTAGCCTAGTTGCCACTCCTGATTGTAGAACCAGAGATGATGGGGTTGGGTGGTTTTTACCCTCAAATTCTTCCACCCATTGTTAAATGGGTTATGGATTGAAGGAGATGAATCACACTTATGAAAAGCGTTTTAGTCTCAAATTCATCCACCCATGGGTCGTAAAGGAGATGAATCACACTCACGAAATTGTATAGTACATATAGGTTAGATGGATGATGACAGCATAACGCATCAATCATTCTACATATTAGTAACTTAGCAAATGACTAACTGAATTCTTTAGGAATCACCTAATAAACTTCTCATATGAATCTCAAGTAGATAGAGATGATTAGATGGTTAACCCGTCCATTAACCATCTCAATCTGATTGTAATGTTGTAGATGATGCTGCCACAGGGAGCTGCCAGACACCCTGTGGATGCCTATTTGTTTTTTACCCTGTACCATTTCAGTTCCACACACAGACACACTGTTCTTTCCTAACACAGAAAGCAACCGTCTGAATGATTAACCCGACAATTGGCAGCCTCTGTAAATAATTGTATCAACAATGTTGAAAGCTTAGTTATTCGGAATGTTGCTCTGCCACCCACATTTCAATATCACACAAAGATTAAAGAAACATAAACAAAGAAACCAAAGTTGTAGCTCTCTTGGCACAATAAAACTCAGCTGTTAGCCTGTTACAATCAAACTATGACGCATGTAAAACGACTTGGCCAGTCGCTAACTTTCGGCCGGCTCCTTGTTTCTTCCCTGTCTTTACTCAAATGTCTTGGTCTCTTCCACCGGCTCTCAGCAGCCGGCATTGGAATTGACACTCTGCCTTACCCTTCCAATCATTCCCTTGAAACAGAGCATCCCCTTCAAATCTATATTGAGGAACTTTACCAATTCTGTAAATCACTGGAAAAAGATCTCTCAGATTGTGTCTCCAGAACCATGAGTCAAGTACCCATCTGGTGGGCACTTGTAATTTCCCTCCTCATCTCCGTCGTCCACCGCCCCGCCAATTCCGCGGGTGTGGATGATGGAGTCAAGAGCTCTCTCATCACCTTCCTCGCCCACCTCAATGGAACCACAGCCAGTTGGGTTCCTACAACCGATCCTTGCCTGAATTCCTGGCCGGGGATCTCCTGCGACGCTGCGAACAGCTCTGTCACAAGAATTCAACTTTCAGGATTCAACCTGTCAGGAGAATTCGATCCTGCTTCCGTTTGTGTGAACCCATTACTGGCTTCATCTCTCACCATCATCAACCTCCAACGGAACCAAATCTCCGGCGAGCTCTCGCCGGCGATCTCAAACTGCACCAATCTGACTCACTTGCTCATAGGGAAGAACAAATTCATCGGAAAGATTCCGGAATCCATCACCGGCCTGAAGAATCTCAAGAAACTCGACCTCTCCCACAATGATTTCTCGGGCGAGCTGCCGGACTTCACCGGCCTTCCTGAGCTCGTGATGTTCACCGCACAGGGGAATCACTTCACGGGTCCAGTCCCGAGATTCGACTTTCTCAAATTGCAGAAACTCGACCTCTCCCACAACAAATTCACCGGCGAGATTCCTGACCTCCATGGTAAATTCGAGCAGGGCAGCTTTTCTGACAACCCTGATCTCTGCGGGCCTCCGTCACCAAACCCTTGCTCATCATCATCTTCTTCTTCAACCGTCATGAACGTCCAAAACGAAACTTCGAATGACAAGGACAGCAAGAAGTCGAAAGCCCGAGCGAGGGATCAGATTCTGATGTACTCTGGCTACACCATCATCGGGCTAGGAGTCATCGGTTTCATCGTTTTCAAACTCTGCAGAAGAAAGAGCAACGCCGGAGGTAGTACTAAAAAGGGTGACTTGGAAGCCAGAGTGGCTTCAGTTGACGATAGCTTCATGAGCAAGGCGAGTTCTGTTAGCTACGCGAAAACAGGGGAGAGCTTCTCGGAGATTTCGGGGGTAACGGAAGAAAGTGCGATGACTTCTTCTTCGCTTGTACTGCTGACGAGTCCTTTGTCGGGACACGGCGGCGGCGGGGGTTTGAATTTTGAGGAGTTGCTGAAGGCTCCGGCAGAGCTTCTGGGAAGGGGGAAGCACGGGAGCTTGTATAAGGTGAACTTGAGCGGCGGGATGACGGTGGTGGTGAAGAGGATTAAGGATTGGCCGATTCAGACGGCGGAGTTTAAGACTAGGATGCAGAGGATACACCAGGCGAGCCATCCGAATGTGCTGCCTGCTCTGGCGTTTTACAGTTCCAAGCATGAGAAGCTGCTGGTTTATGGGTACCAGGAGAATGGCAGTCTCTTCAGATATCTCCATGGTAAGGCCTTCCTTCTTCTAATTAGTTCTATATCCCACCATTGTTAAGGCTGTGTTTCTCCCACCCCCTTATGGCCTTATTGGAGTTGTTGAGGGTGTACAACGGTCCGGTCCATAATCTAATCAAGTTAATATAATTTCGAATTGAAAATAAAAGAAAATTTATGATTGGAATTATATTAAAATCGGATTTGATCTATCTCAACTAGTATTTAGATTCAATCAATTATTTCTTCACCGTCATTAATAGAGTTTTAGTGCTCAAAAAAATATATAGTGAAACCGAATTGATATACGATCATTTTTGTTCGATTCTGTGTATCTCTTACATATTTGAAATTTTGATATTGAATAATAACACTCAATAGTAGATGGACAATAAGTAATTCGTTTAATGGTGAAGAAATAACTATTCCAAGCATATTTTAAAAGTAAAAAAGAAACAATTTTAATGAAATGACATTTATTTAGTTGTTTGTATGACTCGAGATGACATAAAATTGCGTACAAACGGTTAAAAATACTTTTTCCTAAAATCGTATCGTAGAATATTTTTAGTAAAATGAAATAGTTGATCCACACTAAATTGAATTAACAATACAAAATACTCTAATATTGATTTTTCATGTTCAACCTCAGTTTTAGTTATTTAATTACTTACGAGCTCAAACAAACACACCCACTATGGTTTCAGGAACAAAGATGGGACAGTCATTCGACTGGCCAAGCCGGCTGAGCGTGGCATCCACCGTGGCACGAGCCCTAGCCTCCATGCACAAGAAGCTCTACGACGACGGCATCAGCCACGGCAACCTCAAATCCTCCAACATCCTCCTCAACCAAAACCTCGAGGCCTGCGTCAGCGAGTACGGCCTGCTCCCGGTCCCCGCCGACACTGATCTCCACGACAACGACGTCGACGACTCGTCCTCAGAGGGCAACAGCTTCAGCTTCAGCGAGGTGAGGTCCAAGTCCAAGCCCAAGAAGAAGAACCCGGCCCACGCGGCAGACGCGTTCCGATCCGACGTGTACGGGTACGGCGTCGTCCTGCTGGAGATGCTGACGGGGAAGACGGTCCAGAACAACGGCGTCAGCCTGCCGACGTGGGTCCACTCGGTGGTTCGGGAGGAGTGGACCGTCGAGGTTTTCGACAAGCACCTGATATCGGAAGGCGCGAGCGAGGAGAGGATGGTCAACGTGCTGCAGGTGGCGATCAAGTGCGTCAACCCGTCGGCGTACGAGAGGCCGGCGATGAGCCAGGTCGCGGTCATGGTGGATGCGATCAGGGAAGACGACGAGAGATCGTCTTCGTCGCCGGGTTACTAAGATGGGTCGGGGTTAGGGAAGAACCGGTTTGGGTGTAGGGGTTAGCTGGTTTGGTTGTTTGTTATTAATATGAGTGAGTGCACCATTAGTTTGTTCATTTCTCGATTAGTTTATAGAGCAAGCAATGTCTCCGCCGACTAATTGTGTATTATTTGGATTAATAAAGGATCAAAGCATGTCATGTATTCATGATAAATGCAGAATTGAGGAGTGATATTATATATGGTATTGAGGCAATAAATGTCTAGTGAATTATGCTAATTAAATCATTGAATTGATCGGATTTGGAGAATTGATGTTGTATTATATCTCTAATGAGTAACTCTTGTGTTCTAGTTCTTTGATCTAAATATAAAATTAATTTAATAAAAAAGAATAAATAACGATTTTAATTAATCAAAATACATCCGATAAGTATGAAGACAATACCTATATCCAGGTTAACCATAACCTAATAGGTCAAGAATGAGAATATATGCATCCCTTAGCTAGAGATCAAGAGACACAAATGGGTTGGGAATTAAGTAAAATCGGAGGAACATAATTTTGTCTTTTAGGTTAACATTGATTGGGTTTAGGGTATTTAAAAACCTTATTTTTTACTTGTTAGTTTTATCTATGTGTTTAGCTAACAAACTGAATACCAATATGCTCGAACTCAAACTTCTTATTGCCTCTACTCTTCTTTTCTATCATTTTGCTAGGATTATTGTCTTCTTTCCTTTGTTTTTTTTTTTTGTCTACAAATTGTTTCGGGACACTCTTCATTAATTAAGCTTTTAACAATTGAATTTAGAGCATGGTCGAAAGTTATCATCTTCATATTCTCACTCATTTGTTGGAGAAAACAAAGATTAGTCTCCTTTCATTTTCTTTGAGCTTGGAGGGTTGTGATTCCCTTCTTCTTTGCTTCTTCTACATAAAATTTGCTCCTAAATAAAAGGATAAAATAGCATAACGAAGTCACTAACTATCATTGGAGAGTTTCATATATTAGTTGTCTTATGACGACACTTATAAAGTGATTTTCGATCAAGTTGAAGAGGGTTTCAATACCCTTTTTTTATGTTTGGCGTACAAACTCGCTCTCAAGTAAAATGACACGTCTGGACAACCCAAAACGAAAGCACTACATTTGTAGAATTAGAAACAAGTTCCTAACTTCAATTTCCTATGAAAAAAATAAGAAACCCAAAACATGCATTTTTTAAATAGTGTTTTCCCTAAACTACCTTTCCCTCTCTAATTCCATGAAAGCAAACAAAAAAATCAAAAATTAAAATCACATTGAAATGAAATGCAATTTGATGAAACTCGTGGGATTGTATAAAATGAAATATCTTTTTTAACCATAAAGACTGAAACAACCATGTTGAAAGAATAACCCGGACTAAGTCTTAGGTGCTTACTACCACTTTAGCCCAAATCTTTTCCTCTCAAAGCCCCTCCCAAACCCAGCCTAAACCGCCTTCACGCTCCCAAGCCTACATGATCTCGGCCGAAACCCGTCAGCTGAAATTGAACGGATTCGCGTCGTTGTCGAAATCCATGGAGGACTTAGCCGACGGCGGGAGCGAGAACCTGTCCGAGAATCCGCGGCCGAGGAGATCCTCGTCGTAATCAACGCCATTGGCCAGGGGTCCTTCGTCGAAATTAAGGGCGTAGCTTGTAGCGTCATAGTTGAATTTCCCGTACCCTTGCCGCTTCCGTCCATTAAACCGCCGCACCAAATTCTTCCACCTCGGCCCCTCCGATAACCCACGAACCTTCTTCCAGCTCTTTGACCACCACGGCGCTGCCGGTGAAGACGAATCCAAAGGCTTGATTCGTCTCCAGAATGCTCCGGACGATCCCCCGCCACCACCTCCGCCGCCGCCGCCAAGAGTTGGCTCTTTTTTCAGAAAATTAGGGAAACAGAAACAGCATCGCCGCCTGGCGAAAGCAGCATCGTGAATGTCGTCGTCCGAGCCGGCGGAAAATGCATCATAGGAAGAGCTTCGAGGAACGGGCATGGAGGATTGGGGGAGAAGACGGAGACAGAGAGATAGAGAGAGAAAGGCTCTGTTTTCCTTCTCTCTCTGTCTCTCTCTCTGAGAGAAGGGAATTCATGTTATAAGAATTTGGAGGAGGGGAAGGAATGTAGGGGTACCGGAAATCACGCGGGGAAAATCGAATCGCTGTTACTTATGGGTTCTTTCTTCGCTGTCTATTAATGGCGGTTGCCGGTGATTCCACCAGGCCGACGCATCTCAAAACGTTGGTGATTTGAAGCTTCTCCTCCTTCTAGAATGGTTGTTTGGTCGAAATTCAAAGGTTGATTCGGAAAACTGGCGTTAGGTTATATATAACCAACTGATTCTTCCCATCAACATTAACGAAAACTCTCGTAATTTTAGTCATTTCGTCATTCTAAAAGTTCCCGATTTTGGTTTCAACAGAAGGAACGATAACGACGAATGAGTAAAAAAAGAGGTAACCCCTTAACCTTTTAGTGAACCACACTATAGCCCCTCAACTTCCAACTCTTAACAAGTCATGGGGTGGGCTTTAATTGGGCCATGATTACGGGTGGGCTTCCCCAGTCCAAATAAGATAAAAAAACGTAAAAATTCTAGCAACGTAAAAATTCGCTAGAAGGAGGGCTTGAACCTCCGACCTTGTGGTTAACAGCCACACGCTCTAACCATCTGAGCTATTCCAGCCAGTTGTGTAAATCATCCTAACGCGTAGATATAATCATATAGTCTGTAACATGTTACATTTCAAAGAATCAGTTTCCTGCCCATGCGAAACTGTAAATTCAACTATTTTCTAGCATTCTTTATGAATAGATACAAACAACTTATGCACCTGTAGGCTAAGAACGAACATATTTATAGCAATATATGAAAAAGGAAAATCAGCCTAAGAAATAAGAATACATCTGTTTTGGAGAGGGAAAAACGGTCTTTAGCTGATTGACTGTCTCTATTATCTCACTGCTGCTGTCTCATGACTGGTAATTAGCATGAGAGTAACCAACATAGTTGTACCTTGGTCGAATGTTATGGTGATTGTACCTAGGATCTGCATAGTCGACAGCTTTTATCACCACTGCTTCACGACGACCGTCCTGTTCCTGAACCGCTCCAAAAACTATCTCATTCGTCTCGCAGCCTTTCTCGTAGTACGTTTTCGGGTTCGATTTGTGCTGCCTGTGATGCTGCTGCTGTTGTTGCTGCTGCTTCATTTGTTGCTGCTGTTGCTGTTGGTGTTGATGCTTCAATTGCTGCTGCTGTTGTTGATGCCGGTCATAATCTGTGTCATCCCATTCGCTGTTGTAATGCTGGTTCTTCTGAAGCAGCTCCTTGGTCGTGAATGGATATTGTCTCTTGGGTGCAAGGTAAGTGGATTCGAGAGGTGGTGGTGGGGAATCTTCGCCTGGAATCGCGTAGCTTTCCTGCATTGGCCATGAGTTCAACTGCTTGAGTTGTTGTTGTTGTAGTTGTTGATACTGCGGATGGAACTGATAATGATGAACCACGGGTTTCCTTCTGAAGCCTGGAATTAGTCCCCCAACGAGTCTTCCGAGTGAACTGAACGTGCCTTCGTCTTCTGGTTTATTGTTATCATGATGTTCGTCTTCGCTTGGGATTAGAGGAGGTCTCACAGATTGAGATGGCCTCCGATATGGTGGAGGTGGCATTGGTGTAGCTTTCTTCACGTAATAAGCTCTTGGGTCCTAGCATTAAAGAGCACTTGAAACTCTGGTCATGTTTACAGGAACACAAGCAAAAGGATATTTGCACAATGTACTGTTGCATAACTTATAACACAATACTAAAGCAGTAAATTTGGAGACGTGTTGTTGCTTACATGACGAGGAGAGAAGAAAGCTTGGACCTTTCGCTGCAGAAGTGCCAACATATATCCAAAGAACCCAGCAATGACGAGCATTGCTACACCTGTAAACACAAGAGTGTAACAAACAAAACACTGAGTGGTTGAAAAGAAGGAGAAACATAATGAGTCATGGAAAGTACTATCATTACCCAAGTGGAAAGTACTATCATTCTGATTACCCAAGTGGAAAGTACTATCATCTTGATAGTTGCTGCAATCCTCGTCATGGAGTTGGATCTCTCTAATTGCCTGGTTACCTCTATCCACAACCAAGAGAGAGCAGCTACTTCCGACATAAAGCACATCAAAATCGTTAGATAATTTGGCTTCTTCACTTGGCCCATCAATGTGGCCACCTGCTCGAGTCTTTTTGCCTCCTGCAATAGTTGTAACACCTGCACAGATAAAACCAGGCATGGTTATCTTTTTCTCCAATCTGTTGAAAACCAAAGGCTCAGACAGCAAGAGGGGTTCTTTTAGACATTTTAGTACCTCCCTCACTAATCTTCCTGATAGCCATGTTCATGGTGTCTGCAATATATATGTTTCCTTTGTCATCTGCAGCTAGACCTTTCGGATGGTTCATTTTTGCTTCCCTTAACTTCCCATCGACATGCCCTGTGTATCCTTCAGGAGATCCAGCAACCAGCTTTGGCCTGCTATCTGCATTGCCTCAAATTCACCCCCATATAAGAAAATGACAGATTCTACGAGGAAAGGACTTGGCAAACATAATCACCGAAGCAAAAACTTCAACTCTCATTTTTTCAGAGAGGAAACATCTTATTTCAATAAGTTGGCTAAAGAAAGCATTTTAGACTTTAGCTTTGAAGTCCAAACCATATTTCAGGTTTCTTACTGAAAACCAGTGAAGTCAGCCTTCTGGTTTCTAAAAGAAACATTAACTGCTAATCTTGTAAGACACAAAAGCCTCCAAGACCAAGGATCAAGCCTTGATTTCGAGACAAATTGGAAGTGCTAAAAATCTTAAGGAAAAAGCAAAGGATGGAATTAGGTGATGTAAACAGAACTGAAAATGTTGTCCCATGTACTTTTAAGAGTTTGAGGCTTGTAATTGACAAAAGGCATTAAGTATATGTTTGCTCACATTTCAAGCATGTGTTCTAGTTATTCTTTCCTTCACTTCTCTTTTATCTTTCCTTTTGACTCAAAATAGAATCTTCCCCACAAATTGAAAAGATAAAGGGAGAAGGAATCCAAATCCATATCTCATTTCCCAACCGAGAAGCTAAGCACCCAAAAACAATCCATTCTTTCGAACATGGATTCACACACACACACAATCTGAGCAACTAATTCTAAGAAAAGGGTTAACAAACTTACATTCAGAGAGTGGAGTTTGCATCTTGTAAAGGTTACTGTTCTCTGAATCCAGGACCATGAGTTCACCACTTGGAGAAACCTGGACTGAGAAAGGTTCAATCCCAAGCTTACTTCCATCAAACACAGTCTCCACAATGTACCCATCTTCAAATTTCACCATGGAACGCCCAGAAACAGCTGGAGGAGCTTCCCCACCCATCAAACCCTTCAGCCTTGAAACTGTCCCTATAATTACCCATTCACCCATCAAACAACAGCATAAGAAAGCAAATAGGCATCTTCTCTTTGTGAATCCAATGAAGAGAAGCAACTAGAGTTACCTGTTTTGGGGCTGGATTTGAGGGACCAGAGCCATTTCACAAGTGCTGAAACCACATTGGTGACGATCCCAGTCACAATTTCTGCACCATGTGAAATACCCAAAGATTTGAATCAGTAAACACTGAAGTATGAACTAAGCTTAGGTCGGGCGAGCTCCAAAAAACTGCTTACTTGCAGGAGTGGCTGCTGAAACCGAAGAGAACCCATTGAGAAGAAGCAAGAAAATAAGAGTAAATGCGATCAGTTGCCTGCACATTTTGCTGACTACCTTCCTGCTCCCTCAACTGAAGTAATTATGGAGAAGGAGGAGAAGGATGGTGGAAACCAGAAAATGCCAAAGATTTGAGCTTTTTGGCGTTTTATACTAAAGAGACACACAAACCAGCTGCTCTCATATCGAGACCCCACTGACTGAGTCCAGTTTATATATTGTTGCTTATTGCTACCTTTGTAAACCAGCCATTGGCTTGTCAAAAAAAAAAAAAAACAGCCATTGCTTTCCCTTTTACATAATCTCATCATAATTAGCGCCCAACAGTAGGGATGGAGTCTTTGTCTTCAGATCTGTCCCTCTAAACGAAGTTTAAATATTGATCAAACCATCTAATTCTTTTACAATTATTTTATTGAAGTGTGATTTCTTCCAAACCATTTCAACAACTTTGATAATTATTGCTGGTATAACACAATCAGATTATGCAAAGCATCTGCGTTTGCCAAGCAAGGAATGTTTTTGTACCTCTTTCTCTTTTTGTTTCCCTTTTCTTTTAGTAGTATCAAAGTATGAAACTTTGGTCATCATTTCCCAATCTGTTGGACCTTATGACTTTAAGCAACGTCTCACTCAAGCCACTTAATCCTAAATCATGTCAGATTACACAGACTCACAACATGTAATTATCTGACATGAACAAATATTCTGCCCATGTTATACACCATGAAAAGAATGCATTTTGATATTAAAAACAAAAATCTAACATATATTCTTTCCATATCAAGTTTTGGAGACCGCTCAATGTCACGGTCAACATCCAAGAATGTACTTAATGGTGAGATGCGTAATCCATAGTTATTAGATGCACACGGCGACAAGTATTAACAAAAATATCTTCAAAGTGCATCCAATGACAATAAAATCGAGTACCCTACAATCCGCCGGTGTAAAGACATCTGAGACCATAATTACGCTAACCTAATTCATCAGAATTTCAGATAATTTGATTACAAGAAACAGTCTGGTGGATAAATCACAGTCCACAGAGGCTAGAGAAATAAACAGAGGTTTTGAGGCATGTGCCATAGAGGCACAGACCCAACTGTATTACTGTAATGACAAGCAAATTTTATGTACTCTGTTTTGCAGACCCACACAGACACATCCAAACGATGCATGCTCCCACCAAGAACCCACCCAAGTTGTCTGGAATAGAATCTCATGGGAAGTTGTGCCCTCTAAATTCTCTACAGCCACTTGCTTCTTGGACTAAATATGAACTTGAGGTAAATAAGGAAGCAGACTTGCCAATTCCCTTCTCTGTTTTTCACTAGCTAAGGCCTAAGGCCACACACATTACAAACCAAGAATCGCACGGCCCATAGTAAAGATGGGTACCTAGAAGAAGCCCACGCTCGAAGCAAAGACCGTCTTATTGTTCCAACTTCCAACCTCCAGGCTCCAAGGCTACAACTTCTCACACTCAGATCTCATCGCAGCCTCCCCTCTGCGATGAAAGAAAAGCAGGACTTTCAATACCAAAAATGGTACCCAATACTTTTGAGCAAATGGGAAGAAACCAGTTTATCCTTTCGACCATCTGAACTCGCCCGGAAAACCCAAGTTCACATATCAAAGGAGATTGAAGCTCGCCAACAACGAAAGGTACTATTAGCATCACCTAAGGGTAACGATACCATAAAAACCGATCAACCAATCCTTCCATCCGATATCTTGGACAACAACAAGATCACAGCAAAAGATCAGATGGCTGTAAGGAAATACAGTAATCCAGAATAAGGAGTAGCTACTAGTTTCACATTGAAGCCAAAGGATGAACAGTTCACAAGAGGGCTCTTTATTTGCTCCACATCACAACACAAACCCCATCCAATTCCAGGTTGCATCAGTAATAAACAACTACCGACCAAGTAACTGGCCGAAACAGCAAAAAGAAAAAGGAAAGATGAACAAATATGCAAGCACGTTCATGCCAATCAAAGTTATAATATATTTTCCAGAAAAGGAATAGTAGCTCCAAAGCTCCGGAGGCTGAAGGCTTTCCCAGGTTATGGAAACAGGGTCATCAATAACGGTGGAAAAAGATCTTTCTATCCTCGCACACCACTTAATAAACAAACGACAAGGCAAAACAACGTTGAATTATTAGGTGCCACAGAAGCTGGTAACCAAGCTGCCCTCCAGAAGTGTTTCAGAGAGGGTCTTATTTGGTCCACCAATGCATGAAATCCTTGCGCCTGTTGATCTTCTTCTGCAGCTGAAGTATTCCATAGAGTAGGGCCTCAGCAGTTGGAGGGCAACCTGGGACGTAGATATCCACAGGGACAATCCTGTCACAACCACGTACAACAGAGTACGAGTAGTGATAGTATCCACCACCATTTGCGCAGCTTCCCATGGAGATGACCCATCTTGGCTCTGGCATTTGGTCATACACCCTGTACACACGTTTTCATCAACCCATATTAATTCATGGCCAAAAGAAAATGAGTATCCTTCTCATACGAGGAATGGTGTAGCAAGAGTAAACTAGTTCAACCATCAACAGGTTGAGGCCTATGAATTATATCAGTTAATGACAAACAGCAATGCAGCTTCTTAGGTCACTAATCGGAGCAGTTTAGGAGAGCTTCAACCGGGTTCTTGCATCAAACATCAATTAACTAAATCCGACTCAGCACAGAGCCAATTAATTCTATAAGACACCGTGTGATATCTCATAAGAATCTGTTCTTGCCTATATGTGTATCTAAACATTCTGTAAGCCAAGTGCCTCAAACAAGAATATTCTATTATCCATCCTAAGCCATAAAAAAACTCCTGAGAAAGCCATTCTCGGCATTCTGATACTAAATATTTGACCCTTTAGGCCTTTACATCAACCCGACTTCCTGCATCTTTAAGAAACAGGCGCCATTATGGCTTCTTCACCACCAATCAAATTCATGACAACTTAATAGCGACTGCCACACCAGATTTTCCTCCACACATTAACATAACCTAGCAATTGATGGTGGATGTGAATTGATGAACAGAAAGTCCAACCTAAGTTAGAGGACCTAGTAAGATATGTCATTGTAATTATCCCTTAGGACTGTGAAACTCAACTCTAGCTCGAGCATATATCCAAATTCGGCCAAGTAAGGTTATTGCAAACCTAATGTTCAGAAATTGAATCAGTTGAGTGCTTTATATTGAAAATGGCAAGAACATTACTTTCTCCAATAATCTAGGAATTTAGTGTTCCTCCTGTTTTTCCAGGATAAACCATCAAACCATGGTTACTAAGCTAACCCCAACCTCGTCAGTGCAAACCACCCAATGATCCCCCTCTATTCAAATTCCATTGTTCCCACTTCCCAGCAGCATAAATTCTCTAGGATGCACAAAAGAGATCGCAAAAGAGGAAAAGGAAAAGCCTTTGTACATTAACCCTAAAAAGAAACTGACCCCAATCAGCTGAAACGAACGGAAACCTAAATCAGAGATATCGACTTACTTGCGAAGGGCAGGGGCCATCTTGTTCGTAAGGGTACCAGCGACAATCATACAATCGGACTGGCGAGGGCTAGGCCTGAAAATAACCCCAAATCGATCCAGATCGTAGCGAGCGGCACCGGTGTGCATCATCTCCACAGCGCAGCAAGCGAGCCCGAAAGTCATGGGCCAGATGGAGCCTCGACGGACGTAATTGATGACATCGTCGACCTTGGAGATCACAAACTCGGCCGTCTTGGAGAGCCCGACGGGGGAAGAGGTGGCCGGGGACGGCGGTGGGGCATAGGAAGTCGGTTTGGTCGCGTTATCGGGGGAAAGCGAGGGGATGGTTGTGTGGAGAGAAGCGGCGGCGGCAGCGCGGTGGTTGGCGAGGAGGAGCGGGAGGCGAGAAGCGGTGTTCCTGGTGATCAGCGCCATTATTTCTGGAGGCAGGGAAGTGAGTCGGCGATCGCAGCGTCTCCCTCTATAAATGATGGTTGGGTCAGGGGAGGAAAGGAGGCTCGCTGATTGCCACCGGAGAGCTGTATGTGTCCACAGCATGAACCGCACGAGAGAAGGACGATTTGTCTTTTCGCTGATTTTAGGATAACTACGGATTTCACCTAAAGTTTGGTAAGGCCTACAATTTGGTCACACATATATTCTGGTCAGTTGAAATGAACGATTATTCGATTAAGGCACAACTAAAAAAATTTCGAACATGCATAAAAAGTATGTTTTCTGTGTTGGTTTCGGAGCTCCTAAAATCAAATCTATGTGCAATTAGGCTATCTTCATATATATATATATATATATATGGATAAGCAACACCGAGCAATGCATACACATTCTCCCATCTTCATCAAACAATCAATCAATCGCTCTCGCTTTCTGATCGCTTGCACGCCACAAAAAATATATGAAGAAGTTAACCAAGAGCCCCGATTGTCGTAACAATGTCGACAAGTGCAGCGAGAAAAAGTTTATCACCCTGAAGAGCAGCGACGACGAGTCGTTCCAAGTGGAGGAGGAGGTGGCAGTGCAATCGCAAACAATCAAGCACATGATCAAGGATGATTGTGTCGACGACTACACCCCAATCCCCAATGACCAACATCACCGACGGGATTCTAGCCAAAGTGATCAAGTTCTGCAAGAAGCACAAGTGCACTCCTCAATATGTCGTCGACTTGAAGGAGTGAGACGCGGATTTCATTTAAGAATGAGTGGTGATTTGAGCATCGTGGCATGCATTCAAAATCAATTGGGGGGTTCGAAGAGCCCCTAGAAGTGATAGACAATTGAATGGTCGAGCATAGGATCAGGTTCTATATATTCATTGTTTTTTCAATCCTATCTAGTACTTTAATTCCTTAATTTTCAATTTTTAATTCCTTTGAAGTACTTAAACTTTAGGGGTAATACCACTGGAAATACCATTCTTTAACGAAAGTGCTATTTATATTACATGCTTTCAATAAACACAAAAATATTCCAACCTATTAGGGGTCTGCGTCATTTGTGTTACGCAATTTTCTGTTGACCGTTAGAATTGACGGTTGACCTGACGGTGGCCAACATTGTGTCCACGTAAGCGACAAGTGGATGCCACGTTGGAAAAAAAAAGAATAAAAAATTTGAAAATATTATTATTTATATATTTATTATTATATTACAAAATTACAATAATTTTAACCCCCCTCGGTGAATTCGCCCTCCGACGACCAAGCTCTCCGACGACCAAGCTTTCCCCGCCGTAGTTGCCACCTTCCTTCTCCATGGATGGTGACGACTGGCCGACTTCCTCTCCTCCGAAACCAATCCCAAGCCTCCACACAGGCCGCCGCCGCAGCAGCATTACTCTGCCATTCCTCCTCCCCAATCGCCACCGAATCCGATGAATCCACAGCCGAAGGGGCCGATTGTTGTCCAGGAGAAGGAGGCGGAACAGCTGGAGCGACGACGGCGGTGGCGTGGTGGATTTGCCAACGAAATCATAAAGCTGGCAGGGGCCAGAATCATACAATCTCAAGGGATTGAATTCGACCTACCTTCATTCCTCGAGAATCCATTTCGACTCACCGGCGGCGGCGATGATAGCGGCGGCCGTGATTCCACCGGACTTACCGAGGAAGAGTCGGGAAGGGGAAATTCGACCGCGCCGCCGTCGTCCTCCGCCTCTGCAACCGATTGGCCTCCCAGACCGGAAACCCGATCCAGTGGGTCGGGTACTACTTCTGTAGGCGGAGCTGTGCTTGCTTTTTTGGGGGGTTGGGGAAATTTGGAGAAGAAGATGAGATTAGAGGTGGGGGAAGGACTACAGGCTTTTTTGGGTGTTGGCGAAATTTGGAGAAGATGAGATTAGAGGAGGGGGAAGGACTAGGAGGTGAGAATTGTTTTTATTTTTAATTTTTTTTTTCATTTAATTAAATAAGCCACGTCAGCAAGCCACGTAGGATCCTATTAAGCGCTGATTGGGCGTTGAAAAGTCGCCCAGTTATGTTTAACGGTCCAACTAACGGAGAAAACATTTTAGTATACAAATGGCATATCGAAAACGATGTAATATTAATGGCACTTTCGCTAAAGGATGGTATTTCCGGTGGTATTAGCCCTAAACTTTATAATGTTTCATTTGAGTCCTTCCACTTGCAACATTATGTTATTAATTATTTTGATAAACTTGTGTCAGTTCCTTAATTTCAATGATTTTGGAAGACATAGAAAATCATATTTTGATAGTTATGTTTTATAAATACACTTTTGGATTTATGATTTGAATTTTTTTTTCAAAAAATTAAAAATCCCAAATGTAGGAATGTTATTAACGAATTTGGACTTCCAGCCATTGAAAGCAACTAAAATATCACACATGTATGATTGATTTCTCTTTATAGTTCAAACTTTATATTGAAAAAGTGCTAAAATTTGTAGGTTTACTGCTATTATAAATTTTTTGGCTCCACAGAAGTTCAATTCCTGGCTTCGCCCCTGTATATAACAAAGTACATGATTCAAACAAATAATCAATAATAAAAATAAGCTTGTTAATAATTCACAATTAGAGGGTGAAATGAACCGTATGTGTTAGCTACATACCACATCTTGTAGGAATTAGTTAAGATTCATATATGGACCTCTTTCAACAACCCGAGTTATTGGGACCATTTGGTTTATGATATTATATTAGAGTTTGATTTGGCCAAGTGGTCGTGCATTCAAATATTCACAATCCGCAATATTCATAGTATATTAAAGTACAAAGTATGACAAATTTGTGCAAACTTCAAGTCTGCGAGTTGACTTCGTTGGAGGAGGCATGTAAGAGAGTAATATTAGTATCCATAATTAACTTTTCGCCAACATCTCGACCAATGGAAAGGGATGTGTCTCTATTGTTTGCTTTAGGGTTAGATGGAAATCTATTGAAACCATCTTTGATGAGTTCCCGGTGGGACTCTATGTTATGGTCTCCGATGACGATCTCACTTGTCTTATGATCCTAGAAAAGATGCTCAAAAATTGCAAGCATGAAGTGAAATATATGCAGTAGAGTGGAAGAAGCCATCTCAGTTCTAGAGGGAAGAAAAATGATATGATATTGTCATTAGGGATGTTCATATGTTAGACATGGACGAAGTCAAATTGTTGAAGCACGTCGATGTTGAAATGGATTTGCATGTTATAATAATGTTTGTGGATGATCAAAAGAGTGATGATGAAGGGAGTAACTCATGGTGCTTGTGAATACTTGATTTACGTCTGCCTGTATTGAGGCTTTGAAGAGCATATTGCACCACGTGGTACGAAAGGCTAGGGATAAGTGAAAGGAAATGGAGAAACAGTCTGGGAGTGCGAATGACAGGGAGCAACCGAAGTAGTTCAATGATGATGATTACTCTTCTTTGGTCAACGAAGGTAATTGGAGAAAGTCAAAGAGAAGGAAAGATTACAATGAGAATGGAGGTGATAGGGATTACACTTCCTACACACCTCAAGTGGAAATACGAGAGCACCGCGAATAACACAATAACAATAGTGTATTGATTTTGAAACTGTATATCACTTAGAACGAAGACAATAACTTTATATGTTTTGTTTGAGAACAAGCTCAAATATGTAAATATAAATATCACAGATGTAATTTAATTTACTCCAATATCTTAATTGCGTGTACGATATAAAACACAAAAAGTCCCTTGATCTAACTTGTAGCTTTGTTGGGTGCAAATTATATGTGATACATACATCTTTCTCAAGCAAATCTCTACATTAATAAAAAAACTAGTACCCAAGTATAACAATATAACAATATTTCACACTCAACCACAACCTAACCTATGTGATAAAATATTCATGTGTGTGTTTAAATATAGTTAGTGGAATTGCCAAACTCTTCATTCAACAACATTTTTGTGCCATATTGTGCATGGCACAAGAGACTAAATGTGTGACGTTTTCTGTTCATATACTTTATGTGAGGGTTTGTTTTCACAAGTAAACCTCTTTTAACGCTAAACTAAGCTCTACTGAATTTGGGCTTCATAATAATTTTAGATCGTAGAGTGCTGTGACTGGTTTGGAATTGAGTTAAATCATAAAAAAATTAATGAATGGTAAGCATAATTATTGGTTTCATATAAGGGTGGGGAATGATAGGATGCCTAGAGCATTAGTAGAATCATCTTTTTGATTTGCTTCTGTAAATTCTTTCAAAAGTACAAACAAATAAAGAACCGATGATATCGAAACCAGAGTGAACTAAACTGAATCAAAATACACACTCGATCTGACCCTGATCCTGGTTGGTTTCATGCCTTCTGGGGAGACTTAAATGCAAAACAAAGAAGTACGAGGACTGAATGTATAATTTACTACCGAAAAATGGTTATTACAATTTACAAAAGGTCAAACGAACCGCAGACGAAAAATCCTAGGTGCTAGAACCGTTGAAATGTTGTGAAGGGATCAGAAGCCGAGGAAAAAGAATCTCAAAGTCTACCGAAGCCAAGCCTTGCAATCCATAATCCAGATGATGAGCCGGAGACAAGAGGACAAAAAAAAAGTGGGAAAGTCGTTCAAAATAATTTCTTTTCCTATGCATAGATAGCCTTGCGCTTCATGAAAGTAGTTAATGACTTTCAGAATTTATAAGTGATTTTTCATAGATCAAAATAATAATAATAATATAATAGCCAATTTGTAGGTAAAAAGTCTCTCTTTATCATATTTTTGGTAAGTTTTGAATTATAATTCTTAATTCAGTAGTAATACCATTAGTTTTAAACGTAAAGATTTCAGGTTCGAATATAAGTATTACCTCAATAATTGCTTGTTAATTTGAGGCTCGACTTATAATTTGCTTGTTAATTTGAGTTATATAATAAGGAAAATAAGGGAAACGAAATACTGTCGTAGAACCAGTTAGATTGAAAGGATTTAATTTTAATGAAATGAAGTATAAGGACCGATTGTGGACTGTACAACTAGCTAGGAGGACCAAATTGTTAATTTCTTTAATGAAAGAGGTAGCAACTCGCAAAATCCCATCTAATTCCAAGTCCTATTTCTCTCGGGTAATTATCATAAATGATAACAAAACTATTGACTTTGTACAAAATGGTCACAAACCTTTAATTTTGCACGTTTCAGTAACAAATGTTTGGACAAATAACAAAAACGTAATTCCGTCCATCTCCATCCAAAATACTGTTACTTCCGTCCAATCAGCACGCCATGTCATTTAAGATATTAATAAAAAAAATTAATGACCAAACCAAATTGAACTCTAACCCAACCGAAAACCCTAATTCTATACCCACCCACCCGAATTCAACGACCTCGGTGGCGCCTGGATTGTCGAGCTGTTGTTCGTGGACGAGGAGGTCGTCGTTGGGATTTTGGGGATACCACCGACTGAGACGCAATCGTCGGGACGGTGCCGGCTATAATGGCCTACTCCATTATCCGTCTTCTTCGGTCCTTCAAATTATCTCATTCCCCATCCCAGCTATAACCATTCTCATCGAATCCCCAACTATGCAAATCCTCATCTTGTGAGTAGAGAAGAAGATCGACCAGTGAGCATCGTGCAACTACATCCCGCCGCTCACCCCAACTCCATCCAGAAGTGCCTCCAATTCCTCTCGCCTCCAATTCTGAGCATCTGGTTGTAAGCGATTCAACACCCAACAACAATCAGTGGAGGCGAACGGTGGCCGGCCGGCGTTTGGTTCAATCTGCGATGGGAGCAGGGGAGGCGATCTGCGGCGGACATTTGGTACGCCGGCGATGCGACCAGGGGAGGCAATCGACGGCGGGGAGTTTCTTTGGGTCGGCGGCTGGGAGCTGAATCGTCTACAACCACAGAGGAAAGCGAGTGTTTCTGTCTACGAGATTTCGGTTTGGTTGGGTGGGTATGGAATTACGGTTTTTGGTTGGATTATCAGTTGAATTGGTATGGTCATTTTTTTATTAATATCTTAAGTGACGTGGCATGCTGACACGATAAAATTAACGGTTTGTTGGATGGAGATAGACGGAATTACCTTTTTGTTATTAGTTCAAATATATGTTACTGAAACGTGCAAAATTAAAGATTTGTGACCGTTTTGTATAAAATGAATAGTTTTGTTACCATTAATGATAATTACCCTACTTCTCTCTCTTCTTCGTTCTCTCCCTCCATCTCTGTCACCGAAGCTATGGCTTTTCGACCTCTCGCTTCCAAAACGAGACCCTTCTTTTTCAGCTCTCACTTCCGATCTCTCGCCTCTCTCGCCCCACAGACCTTCCAAACCCAGCCGTTGCCAGAGCTGGTAAGCAAGATTTCTCGCCTTCTCAGCGACCATCGGAACCCGCACCACGATTTGGAGCTCTCACTCCGCGCTTATCGCCCGCAAATCTCCGCGGAGGCCGTCGAACAGGTGTTGAAGCGCTGCAGGAATCTAGGGTTCCCTGCTCACAGGTTCTTCCTTTGGGCCAAGAGTATTACTGGGTTTCAACATAGTGCCCACAGCTATCACATTCTGGTGGACATTTTAGGAGCTAGCAGGCAGTTCGCAATACTATGGGATTTCTTGATAGAAATGAGAGATTCTCGTGATTTTGAGGTCAATTCAGAGACTTTATGGCTTGTATTCAGAGCTTATAGCAGGGCTAACCTCCCCAATGATGCCATTCGAGCTTTCGGCAGAATGGCAGAGTTTGATTTGAAGCCTGGGATTAATGATCTCGACCAGCTTGTATATGCGCTTTGCAAACGCAGGCATGTGAAGCAGGCCCAGGAGTTTGTTGATAGAGTTAAGCATGAGATCGAGCCGACGGTGAAAACGTATAGTATATTGGTGCGGGGATGGGGAGACAATGGGGACATGGAATCTGCACGGAAGGTGTTTGATGAAATGCTTCAACGAGGGTGTGCGGTCGATGTACCTGCTTACAACAGCTTGTTGGAAGCTTTATGCAAGGGAGGGAGCGTCAATGAAGCGTATAACATGTTCCGAGAAATGGGTTCTCGCGGAATCCAACCTGATGCTGGTAGCTATGCGATATTCGTTCGTGCATACTGTGAGGCAAATGATATTCATTCGGCTTTCCGGGTGCTTGATAGAATGAAAAGATACAATCTTCTGGCCAATGTGTTCACATATAATTGTGTCATAAAGAAGCTCTGTAAGACGGATAGAGTAGACGAGGCCTACCAGCTTCTTGATGAGATGCTGGAGAAGGGGGTTACTCCTGATGCATGGAGTTACAACGCGATACTAGCATATCATTGCGAGCATTCAGAGGTCAACAGAGCTACCAACCTGGTTTCCCGAATGGCAAAAGATGGCTGCTTGCCTGATCGGCATAGCTACAACATGGTGCTGAAATTGCTGGTAAGGGTTGGTAGATTCGACAGAGCAACCCAAGTATGGGAGAGCATGGAGGAGAACAAGTTTTATTCATCTGTTTCGACCTATGCGGTTATGATTCACGGTCTGTGCAAGAAAAGGGGTAAGCTTGAAGAGGCATGTAGGTATTTTGAGATGATGCTTGATGAGGGCATTCCACCATATTCTTCCACTATTGAGATGCTGAGAAACCGACTTATCGGGTTGGGACTAATGGATACCATCGAGATACTTGGTGGTAAAATGGAAAGAAGCTCTTGTTGTTCAATACAGGAGCTGGCTGCTGAAATGAGAGGCCATAAGAGTCATGTGAGGTCCAGAAGGGAAGTGACAGAGTCTGAAAGTGATTGAATACCGAAACATTCTTTCTTGTACATATGAAATGTGGCTACGCTTTATTGCCCCAACTTCTTCACTATTGTTTCAATTTCTGGCGTTTTCTGTGTGGGGACTAAAAGAGCTGATGTGACGAGGACTTTCGGGATAACTGGTAGATGTGATGGGGGCTGAAGTGTTGACGATGAAGGAGACATCTCAGAATGTTTTCTATGTCACAGATGTAATGGGGAAATTGGCGGATGGGAAGATAATGGAGTATGTTAGGGGAAAGATAGGGGTGAGTTGCTTGCAGGTAAAGGAACTGCCACCCCTGGTATACCACAAGGAAGGTGGGGAGAGGGATGGGCATGCGGTTGCTGTGGGGAAGTTGAGAGAACAATTATCCAATATCTGTTAGCAGCAAGGAAGGTCGAAAGAGACATGGCAAAGGATTGGTTGACTGACAATACCTCAAAGCGCAGCCAAGTATGTGATTATGTTTTTCAATTTAATAGAGAAATAGGTGGTTGCTATGTAGTGTGGATGAACTACATGGATGAGAAGGTGTTGGGTACGTCTGCAACAGATTGGATTAGTCTTATAGGGAGAAATGGAAAGGTTGAATGCATTTAAATTAAAGGAATACATATATAGATGATGAACCATTTTACTCCATTAGAGCCATGTTCAGTTGATAGAATTGCAGGAACACTTCATGAAGGGATTCAGGAGTTAGTCTCCTTCCTTGGATACACAACCTCATGTCTAGAGATACATAAGGAGTTCATGGTTGGATGTTGTATGTTTTTGTACACAGTCTTTGTGCATTTTTCTTAAGCAATAATATGGTCATCAATAGTAAAAAAACACATGTGCAGGCTGCTCCCAGGAGTTCCTGAGCTCCCCATCTCTAAAACTCTGTTTTTCCATGGTTAGTCGTGTTTTTCCATCTCTAAAACTCATCTGGAGTCTCTAGCTAACATAGTAACTGGTGGCCTTAGTCGATACTTGGTTGCTTGCTACAAATAAAACCACCAACATGCTGCAAAAATTGGCTACATACCAATACCGTTCCTCGTCCTCCTTCTCTTGATCACGACGGGCAACCCACCTCTCATCCTGAGAAGCAGCGACAACACGTAAGGTGGGTTCATCATCCTCTCTGGACTCGCACCTCCGTCGACGGGCAACACTTTGAAGTCCATCATCACCGCCGACACAATCGCCTTCATCTGTATATAAGCCATCTCCTTCCCCAAACACATTCGGGGGCCACAGTGGAACACAGGGTATCTGAACGGATCCACCGGCTTGCATCGTCCCTCGCCATCCAACCATCTCTCCGGCTTAAACTCCAGGACATCCGCCCCCCACACTTTCTCCATCCTTCCAACCGCGTAAGCAGAGTAGTCGGCAAACCACCCTTTCCTCACCTGGGTTCCATCCGGCCACACCGCATCCTCCACCGCTAATCTCGAATTCAGCGGCACCGGCGGGAACAGCCGCATCGACTCGGATAGAGCCGCGTGCAGGTAATCTAGCCCCTTCAACTCCTCGTACCCGAATCTTCTTCTGCTCTGTCCAAGCTCCAAAGACGACAGTTCGCGGTGGATCAAGTTTGCGACACGTGGGTTCCCGGCGACGAGCCAGAAGAACCAAGTGAGAGCAGTTGAAGTGCTGTCCTTCCCGGCCAATACAAAGCTTATCACTATGTCTCTGAGAAACTTGTGCCTCTGTTTTTCGTCCTCGAACTCCATGGTCGAGCTCCAAACCATGAATCTCGCTAGCAAGTCCTGATGGTTCCGGTTGTCGCTTTCTTCTTTCGATGCAATTACTCTCAGAGCGAAATTGTTGATCGTGTTGACGGACTCACGGAATCGCTTCTCCGACCCTAGATTAAGAAATCTCTTGAGCTTCCAGAACAGAGGAGCAGGGGAGGTGATCCTCCGGAAGCAATTCTCCACGGCGTAGTCGAAGGCGTCCATGAAGTCGAGATTCCGGGTGAAAGATTCTGGATCCACACCGAACCCAACCCTGCAAATGCTCCTAAACCCGAATTTATTCAACGCTGATTGGAGATCGAGTACCCTGTTTTCCTCCTCTGCTCGGGACAGGAAAGGGAGCAAGTTGTCGGAGATTTCAGAATCCACGACTTCCGAGACGAATAGCCTGAGAGAGTTGGTGGAGAACTCGTGACTGGCAATCTTGCGCTGGAGGGTCCAGATCTGGCCGTCGGCGTTGAAGATGCCGTCGCCGAGGAGCTCGTCGAGGATGTCGCTGAAGCGAGAGCCCTTGATGTAGTTGGAGAAGTTTGGGGAGGCGAGCATGTGCTGGATGTTGTCCGGGTTTGCAGTGCATACGCCATTGGAGATGTTGAGGAAGGAGTTGACTTGAATGGACGAGGATGGTGTGTGGCGTATCATGTCCGTGATCCAGTCATGGAACCGGTGGAGGTTCCGGAGTAAACTGAGGACGTTTCCGATTACAGGGTGGGATTCTGGGCATGGGTTTTTGGTTGCTGGATGTGATTTGAAGAAGAAGAAGAAGATGAAGATGGAGATTAGGAGTGACGAGATGAAGGTGAGAGAGATGAATTCCAGCATTGTTTTCCTTTTCCAACCTTGTGCTTACCGTGGGAGAATGTGAATTGGCAGAAATGGGAGCTCTCTCTCGAATTCCTGGCCTCACAAATGTCTCATAGTTTAGTTTGTCAGTTTAGGAGTTGGCAGTGATTTTAAACTCGTATACTGTAGTTAATGTGATGGTGGTAAACACAACCATTTTCCAGGCAAAGCTAAAATAGAGTGAAACACCCCAATTATACAAGTCAAAGGATCAATGCTTGCAGGGGAAAGTTAATATGCTAACTTGAAGATTCGTTAGCAGATACTAACTGATATCCAAAATACATGAACTAGTATCTAAGTACTAAAGTATCTAGAGAGCACAAATTAGTATTCAATGTTTGCTAATTGATATCCACCATGAATAAACTATTATCCTAAATTCACAAACTAATATCTAGACAACACAGAATAGTATCCATACAGCAGATAATAAGTATCCATATAACACATAAGAGTATCCAGATAACACATACGAGTATTCATATTGAATACTAGTTGGTTGATTGTGGATATTAGTTGGTATATGCTATTTGGATACTAGTTTGTGATGTTTTGAATACTAGTCTATGCTATCTAGATACTTTAGTAAAATCAGCAGATTTGGATATTAGTTCATACATTTTAGATATTAGTTAGTATATACTAACAACTTATGCAGTTAGCAGAATAACTAGGTTGCAATGCTTGGGAGTTGGGATACATCTCCGAAGACAGTATCTATTCTAGACGTTGACCTGGTTAAATTGGATTGGTAAACAAAAAAACAGCTATCACAATTACAAGAGTCTTTATTAAGCAATAACTTTTGTGCTTAGAACAAGATACCAGTGCTCATAAGGCTTCTTGGTATGACTAACCTGACTGTACATAGGCAACAACCTTCATGAGAAGTTTGTTTTTCATAACTACATCAGCTCAACTACAAAACTTAAAAGACTTGGGACATCTGTTCTTCTATAGAAATGCAGCAACAAAAATGTCTGGGTTGGCTGGTTACAGAGGCTATAATATATATCTATCTTATCTATATGTCACTCATACTCAGAATTTTACTATACATGGTAGACCATTCCTACCTCTAATGTAGATGCATGAGGAATGCACAACGCATAGCTTGGTCCTCTGGAGTTCCTCCGCAAGAAATCATATCCATAGTTTATCACAATGTTCCTTATGAAACTCGACCCTCTCTTTGCCCTTACGTATGAATGCCCTAGTATGAACGCCATCCCTGCTTCCCTAGCTTCCATTAGCTCCATCAGCTCCGCTTGTGCTTCTTCATCGATATGACTACTCTCTGGCACTATAAACCTCACTCTCCTTCTTAATCTCTCCGGAGATTTTACCACGGTCTCTGATGTCCTCACCTCATCCGAACATCTCGCTTCTTCCTCTTCTTCTTCACACAACTTGATCCCTTCGAGGTTCGAGGATGTTGTCCCAATCACTACCATTCTCTCGTCATCGTCTTCAACTTCTTCCATGACATCTACACTGCTACCACGCTTCTCAGACCTGATCAACTCTGCAATGCTACAAACGAGGTCCCTCTCAAACTCCACGTCATCCTTGTGAATGTCACGGTAGCCATACCGTGCTATGCATCTGTAAATGTGGTACCCCTTTGGTCCGACTCTTCCCACGAGGAATCGTTCCTCGGGTCCCACATGAGGTACGGGCACAGATTTGATGCAGAGGAAGACCACGACTTGGTGGAAAGCAGGAAGGTTGGTGAGGAAGTGAGAGAATATGGCTGGGATGCCAGACACGAGTTCCGTGTGTATGAGGCCTATGCCTCGAACTCGGACGATGCCTAGAGTTGGACCTAGGCTGAGAAGCCAGTCAATGGAGACCTTGTTTTGAACATCAGATTGATACTTCATCAGCGTTCCATAGTGCCACACGTACATTATAGCCAGGAAGATGAGCGAGAGGGCAATCGGAACCCAAGCTCCTTCGAGAAACTTGATGAGGGAGGCTGAGAAGTAGAGAGCTTCAAATGAACCGAAGAAGAAGATGAAGCAAAGTGCTAGAAGGGCATTCTTGTGCCAGCATAAGACGATGACCAGTGACATTAGGCACGTTGTTACAAGCATGACAGTTATAACTGCCAGACCTGTCCGGAAGAAAACATGATATTGTAATGCAGCTCAGAGAAAATATAGCATTGGCTGGGAAGAACAAGTTAACGAACACACAACCCTTGCATTACCTGCTGCATTGGCCATGTGCTTCGTATTCCTAAAACCGATCGTAACAGCCAGGCATAACAGCATCAGGGTCCAGTTGATCTCCGGGATGTAAATTTGTCCATGAACTCTTGACGAAGTGTGAACAACTTTGACCTTCGGAAAGCATCCCAAAGCGGAGCACTGTTTGATGATCGAGAAAGTCCCTGTGATGACAGCTTGACTTCCCACAACTGCTGCAAGTATGGCTATTGCCAATACAGGAACTCTTATCTGCTCTGCAGCATTAGATAAAACATCATATTATGAAATCATCACGGTGGGAGTTCATGGCTATTCCAGAAGTGAAACAATAGGTGCATGCCTACCAGGAACAGATACATAGAAACCAATCCGGTAATCAGTTTCAAGAGAGTGATGCTTGGAAAGGTAAGCAGCTTGTCCCATGTATGCAAGGATCAGTGATGGATAAACGACAAAAGTGAAAGCAATCTGCAGACAGAAGAACATAAATTGGATGTAGTGTAAGCAAGCTACTTCATGCGAAAAAATATTTACTACTGTCCATGATCCGTCTCGAACAAGAACAGCATGTAAAAGAAAAGTAACATCTATTTAGGTGTCAAGTTCCGAGTGCTACAGAAAGTAGTGTAATATGCAATGTGGAGTTGGTTTATTGTACCTGGATGGATAACTGAGAAAAGTGGCCCAAATCTGCAAACATGGCTTCTGAACCTGAATAGATTCCCAGAAAGAAAGAATATAAAAAGAAGCCCTAAAACACAGATTAATGTCTGCAAAAGAAAATCCAAAATGATCTTTCATGTATGTTGCAGCATTATACCAGTCATGCAGAGAAGAATCCCGCCTAATGACATCCAGCCTCCCCTCCGCGTCTTCTTCAGAAACTTGTACATGTAGTATGGGGAGATAGCCTGGTAAACATGTGGATTCCACCGGAAAATGTTGTACACGCCGATGCTACTGATGCACAGAAGCCACGTGATGACAATTGGTGCAAAGATGAACCCAACCTTGTGAGTTCCAAAGTGTTGGAGGGCAAACAAAGATACAAGTATTGCACAAGTCACAGGGAGTTCAACATCTGCAGAAATTCACAGAACAGAATGCTCATTAACCCCATCATTTAGTGTTCCTTTCTCAAAATCGCCACCGAAAGTGCCCTTAAACCATGCTAGCTCACAGTCAAACTTGTGTGTGTTTGCATGGATCAGTGTCCCAAGGTCACATAGTGACACCAATTCATGTCTCTCAGGAGTAACCAAATGAGACAACATTGAGAACTAAATGTCCAGATGGAACATGAGTGGAGTGCTGACTATATCACTAATCAGCACACTAAGCTGGAAAGGGAAGACAGCTGGTCTATTTGTAAGAGCCATGGGAGACCTGCAACTGTTCCTCTCAACAACACTTTGAGCTGTGAAAACTGAAATGACACCAATTGCCACATCATGTGAGATTTGGTTTCTGTCTTTGTATTGGATTCACTGTTCCAGATGAACTGATCCTCTTTTCTTTTCTAGTCTTCCACAGTTCCACCATGGAAAGGAACAGCTTACTTCACAAAGACCATAACTTTACACAAACCTTGACTCAGCTCTATCTGTAAACCCTCTACGTGTTGCCTTGTTTATGATGGTTACAACTTGGCCCCCAATTTCTTAATACACCATGATTAGTAAATAGGCAGGAATCGGAAGGTACTAGTTTGAAGTGATCTCACTAGGATTAAAGCGGGAAGGCCTTTCTTTTCTCCCCTAATTAGAAATTATCATGGACCACCACATATCCTTCCACTAGTAATAAACTATTACTGTCATGCTGCTAAATCCAAATTAGTAATACCCCTTATTTGCTTTTCCCCTAACTTCATCTCCTCTCCCAACAAGGATTGCTAATGGTATGAAGATAAAGCTTCTAACCTCTCCTGAGTGATCAAATTTTGATAGGAACCATGGGAAGCTAAGATAAACTTCCATACCTACTACTGATCTTTTGGTGGTGGGGAATTCTTCAATGTGATGCGCATAGCCTAAAAAGCCAAAAGATTTTACTCTATTCGATTTTCGGCAGATTCAAAATGTTTCTAAATTGTAACAGCTGGTGATCTACAGGATTTGCTTGAAATGAACCGACCTGAAATAGGACGCAATAGTAATTATGCCTAAACAAAACTCAATTTATGGAGTTTTCGAAGGATACTCACACTGATGCTGCTCTTTCTCCATCGAAAGCTCCATTCCAGAAACCGCCGAATATACTGGAGACAAGTAGATATGACCACAAAGAAGATTCAAGGTGGGAAAGAAACAAAATTTCTCTGAGTCATCGATCGACATCCATAGCAAAAGAAGAAAAAGAATTAACTGTTACCGGAAATTGCAGGGGTAAGAACTCCATCGCCGATAACCATACAAGTCCCAATCAAAGCTAGGCCGAGCAGAGCTTTCTGCAGCAGCTTACTCTTCTCCAGAGCAAATTTCAAGCTGGACCCAATTCGATTCCGGTGATTTGCAGCCGACCCATCTTTCTTATACTCGGATAGCTCCTCATCTGCGAGCTGACAATTGGGGAGAGTACCGAGACGGGCATGGCGGCAGAGCAGAGAATACAGAGCAAAAGTGCCGCCTTCGCCATTATCATCAGCTCTAAGCACAATGAACACGTATTTGAGAAGTGGGATTATCGTGAGCGTCCAGAAGACGAAAGATAGAACTCCGAAAATTTCTTCATTGGTATCGGAGTGCTCGATGTCCTCTGCAAATGTGCTCTTGTAGACGTATAATGGGGAAGTGCTCAAATCTCCATAGACTACCCCTAAGCTCTGGTACGCCAAGGTCAGGACTGCCTTCCATGAATTTCTCTGCCAAAATCAAAATCCCAGAAATTAGCAAATCTCAAATCATATAGGCACATACATTGAAGAAGAAACGAACTTTTACCTTAATTGGGTTACCAGCAATTGCTGGTGCGCCTTCGAGATCCATTTTTAGGCAGGGGAATGAATGGAACAGAACAGAGTAGTACAGCGAAAGCTGGCTGCTTACTGAAAATCCATTCCCTTTTTTGGAGGGGACGGAGATAACAATGAAATGGTGGAAGGAGAAAGCTATACCCAGATGGGATTATCTAGCAAAGGAGACAGCTTTACCCATCCTCCTTCAAAGGCCTTCTGTTGAAGGAAAGCTTGTATGGGCCTTTCCCTTTTCCAGTTCTCACTTATATGTGAGAGTGTTTCGAGTGGGCAGTAGCTCAATGAAGAAGCAAATGCAGACAAATAAACACCAAAAAATGAGAAATGCGAATACAATATGCGCACGAAGCTTCACCTTTTTCTTTTAAATTCCCATTTCTGGCTGGAGAAAATAGTTGAAGAAGCCAAGCCAGCCCCGGCCCTTTACTTTTCTTCCTTTTGTTTGTCTTTTTTGGGTTTTCTCATTGGTGCAGTAGAGAGAAGTCTGAAGGGTGTGTGGTTGAAAATTAGGTGATGTGTTGGATAAAAATCGGTTCTTTTCCCCTTCCACTTCAAATTGCCACCATAGCCTCTAAAAACCAAACAAAAGGAGGAAAACAGAGAGGCAAGGTTGTCAAACCGGTTTATGCCGGTGTGCCGGTTTTGAAAGTGGAATGGTCCGACCGTGGTATAACCAGTATTCACGCCGGTTGTGCCGGTTTTAATAAAATATATGAGACAAATGAAAATCCTCAATTCCAAATAAATTAGTCATCAAAAAGCAATTAGAAAAATTATTTCACACAAAATAATTTATAGCTAAGAATTGGTAACTAATACTAAACAATTAGATGCTTAAAAATAAAAGTATATAAAATGAATTTTATTAATATTTATAATGATTTGTGTAAAATTTAGTGTTAGATATATAATATATAAGATTAATATGTACAACAAAGTTGCTTGTAGTCTACTGGTGTATAAGAGAGTCTAAAATGAACAGGAGGTACATGGTTCAAATCCTAAGGAGAGCATTTATTTTTGGATAAAATAGGTGTAACATTGAATTCCGGTTTCTGGTCTAACCGGCCGGAATTTCCGGAATTGACCGGGTCTGACCGGTATTGACCGGATTTGACCATAGTTAAATACCGGCCTCTTTCCAGCCGGTTTGGTGACCGGTACCGGTTGTACCCGGTTGAACCGGCCGGCATGAGACCGGTTTGACAACCATGCAGAGAGGGGAAAGTGACGGAAGATGGGAAAAGGCTTGGTGGTTTCGCGTTTGGGTTCTGGGGAATTTTATATTTTTATTTCCGAGAAATGGCGAGAATCAAAGAGAAAAGGAACAAATCTCTGGGACCTAAATAATGAGGATTATATGTGTTTATTTATAAATGGGGGAATGATAATGGGGAAGGAGACAGAGACAGGACGTAGACGGAGAGAGACAGGGGAAGGGAAGGGAAGTGGGTTTCTTTCTTTTCTTTTAACTGGAAATGCACTAACTGAGAGCAGTCAGTCATCACTACTACTGCTGCTACTGCATCGCCTCACTGACACCAATTATACTTTTTTGGACCAAAAATGAAAAGGAAAACAAAGTAAATGAAAACCAGAATTTGTCAGGGATGATATATTCCAGGACGTTTCGTCCAACTCGTCTCAAACGGTTTATCTTTTCCTCTGTTTTTTTTCTTTGTTTCACCGGTCCTTTGTCATCTCCGGTAACGTTTTGATTTTGCTGTAACTGCATGTTTCTCTCTGTAATGTAACTGCAGATTTGCGTCCGGCGAGGATTTGTAGTGCTTAGATTGGGCGATAGTCGTGTGAGTGGCAGTTTATATGCTAGTCATATAGCAGGGGAAAAAACAAGAAATTTGTGCGGATTGAATTCGAATACACGAGTCTTTGGTCACCCTGCTGGTATGGCTCGATTGTAAGTCTGGTTTATGGTTGATCTTGGTGTATTTAGTTATACATTTGGCGATATTTGGTTTCTTACCTATATTGAAAATTCATATGAAATTCGATAATGAAAAATTTGTTTAGGATTGAATATGAATAGAAAAAAAATGGAGGTTGTAAGTTAGACTAAAGTTAAATACTAATGGACAAAGCTCAAAGAAGTTGATTAAGATGTTTGGACGTATTTATTTGGAAAAATCAAGGTATGCTATCACAAAAATCCTTGTTGTTAAGAATTCTCTATCAACAATATGACCAATGATAAAGAAAAGACTATGGAAGTGTTGTCGTCTCTTGGCGTGGTGCGTTTTTTTTACGAAATTATAGCTCGAGTTATGAAATCGTCTAGACTAATTTGGCACAAATTTGATTGCACGATGAAACAAGTAGGATCGATGATTTGATTTGCGATGGAAGACGCTCAACTACAGGCTCAAACTCACCAGAAATAGAAAAACGCACAGTGTTGACTTATCTATGTTTGCTGTCATTCACAAGTGCATCCCTAATTTAGTTGGCATGGAGGTATTGACTATTCCCCTAAGTAGAAAAACCTGTCGACATCCAATTTTATTGCGGCAATCACATTATTTAGATGACTATTGAGAAAATTCCCATAAATCTAACTGTGAATTGTCATTTATATAGACAAAACTTGAAAATCAAGTGACTTATGAAATGACCGAAACGATCTTCTAAAACAATACTTCCCAATGAGATGAAAGAAAAATATGAAGAAATTGAGGTGTTAATCTAACAATACTATTGTTTACTTCCCCAAAAGCTTAACTAAACACACAATATTTTTGGACCTAAACTATGATAAGTGAGGCCAACTATAAGATAAGATCAACATATAAACAAAATGGCCACTTCTTTTGATCGGGCCATGCATATTTGCCACTTTGATTAAGGATTAGACATATGTTGGTTGAATATGTAAGCATGCATTTGTGTGGGGAAGCATATGAAAGTGACATACGAAAAGAAGACATGCGCAAACTTGGATGAGAAGTGCACGTCATTCTTCCTTGTGCTTCGCTTCCCCTTTAGAATTTTTGCCTACTTGCCCTAGCCTTCCAGTGGTCGCCACTTACCCATTATCACAAAGTTCACAACCCTACCACCAATGTAAGCATGCCGACGTTAACCTAGCCCTTACCACCAATGTTGGCTTAACATATAGACAAAACCCGATTATGGTGGGTAATACGCAAAGTTATATGCTTTCTAATATCTGAAGTCTTCGTCCGAAGTATGACCATTAAACTTTGAGGTTATGAATTTCTGTGAAGTTGTAGGATTGCTTGGGAGATCAACAACAATCATGTGCAGCGTAGTGTGTTTTGACATTGTAGGAGTGTATTATAGTAAATTGGTTGAGTCTTTTATTTATTTAGTACTTCACCGGGACACACACCTTGTGGAGGAGGGGTGTGTGAGATTGTCGGGTTACTATTAAGCACTCTTGTCATTGGCTTGTTATTGGGATGTCTAATAAGAATATCAACTTAGACACTGGAATGTGCTACTTCAGATCGACTCTAAATCGACATTCTCTCTACTTATTCCGACCATGTAACAAGGAGTCTGAAAGGTGTTCATCAATTTTTTTCAGCAATGCAACTACTTTATTAATTGTCCTAAACGATAATTTCTTTTCTTAAGGAACCTAAACGATAATTTCTGATTCAAATATTAGATTAGATATTGGACTAGGAATGATACTGTTAATTGTTAAAGAGGAAAAACTCAGACTTGGGCCTAAAAGTTGGCCCATAGTGTCAGTTATCCATTTTGGGCCACGTGCTACCATCTCGTATTATTGGCTTCACAAGGTCAAGTAGCTACGTAGACCAAACTAGTCAATCAGGTGGGTTTCTTTTTGAACCTCCTCATCGCCTGGCAGAGACGCAGAGATGAATTGCAGAGAGAGATGATGGATCTCCATGATCATCGGAATCCCATCATTGCTGACCAGGCCCAGCATCCATCAGTCAACGCTCCCACTACTCATGCACAACATCTATAGTCACGAGTCATCTTCCTCCTTTTTAAAGCTTGCATCTTTCTCTTCTGCAGAGATCAATGCAGTAAACCCAACACAGAAAAAAATGATGGAGAGCACCGAGTTAATCACTAAAGACAAGCTAGAATTCCTTGGTATTATCAAGGAATCGTTGAAAATCCCAGCTAAGAATCCCACATTCATTCTCCTCTCCTTCCTCACTTCACTCCCTGCATTCTGCTTCTTCCTCTGGCAACACCTCGTCCTTCACCAGCTCATCTATGAAGCAGGAGTCAACTTCGTTGCGGTATACGATCCCATCTGCGGGACGCATTGGCCACTCTGCTCTTTCCCGCCGAGGTATTCACTAGACTCCACCTTGGGATTGATCCAGCGGCTTGCTCCAACACTAGCCCTCTCGGCCTTCTCATACCTCACTATCGGCCATTTCCTGAATGTCCTAAACACCATCGTTCTAGTTCACTCAGCATCGACAATTTATGCGGAGAAGGAAGCCGGAAGCTTGAAGGAAATGTTGTTCATCAAGCCATTTCAGGAAGTGGGTTCATTGAGGGGGCCATACATCACATCAATCTACAACTTAGCTATGGTTTGGCTGACATTGGCTGGAGTTGTATCGTTCGTCGTCCAAATGGTTTCTTTCCCAGTCAACGGATTGCTTTCTCAGATGGTTTTCGGGTTAGTTGCTAGTGCCTTGGTGGTGAAGTATTTGGAGTGGAGCGCGATCTGGAATGTGGGTTTGGTGGTGTCTATCCTGGAAGAGAAGCACGGGTATATTGGGATTGGGGTCGCAGGGTATATCAGCAGGGGATGCAGAGGCAGGGGATTTCTATTAATGGTTGTTTTCCTGGTTTGGAGGGTTTTCTTGAGGATGGTATTTGGGTACTATGGTTATCTGAACAAGGAATCTGGATCTATGGTGGTTTTGATTGCTGTAGGAGAAGGCGGGTTGGTTTGGTTTGGGGAAGTGGTGAATTGGGTAGTTTGTACTGTTTACTACTACGACTGTAAAAGGAGGTTTCTGGAGAAGAAAGTTGATTCGGAGAAGCAAGGGGGCACAAATCTTGTGTAAGACGAGAAGATTATTTGAGAGAGACAAGAGGGAAATCAGCAAAAGCAAATGCAGTCTTTTATTGCTTAATAATGTTGAACATGGCTACACCCTAATCAGTAGCTTAGCTTACACACAGCTTTACTCTCTCTATAATGTATACGTCATGATGCGTTGTTTAGTCCGGTGATTTGTTCTTGTTAAGCCCTTTCCAGTTTTTCCATCTTTCACCGGAGTTTTGAGCCAATTGCCTTGTTCACGAATGATGGTAAGCAGAAAGCTGCAGAATGAATCTGGAAGAGATAGAAAAAGAACATATGTGAAATTAAACTGCAATTCTGACAATGACCAGTTCAGGAGTAGGAGAGTAAGGTTTGGGGTTTGTGCAAGCAAAGTAAACTCACCTCTGCATTGTAGAATCTCAATGGCCCTTTAACTTGGGGGTGACTCCCTTCACCTTCAACACGGGTCACCGGATTCTTGAAATCAACTGCTGGGCCCTCAGTGGAGCAAAGCATGAAGCCAATCATTCCACTGCAGAATATGCGGAGGAATGAGAATACACTTAGGGTGAGTTTAGTTGACATGTCCTTTGAATGCACAATTTAGTAACTTCTTGTATCTTTCCGAACACAGTTAATGGTTTGAAAGACTGCAACAAACAAAATGATCGCTGGAGTCCCCCAATAGCATGAAACTCGAAAGCTTTAACTCAACATGAACCAGGATGTAATGTCATGTTAGAAAACATGCATTCTCGAAACCAGCAGAACCAATGGATGGTTGCCAAAAAACCCTTGAATCAGGAGACAAATGTCATGCATTTGAGGCTCAATTAAGTCGATCTCATTGTACCATGAATGAAAAATCCAGAGAAGTCCCATACCTCGGATATGTAGGGACAGTGGTCCAAGCATAGTTAACAGAGCCCTTGAAGATTTCACGACAGTTAGACACAATGTCTTGAATGAGATGCATGTGCAGCCACAAACTCTCAGCTTGCGTACAAACAACACCGCCAGGGCGAAGAGCCTTGGCAATCAACTCAAAGAAAGGCTTCTCAAACAGCTCTTTTGCAGGCCCTGATCAAAGTTAGTTAACCACATGAGATGAGACTTCATTCTCCAAGTTAAACGAATAATTGAATCTGTTTGAAGTTTGTGACAAAGGCAAACACATACCAATTGGATCCGAGGAATCAACTATAACAGCGTCGTAAGTGCCATGTGGAACCGCCTTTAGGAAAGCGACGCCTGTAAAAGGGTTGACAGAGTTTAACAATGGATATGTGTGAAGCAGAAAATGGGCTGGTACAGAGAAGCAAGAGCAAGCATTACCATCGCCGATGTGGAGATTGACACGAGGATCTTGAAATCCAACTGCTACATCAGGGAAATACTTCTTAGAGACCTGAGATAGAGGAAAGCTAGAGCTTTATGATGTGCCCAGGCACTTCAAATATGTAACAGGAAAAACATACACCAACTAGACAGGAACAATGAAGAGATTTGGCTAAACTCACATCAACCACCATGGCATCAATTTCACACATATCGATCTGCTCAACAGAAGCGTGGCGAGACACTTCGCGAATGACACCTCCATCACCTCCTCCAATAACCAACACCTGCAAAACAGAAAATGTTCACAACATCATTCAGCAATGCGTCTCCACTCATCCTAAAGCTTTTAGTAGCATGCTTTTGGCAGCTGAACAAAAGGTGATCCATAATATCATTAGCAAACTTCCAATGTTTAGAGGTGGAAAAGGTGAACCTTTTTGGGGTTTTGGATGGAGCAAAGTGGGAGGTGGGTAATCATCTCTTGATATGCACACTCATCTCTTTCAGTAAGTTGTATCACCCCATCTAACACAAGAACCTTCCCATATGTAGCTGACTGCAAGTTAACAAGAGTGACGGTTCTCTCAATCACCAATTCAACGATCCAAATTAATAGAAGTATATCCATGGCTACCAGGAAACGGGGGAGAAGGGCAGAAGTACCTGGAACACAACAACGTTCTGGTAGTCGGATTTGCCTTGAAACAGAACTTTCTCCACCTTCATAGAGTGAGCCTCCCCTGCCACACCACCAACCCCAAAAAGAAAAAGAAAATCAATCAGCCAGCCCAAAATTCAACAAACTCAGTTGCAGAAACCGGCCACAGAATAAGAACAATCCACCGTTGACCAAAACCTAATTTCACAAAGCAGTTCCCTGATCATCGAAATTATAAAACAGGAGATCGGAAGCAAACCTGGCCACATTGGGCTGATCTCTGAGAACCACCCTGGAATCACGGCGGAAAGCCCAGGAACACCACCGTCCATCCCTGCATCAACGGCGGCAGGACCGTTTCCCTCGGCGGCTCCGGCCATTGATGGGACCGCGGAGAAACGCGAAAGATCAAGGGGAGAAATGCCGAACTGGAGAGCCGAAGCGTTTTCGGAGGGTGGCGAGTTTCTGGAGGGTGGTGGCTACCGACGAGGGGTTTTTATATAAGCAGGAATCGAGGAGTAGGAGAGCTGGAGAAGCGGCGGCTGAAGCAGATGCGATATAATAATGAGAGAGTTATTGATTTGGGTTTCTCTTTCCCCATTTTTCCTAATAATTGATTTGGGTTTTCCTCGATGGGAAGGAATCAATCGTTCAATAAAGTAACGTGGGATGACCGGAGGAGAGACGCCGGTCCCAGCAAAATGATTGAGGGGATTTACAAGTGGTACAAGAGCGCGTGTGAGTAGATAGACGACGGTCGGAGAAAGAAAGCAAGTTTGTTTATCGCGGCGGCGGCAGGCAGGCGCTGAGTCATCTGCGATTCTGATCACCTACCATAATGAAAACGTGGGCGCAATTACTAATCTGACAACGTAAAGGGGTTTCTTTTAAAAAAGCACAACCTCCGTCGCGATCACCTGCGATTCCCTCGGATATGCTTTCGATTCGATTCGGTCATTTTTCGCGGGAGCTTTCAAGGGAATAACAGAAGCTGTCGCATGAGCCCATGGGGCATGGGCTACGGTCAAATCCAACATTCCAATCTCCAATCCAAACCTTAAAAAAGGCACCAGGCTAAGCGTTAAATCTCACAAGTTGTATATGTTAATTGAGTAGAAAGTTGTAACGGATAAGTATTTTCAAAAAAATTTAGTGAATTAACGATTGACAAATGAATCTCTATATTATCATCATAAGATAATGATATAAGATCTGTAATCGACCTTTTCTAAGAGCTCTAGTTATAAAGACTAAAAATTTCATGTTATGATATTACAGTTAGTTTGGCTGAACAGTCGTGTGTTTAAATCTCTATGGTTCCCAACTTTAATGTTTGATATAAACATGACTTAGATATATAATATGCGAACAAGTGTTTGGTCTAATAGTACTATCACTAGTCTTGAACCTGTAGGTTTCAAGTTTATCAAGTATAAGATGAAAACAAACACATATCACCCTTATCTAAAAAAAGTATTTGATATATAATATTCATAATTAACATTCACTTAATAACTCGAACTATTGAAAACCAAATAGTTCGTGACAATTATTTTCTCTAAATTGCATGTCATGTGAGATGGTATGGTTCGTATTGGTCTAGAATCAATTTGAATCGAAAATAATAAAGTAAAATACAATGAATAAATATTGTTCAAAGTCGAACCAAAACACATTTGAAGTGATCTTCAATTAAGTCTCATTTTAAACAAAACATAACAAAATTAAAATCAGATTATATGGAGTGGTTAGTTAAGTCTAATATGGACCGAATTTCCCCCCCGCCCATTTGGAATTACATGTCACGTTAGTCGTCACAACATTTTCCCGCCACCTCCGAAATTCACTCCCTCTCTTCCGTTCCCTCGCCAAAAAAACAGTTTTTCCCCTTCCTCACAAATTCCCTCCATTCTTCCCTTCTAACCGTTCTCTCTCGATTTCCCCTTCTCTCCCTCCAATGGAAGAAACATGAGAGACCTCGTCTACTACACCCAAACCGCCAAATTCCGCCGGCGGTTCCGGCGACTCCAGCACCGCCTCCCCACCGCGTTCATCAACACCATCGCCGCCATCTCCTCCCCTCCCAACGGCGAGCCCCACCCGCTCCTCATCCTATGGCGGTACCAGATCCTCGACCCGGACAGCGACATCGTGACGTACTGGAACCACGTCTTCCTCCTGACCTCCATCCTCGCCTTGTTCATCGACCCGCTCTACTTCTTCCTCCCTTTGGTCGTCGCCAAGGACCTCTGCTTCTCCTTCGACCACCACCTCGCCGTCAAGATCACCTGTTACCGCTCCATCGCTGATCTGTTCTTCATCCTCCACATTGTGCTCAAGTTCCGCACCGCCTTCGTCGCGCCCAATACGCGCGTTTTCGGCCGCGGCGAGCTCGTCATGGATTCCAATGAGATTGCTCATCGCTACCTCAGGTCCGATTTCGTCATCGACGTCGCCGCCGCTCTTCCCCTGCCTCAGGTTAAGCTTCTAACTTCTTTATCCAAAATGCCAATCGTAACTATTATTTTTCCTCCAAATGCTGATTTAACTTAGACAATTGATAGGTGATCTAACCTGAAATGAATGTTTCTTGATCGGGTGGAGATTGGCGGAAGGAACCCTATATTTGGAATTTGCTATTGCTAATCAAGAAATGTTTTTCTTTCTACAGATCGTAATATGGCTAGTAATCCCAGTGGCGAGGAACCACACGGCAGATTACGCCAACAACACACTCTCGCTCATAGTTCTTATCCAATACATTCCCAGGATGTTCGTCATCTTCCCTCTCCACCAACGCATCGTCAAGACCACCGGCTTCATCGTCAAGACCGCCTGGGCTGGTGCCGCTTACAATCTCGTCCTCTTCATCCTCGCCAGTCATGTAAGTAAGCAGCGTCACCCCACTCCGCCATTTCATTTTCCACTGCATTTCACCCTCAATGACATTGGAAATGTTGGGGGGTTTGCCGATTCAGGTACTAGGAGCTACATGGTACCTGCTGTCGTTTGGCCGGCAGTACTACTGCTGGAAAACGGCATGTGCGAGGGAGAACAATGAAGGGAACATAGGCTGCGTCAACCAGTTCCTGGACTGCAAATCTATGGTGATGCCTGAGAGGCAGTACTGGCGGAATGTGACCCATGTCCTCGCGACCTGCGACCCTCTCAACAGCAACATCGGCTTCGCATTTGGGATCTTCGCTGAAGCTTTCACCAGCGAGGTTGCTTCCTCGCCTTTTGTGGAGAAGTACTTGTACTGTCTATGGTGGGGATTCAAGAATCTAAGGTAGGTAAAGAGAAACCAACAAAGAAAGATCCTTGCTTTTCCTTCTTCAGCTGGCTCAATGCCAAAACCCTTTTGATGCTTTTCGCTCTGTCTTTCGGTAGTTCGTATGCACAAAATCTGGATACGAGCATTTTTCTGGGGGAGAATGTGTTCTGCATCGTCACTTGTATCGTTGGGTTGGTGCTTTCTGCACAACTCATTGGCAATATGCAGGTAAGAGTCAGTTCAAGCTTTGATGTATGTTAAGTTATACCCTGTGACAAAGAGCTGACTGCTACTCTTTGTGTTGGGATAGACTAATCTGCAATCAATGTCTGTGCGATTGGAAGAGTGGAGGATTAAGAGAAGAGATACAGAGGAATGGATGAGGCATCGCCAGTTACCTCCAGCTCTCGCGGAGCGAATTCGCCGGTTCGTGCAGTACAAATGGCTCGCCACCAGAGGTGTTCACGAAGAGTCAATCCTGTGGTCATTGCCTCAGGACCTGCGCCGGGAAATCCAGCGCCACCTCTGCCTCTCCCTCGTCCGCCGTGTAATGCTTTCCCTCCACTTCCATTCTCAACATTTCTGTAACTCTGAAAACTTCATTCGTCTCAATAACTCCAATTCTTTCACACAGGTCCCGTTCTTCTCTCAGATGGACGATCAACTCCTGGATGCAATCTGCGAGCGACTGTTCTCGTCGTTAAACACAGAAGGGACCTATATTGTTCGAGAAGGCGACCCGGTCAACGAGATGCTCTTCATAATCAGAGGCCAGTTAGAGAGCTCAACGACTAATGGAGGACGAACAGGGTTCTTCAATTCGATCACCCTCCGCCCAGGTGATTTCTGCGGGGAGGAGCTTCTAACGTGGGCTTTGATGCCCACATCGAGCCTCAACTTCCCATCCTCCACTAGAACAGTGAAGGCACTCACAGAAGTGGAGGCCTTTGCCCTCCAGGCAGAGGACCTGAAGTTTGTTGCCTTGCAGTTCAAGCGACTGCAGAGCAAGAGAATTCAGCATGCCTTCAGGTACTACTCCCATCAGTGGCGGACATGGGCAGCCTGCTTGATACAGGTCGTCTGGAGGAGGTTCAAGAAGAGGAAACTGACAAAGGAGCTGACAAGGAGGGAGAGCCCCTTAGGTTCAGGGTACTTGCCTGTTCTGGATGCGGACTATTACTACTACAGCGAGGACGAGGACGAGGATGACGACTCTGAAGAGGACGAGTACGAGGATGAAAATGTGGATGGGGTTTCAGGTGCGAATCAAAGAGGGCTCGGAGCTACGATGTTGGCTTCTAGGTTTGCTGCCAATACGAGGAAGCAGAAGGGGCTGCATGGGGCTGAAACAGGGACCTCTTCCAGCTTGAAGATGCCTCAGTTATTTAAGCCTGATGAGCCCAATTTTTACACTGACCATGATGTTTAGCTAGTAGAGAGTGTACAGTTTGTCTATTGAGAATGGTAAAGTTGGATGAGCGTAAGAAAGTGTAGTAGTTTAGGAGCTTTGTGCAATGTGCTAACATTTTTGTGTGAATGTATACTAGTTTACTGATAGGAATACGATATTGCTAAACACAAACTTCACATTGCTATCGCTTGTGATATAAACATATAGTACTGACACACGATGTTAAATGATTGTTAGAAATTACGAGACATTTAACTCCGTTTGAGTAAAGTATTGAATTCAAAGGTAACTGAAATCTGAGATTGTTGTAGATGCTCTGCAGAATCCAGCAATTTTTTTTTGTAGAATCCCATAATTATTATTAAACCTTACCTCAATTTGAGTAATTTTTTTTTTACATTAGATGTTATGAACAAGAATCTCTATCTGCTCATTACAATGAAGAATACCTGCATTGGGAGCTTTCACCTGACTGACCTGAGTTTGTTTTGTCATGTATCTAGATCTGACTGTTCGAATCTTTCTGATACTGAGATCTGATCTGGTGAGGTTGAAGGAATGGGATTCTGATGCTTTGTTGATAAGGCAAGGGCCTGTTCTAATTTTATTAAGACTTTCTCCATGTTTGGTCTATCTTGCTTGATACCTGTGCATGCCAATGCTAGCTCAAATACAAGCTTGAAAGCTTCAGAAGGGTAGTCTCCCGTCATCTTAGGGTCTGCAAAATCCAGCATGCTTTCTCCTTTGGTGAAAGCTTTTGCCTGAGACATTACGATCAAATGCCAATTCTCAGAGCAGCTTAATCATAGTTATGCTATCATTGTATGCATTTAAAAGTTCTTGTCCGAATGGGATTAGAAATCCTGATTGAACTAGGAATTTTAAAAGGATTTATGGGTCCTGATAATCCTACCACTTTATGCAGGGGAAGTGGCTCTTTCATATTCATATTGATGACCTTCTTTCCCGAGATGATCTGCAACAGCACAACTCCAAAGCTGTAGACATCTCCAGACGAATCAACCTGACGGTTGTTCAGGTATTCAGGATCGACGTAACCAAACGTCCCTCTCACTTCAGAGCTCACTTGAATATCCCCATCTTCCATAACCTTCGACAGTCCAAAGTCCGAGAGCTTTGCTTCAAAATGAGGGCCTAGAAGAATGTTCGTAGGCTGCCCATAAAACCAAAGATAACAAAGCATTTTGTTATAAGCTTTGAACGATTTTAGACACATCAAGTTTAATAACTGATCAATCAGCTGAGTTCAATACCTTGATGTCGCGATGAACAATACGCCCTTCAGAGTATGTGTGGAGGAACCAGAGACC